AAAACCGTTTGCCAAACGGTTTTCATAACAATACAGTCTATTGGGGAAAACGAGTATGGTAAAACCGGTCACTCAAAGATTTTTACTGTTTTGAGGCACTTCTTGATCATTTTGAAGCGCGATTTTTTTAGGACTTCAATATGACACCATATCACAGACACTGATAGCACGTAGGGTCGTGTATCTTAGATTGAACATTGTTAAACGATCCCTTTAATAGAGATAAACTCTTATTAATGCAAAAGAAGACACTCAGAATTGTTTTCAATCTCCATCCACTAGCGCATACTCATATCTTATTTTTTAATAATCAAATATCCAAAATGAGAGATTTGTACTTATTTCAATTGGGTCAGTTCATGTGTGATTATACTACCAACAGCCTACCTGAATTAATTGATGGCTTATTTTATAGGAATGACCACGTACATGTATATGTTGTTTTCAAGACGTATTATTAAACAGCCTCTGAGGAACTTATACTTCAACAAGCTCTGCTTCTAGCTAATTCCTCTTTTCTCGTGCCATTACAGTTATATGTGTCTTGTTTCATTTTATATTTTATTGTGGTATACTTATTCATTGTATTATTTTTTGCTTGAGAAATAACTTGAATCTCTAATCTCCACTTCACTCGACGTCCAGTGAATTCCGTTTACCTCTATTGAGAACCATTCACACCCAAAATACCTTTGTCTTTACTGGTCCAAAGCTTTGGTACAAACTAGACAATTAAAAGGCGAAACTAATCTCGTCTCATTTAAAAGTAAACTAAGAAAAGATTTGCACAATATCCATTAGATGTTTTTTTTAATATTTTTTTATATTGACCTTTTAATAGCTTAATTAATGCCTATATAAAGCTGTACTTTTGATAGCGCAACATGCATGTCCTCTATACAGACCCGTGTTATTTTGTTACTCTGTTTCTACTTCTATCTCTTCGGTTCTCTGTTACTATTTCTGTAAAGTCTATTGTCCTTCCTTGGTAGCGTTTTGTCTCTATTACATTTTGGTACACATATACGTAACTTTCTTTTGTTGAGTCTTTTTTGACAATCTATAGATGTTGAATTTAATAATAATAATAATGGTGGCTTCTTATAAATTATAGCGCACATGTCCTTCACGTTGTGACGCTCCTGGCGCTGCCCCGATTATTACCCTGGCCTTAGCAAGGCAGCCACTACGGCGCTCTAGCATCTCAAGGAATCAATTCCAGCCAGGTACCCATTTCCCTCACCTGGGTCGAGTGTGGAAAATGTAGATCAATATCTTACCAAAGGACATTAGTACCGCTCGGGACTCGAACCGCGGACCTTAAGATCGACAGAGTCCGTCGACGTATCCACTCAACCACGTTTTACAATATGTTTGTTACATTAATTCTGCAAAGCATTCTTTTTAATATCATGTTGTACTACGTTTTCATTATTTTGTATTATTACTATAGAAATATTAATATCATTACTACTACACAGAAGTTCCTTAGGCTATGCCTCGTTCAACTATACTGGCAATACATCAAAGAGTGCTTGCCCTCCGACAGGATGGACACAAACAAGCCGAGTTTGCTGATTTCCTTTGAATATATCACAGAGTGCGGTCTGTAAAATACTCAAACGTAATCGAGAGGAGGATATAATTCGAGGCCACATGAATCTCTAGGACGATCCCAACTGACTACCTGACGTGATGATCGGCAACTGCTTAATCTGTACTGTATAAAAACCGGTTGCAAGAGTTGCCAGAGAGCCGCCCTCGTCGTTTGTGGAGGTGACACCATGGAATCAACGTTTGCCCCCGGTGGGGTCACTCCCCTGCAAAGAGTGACACGTATGACCGTTACCACCAATGCATATAACCCCCTTTTGCGGTCAATTTCAAGGACATTTTGTGAAATTTAACCCCCTTTTTTACGTCAAAACAAGGACAAAATCGTACTTTGGAATACCCCTATTTATAAGATTGTAAGGACACTTTCGCAAATTTACCCCTATTTTACCATATTTCAAGGACAAGACTCGGCTCCGAGAATTTTTCTTCCCCGTTTTCTCTTTTCCCTTCCCGGTTTTCTCTTTTCCCTTTTCCTGACCCCTATTTATCAATTTCGGGGACACATGTGCGCCCCTATTTTCTTAATTTCGAGGAATATTTTGTCCGCGGACATTGCTTGAAATTGACCCCTTTTTCCGCGATTTTGGTAACGGTCATGCGGTCCGGAAGTCACATTGAGTGACCCCACCGGGCGTTTGCCGCCAAACTGTTAATCGAAGATTGCTTCAGCGTGGTTACCGAGCAAGTCGAATGGCCGAGGTTCGTATCCATACCTACCTGCTCGAGTTACCCTGAAGTTAAACTGAAGACTATTCAGCTTGGGACACTGGCTACATATAATCGTTAGGGAAGAGAGCCGTCATATTCTTGACTGTACAGATTAAAGACAAGGGCTAGGTGATAACAGGATGAGAACCTCCACAATGATTGCATCCATCAAACAAACCAAGTTGGTGACGGCTCATGCAGTGATGGTTTGAGCCGGTACTCATTGCGAAGGAAAGACGCCATCGGTGGTGACCGTGGTGCCGTATGGAAATGTTAACGCTTTCGTGTATCAAGTCATCCTGGAGAACCAATGCCTTCCACACGCAAGAAGTGTGTATGGAAACAACTTTAAGCTGTAAGACGCATTACGGATTTCACCTTGCTGTTGTGAAATAATTCCTTGATGCACCGGGGGCTCAGCAGATACGATGGTCTACTTGCTCCCCTTATTTAAACCCTATTGAGCATTATGGGATGCCTTAGGCCGAGCCATTTAAGAGGGACATTACTCCTCCAACTCCACAGGAGTTAGCCAAGGATCTGACCGAAGAGTGATACACCCTCTCCATTGACAACATCAACATGATTGTGGACAGTTGCCACGACTCGCTGATCCGTGTCAGGGGAGGCCATACTCGATATTCGATACTCGATAGTCGACATCAGTGTCTGAGTGACACTTGAACCTTCAATAGATGTGACATTTGTATACGTGAAATCTCCTCGAATAGGCGTTTCCTTTAAAATGACCAAGGCTTAAACATTTTTTTAAAGACAGTATTTTTTCATGCCTCCGAATCCACTTTTGTTTCAATATAGAGTTTGTAAAGATTAAGTGTGATTTGATTTTCATTCTGATACGTTTGCAAGAGATTGATCAAAAAAGAACTGAAAAGATACAAACTTTACTATTCATCAAGAATAAATCATAGTGTCACAATCATTTCATGAAAAGAGGTTAATCAAATATTCCAACCAGGCGCGTACGCAGGATTTTTTCAAGGGGGGGGGGGGGGGTTAACATTTTTAAATCGGGCCGAAAATTTCGCAACGACTCAGCTAGCCGCTGAATAAGTGGGGGGGGGGGGGTAAGAGGATATATATATTTTTTTTGGGGGGTCTCGAAATTTGAAAATATGACATTTTGCTCCGTTGGGGGGGGGGGGGTAAGGTTAACTTTTTTAGGTCAGCCATAAGTATAATTTTTGTTTTTTAAATTACCAAAGGGGAGGGGTTTAACCCCCCCCCCCCCCCCCGCCCTGCGTACGCGCCTGATTCCAACTGTATGGGCAAAAGTGTATGTACATGAGATAAATCAAGAAATAACGGTTAGACATCTTGTGTATTTCAGAACAAAACCTGTCAATATATTCCCGGATATTTGATCGTGAACTTCTACAACCTCTTGAGCAAAGTATATATCTGCCAGTCACTGGTTGTGAACAGTACAGGGATTATTGAATGTGGTCTTTGTATAGTCTCCTAGCTCCATTAGCTCAAACCCTCGTTCATGTTTGGCGACTGATAAGGGTTTGTGCCTACAAACTACCACTTCACCGCGAGATATTTCTCCCCTCCCCCGATCCTTCGGTAACCCTAAATCTAAAATTCTAAATATTACAGAAAATCCCACTTGCAACTCTAACCGTAACACCATTCTCTCGTTGAAATGAAGCCGGAGCAATCGTCGCCAGAGCATATATCGGATCACCCAAAAACTATACCAGTCAGAAACAGATCAACAGCATTGTTTTATTAAATGTCCCTTAAAGTTAATTTTCAATAAAAGACCAGCTGCCAATCAAAAAACGGAATATCATGGTAGTATTTAACTCATAGGTAACCTCATCAGTACTAACATAACAAATACCGAACTTCCCGAGGGAGTTTGCTGTAGTCAATACAACACCGAGTAAGGAATTAACCTAGAACCTCTTGAATGAGCGACAAGATCCTAATATAACACGAAAATAAAAACGGAAAACCAATATTAAACAAAACCTTCCCAATGTCTTTAATAAAAGATAAGTTTACACAAAATGCTACAATTATACCTTTGAGTTGTCTTTGGAAAATACGATGTTTACCAAGATGACTGCAATGGTGGTGATGAAATCTGCTAAGACAATATTGAACGGAAATATGGATCGACGTTGTCGAAGTTGGCGATAACAAGGAATAGGCCATTTTCGTAATGTAACCAAATTTAATGCATAAGTCTTTGTGAAGTGCCTCAATACAAATTGTTTCATTCACCTGGTAAGAATAATCGTATTTCAATAGACAGAACCCAAACTGCATACATTAGTTGTTGCCAGGTCGGACAAACATTATGGTTTGACCTATCTAGCAACACTTAATATATGCAGTTGCATTCTGACTATTGAAATATTATTATTCCTATCAGGTGAATGAAATAATTTGTATTTGGGCACATCACAAACACTTATGCATTAAATTTGGTTACATTACGAAAATGGCCTATTAGTAGTAGGGTACTGAATGACAAAAGACCAGCGGTTCCCATAGTCAAAATAAAAATCACATATTATACGTGGTTCATACGTATCACACAAGGACTCCGAGTTGGCTCTGACAAAATCTCTGCCATTTTAATTTTGTTAAAGTTTATTTCATGTGATTTATAAATAAATGAGAGATGTACCTAGCCACCCCTATCTTGAGTACTGCTCCAGCGTTTCCGATCTCTTCAACATCTTGTTATCCAGGATTTTGAAATGATCCAGCGTCACTAGGCTGGAGACTACAAGAGAAACAGCAGTGTGACTGGCATGATCCTCAAATCTAATTGGCCTGTTCTATCTACTAGACTGGTGCAAAAAAAGTAACACCCGTGTCTTTTTCATTCCTTTGGCAGCTTTATTTTCCTATAACCAATCGCTAACAGGGAAGAATCAAGACATGATCCTCCACATGTACAAGGCCGGGATCGACATTGACAAGTTTGCCCAACCTTCTATCTGTGAATTCAACAGCCTTCCAGCAAAAACAGCGCCAGCTGACTGTCCAGAGAACTTCAAAGGACTATTTCTGAGGCATCAATCCACTCTCTCACATGTCACCTTCTCCTCCCCTCTCTCTCTCTCTCTCTCTCTCTCTTTCTCTCTCTCTCTCTCTCTCTCTCTCTCTTACTCTCTCTTGCCCCTCTCTTTCTCCTTCTATTTAGCAAAACAAAATTTACCTCTTCCTATGTCTCGATATAACTGGACAAAGGAAACTGACCTGAGTGACATCTCTGCTAACAATGTACGTGCTTACCTCGTAGGTAAATCCATGATGCTTAAAGGAGTTTGTGACATTAAATCTTGACATCAAATATTCATTGAAATCGAAATGCTCTCAGCAAGTATTTTTTCCGGTTGCAGGGGAAAACTAGAACTAACACACCTTAAGAATAGCGAACAAAAATTAATTCGCTAATACATCTATATATTTTTTGACAGCTATCACTTTAGTTTGAAGTGTTTGACAGACTTTCTGAATATTTGATGTGAACATACCTGTCAGACGCTATATTGCATCAATTTCTATTTCGTGATCGAAGGCCTTATACAAGAAATTCATTTCTATTATGGAGGGCACAATGTTTATTTTTACGCGTTTCGCTAATTTAATAGATGTGGTTTACATTGATTAATTGCCACTCAGTTTCTTCATTCAATATTTGATGATGATTCACAGCATTTGTATGGCGCCATATATCTGTTTAAAACAAACATTCAAAGGCACGAGCTCCTCCAATAAAGTTAGCATTTAAATGTCTGAAGGAAGATGTGAGTTATATAAGGTCAATAGGCTGGCATTAAAGAAGTTATTGCAATGTTATCAACTTTAATGATATCAATCACGACGACAGCTCTAATTTGTCTACTTGAAGAAAATAAAAAAAAATCTTAAAAAACAGATACACACACACACACACACACCCATCGAAGCACACACGCCCGCGCAAACAAGACTAATTTATATCTAAGTTCATAACTTTATTTCCTTTTTCAACAGAACACGAGTTAACAAATGTAAAAATATATAGAACAAAAAGCCCATGAGGCGGAGAACTATGACGAATCAAAACACATTGAAGTACAAAGTTGTCAAACAAACATTACACAAACGGAATGATGATGACAACTTTTAATATTTGTCTTCATTGACTCAATTGCTTAAAATGACATTTGAACACTGCCTTCTTACGAAAATCCAATTCCATGTCTCCATTTTTCCGTCTTTAATGCGATAACTTTTACTGTTCAAAACGCATTAAAATGAATCTAGTGCGAAATGAAACTATGTTTAAATTGGTTATACGTTAGGTCTAGCATTTCAAACGAATCATATACTATTATATACAGTAATTTACAACATTATCGTCAAACGTAGATTAACAAAATTCCTGTAACCTTCAATTGTAATTAACACTTGTAAATGGAAATTCAAGCAATATTTGATTTCCATCAACAAGCAGTATTTGTAATTTGAAGTTACAACTGCATAAAACTGTGGGATTATTCAATAACTCTTGTTTTACGCTATTATGTTGTGGTGGGTTTTGTATATTGTCTAAATCAAAACTACTCTGCAGTAAGGAAAACAAGATTAATCAAGCGTCGTTTCCTTTTCGTAATTATCATTTGTACATGAACGGTTTCTCAATGATAGTAGCGTATACGGTTGCAAATATGTGTAGACTGTTTATAAGATTTGACAGATTCAAAAAGCTTATTTGAGTGTCCCTACACTCTAAAAACCTAGACAAAGTAAATCACCATTTAATTGGGCCGAGGAGTGACCGCTTTATCAAAATGGTTGATTAAGACTTTGAACATGCTGGATCCAAAACTATAACTGTTGAATATGTGTATTTACAAAATTCTAGAAGGCTTAGTTTAATAAGCTATTTCATCAGAGTTGTTTTTTTTGGTCAGAAGTTGGATTGCTTCTGTAAAAAAATATGCTTTGAACAATTATCTTCAACTTCTACTTAAATAAAGTCATAAATTAACAACAACAACAAAAAGAAAAGCGATATATATACAAATCAGAAATTAACGTGTATAAAGTGATTAAAGTTTGTAGGTAGATGCCAAGTAGCCGTTCTTTTTTCTTACCTTTATTTTGATTTTTTTGTTTGTTTAAAGCATAGGCAACAATGAAACCCCTAGACAGAAAACACAAAGTTTTGTTCTTGAAGAAAATAAATGTATATTATATTCTCCCAACATCCCTCTAAGAATAAAATAAAAAAAACAACCGTGGGTAGATTATCTTTAAAAACCAGTATTTTTCAAAGGAACAAAAATGATGAATTTCTGCTTCAATAATACAGTTAGCCAAACATTGCTATGTACCATTGACCATCAAAATACTAGTGACATCATTTATGTAGTTGATTAAATTGTCTGTTATCAACAACTTTGACTTATCACCAGTTATAACATGCTATTTTTCTACATTGTAAAAAGAATTGAATATTAATTTTCGTCAGATTCTTAAATCTTACATCAATTGTCAACAAATTACTATAATCTTTCGTCGATATTTATAGGAACCACTCTGTTTTTGTTGCAAAACAGAATCGAACGAAATTCTTTTAATCTCCACCAATACACAACTGAATTTGTAATCAAATTCAAGTTGCCACATAATATCACTAAAAAGTACAGACAATCTACAGATATGTCATTTGTTCTGTCTTGTGTCAATATGATCGATAAAGCTAAAGACAAAGTAGCCGAAATCAAAGTTGTTCCATACACTAAAACAAAATATGTCCGAAGAAGTTGTTTGTTTTCTTTATTTCTTTCTATCATCTGGATGTTGTCATTGCATGGAGCCTTAGCAACAGCGTGATAGATCAGGCAAATTCTTGCACCCGTGAAACAACAGTATACCATTTGCGAAATGGTGGCGATAAGTTCTGCATCTCTATTGTAATTGCCATTGCCCATTATTTTCACTCCATATAAAGCAGTTAACCAAGATGCGATACAGGCGACAAAGCATCTTGGAGTGGTGATGATGTTGCGTACACCGAAGGGGTCGATTCGAATGGTGATCAGCTGATAGAGAGCAACGAAGAAGATGTTAATAAGGGACACGTTGGTTCCGACGACAATCATGAATCGTACTAGGGTTAGAAGCCAATCAAGCTGAAGCTGTTGATAAATGTGTGAGTGAAGAACAAAAATAAAACTCACACTTTCTTTTGACACTTAAACACAATTTCATGAAGTCTTGAGCAAAGTATTTCTCTGTCAGTCACTGGTTGTGAACAGTACAGGTATTATTGAATGTGGTCTTTGTTTTAGTCTCCTAGCTCCACTAACTCATTAGCTTTGTGCCCATAAACAACCACTTTCAACGCCGTATAATTATGGCTCTTGCTCCCAATCCTTTATTAACCCTCATCATATAACATCTAAGTAGATACTTGTCATTTGATTGGAATATTGTTGGTCATATGATATTCAATAAATAATCTATTGAACGACTGCGTCATTGAGCGTGCATTTTTGGTTATATTCGCTGTGCATTTGTGTACTATTCAGTGTTCATTTTTGGTGATATGCCTACCGTATTTTTGGTTACATATTTTGTATACATTCTTTTGGGATATATTTTTTGTATATATATTAGTATATATATTTTTCTTAAAAACATGTTTTAATTCATTTTTCAAAATATTTTAGGGGATATTTTTGGTACATATATCTTTGTATGTTTTATAATACAAATAATGAATGTTTTTCATTCGTTCAATAGTGCGAATATTTTCTTGACTTGAAATATTAACGTTGTATTCAATGAGGCGTCAGCCGAGTTTCATGAGTTGAAAGATTAATGTTCTATTAAACGGGACTCTGAATCGAACGTTTATCTTTCAACTCATGAAAATATTCGCATTATTAAATTCATAAACATAATTATTTGTATACCATTAATTTTAACTCTTAATATAACAGAAAACACACTTGCAACCCTAACCTTAACACCATGCCCTCGACGGAATGAAGTCGGAGCATAATTATGCCAGATAACCCATAAACTTTAACAATCGGAAACAGATCAAAATCATAGATTTATAAAATGTCCTTTAAATTTAATCTTAATAAAAGACCAGCTTCCAAGCGAAAACGTAATCTCACCTATCATTTAACTCATAGGTAGCCTCATCAGTATAAACCTAACGAAAACTGCCCTCCCTAAGGGTGCGTGCTATAGTCAATACCCCAGCATTACCAGGTTCCCATATTATACACCTGTGTCAAGATGACCTAACTGGGTAAAACACTTTAGAAATCACCAATCGGGGAGTTAATCTAGAACCTCTTATATCAGCGTCAAGAGCCTTCACTAATATAACTCAAAAACAAAAAAACAAAAAAGCAATTAAAACCAATACCTTACAAAGGTCTATAAAAAAGATAAGAATTAAAAATTGCTACTATTATACCTCTGGGATTACAGAATAAATGATGATTACAATGGTGACTGCAATGGTGGTGCTGAAATCTGCTAAGACAATATTGATCTGGAATATGAATCGACGTTGTCGAAATTGGCGATAGCAGGGAATGAGTAGTAGAGTACTGAATGACAACAGACCAGCGATTCCCAGAGTAAGAATGAAAGTCGTATATATACGGGGATCAGACGGAACACACAATTAGTACTCTAAGTCGGTTAACGAAACAGATCTATAGATTGGAGTTTGCTCTGTCGAAATCTCTTCCATTTTTTTTTATAATCAAGTTTATTTCGTTTGAATTATACAAAATTGAAGTGATGTTCCTAGTTTCTTCTCTCTTGAGGGCTGTTTCAGCGTCTGCGATCTCTGCAATATTTTGGATATCCAGGATTTTGAAAGGGGTCCAGCGTCTCGGAGAGAACCAGCAGTGTGACTGGCATGGTCCACAAATTACAGTGGCAGTTCTTTCTACAAAGATAGTAGACTTGTGTAAAATATATCAATGGTCTCTCTACCATTCCTATTACAGCTTCATTTTCCTAACACCAATCGCAAACATGGAAGAATCATGGCATGATCCTCCACATATAAAACGCCGTGAGCTACTTCTATCCCTGAATTCGGCAACAGCCTTCCAGCAAATACAGTGTCAGCTGACTGTCGAGAGAACTTCCAAGGACTACTCCTGAGGCATCTAATGGCTTCATGCACTCTCTCATATGTCACCTTCCTTCCTCCCCCCCTCTCTCTCTTTTTCACTCTCTCTCTCTCTCTCTCTTACTCTCTCGCTTGCCCCTCTCTTTCTCCTTCTATTTAGCAAAACAAAATTTACTTCTATCGATGTCTCGATATAACTGGACAAAGGGAACTGATCTGAGTGACATCTCTGCTAACAATGTACGTGCTTACCTCGTAGGTAAATCCATGATGCTTAAAGGAGTTTGTGACATTAAATCTTGACATCAAATATTCATTGAAATCGAAATGCTCTCAGCAAGTATTTTTTCCGGTTGCAGGGGAAAACTAGAACTAACACACCTTAAGAATAGCGAACAAAAATTAATTCGCTAATACATCTATATATTTTTTGACAGCTAACACTTTAGTTTGAAGTGTTTGACAGACTTTCTGAATATTTGATGTGAACATACCTGTCACACGCTATATTGCATCAATTTCTATTTCGTGATCGAAGGCCTTATACAAGAAATTCATTTCTATTATGGAGGGCACAATGTTTGTTTTTACGCGTTTCGCTAATTTAATAGATGTGGTTTCCATTGATTAATTGCCACTCAGTTTCTTCATTCAATATTTGATGATGATTCACAGCATTTGTACGGCGCCATATATCTGTTTAAAACAAACATTCAAAGGCACGAGCTCCTCCAATAAAGTTAGCATTTAAATGTCTGAAGGAAGATGTGAGTTATATGAGGGTCAATAGGCTGGCATTAAAGAAGTTATTGCAATGTTATCAACTTTAATGATATCAATCACGACGACAGCTCTAATTTGTCTACTTGAAAAAAATAAAAAAATCTTAAAAAACAGATACACACACACACACACACACACACACACACGCACACACATAGAAACACAGACGCCCGCGCAAACAAGACTAATTTATATCTAAGTTCATAACTTTATTTCCTTTTTCAACAGAACACGAGTTAACAAATGTAGAAATATATAGAACAAAAAGCCCATGTGGCGGAGAACTATGACGAATCAAAACACATTGAAGTACAAAGTTGTCAAACAAACATTACAAAAACGGAATGATGAAGACAACTTTTAATATTTGTCTTCATTGACTCAATTGCTTAAAGGTAAAGACCAGTTATGGTCATGCGATTGCATTGTGAAAGAAACGTTGTGGAATCGATCAGAAAAGGTTGATCATCTAGCATCTAGCATCTGCAAGGTTCTGGAATCATCAAAATGATAAGAAATTTGGCCCATTCTTCGTAAAGTTACAAGTACTATACACAGAAAGATGTATATGGGACTACCCTGTGTCTCTCACAGACCATGAGAGAAACAAATTTACCAAATATATGAATTAGTAGGCGGTTTCCCGGCAAATTTGTTATCATCATGTATTGGTCAAAACATATTCTTTCACATGATTGGTAATGAGAGCTTCCATTTCATTTTTTGAAATGGGGGGTTTCCAATACTGGTCTTTACCTTTAAAATGACATTTGAACACTGCCTTCTTACGAAAATCCAATTCCATGTTTCCATTTTTACGTCTTTAATGCGATAACTTTTACTGTTCAAAACGCATTAAAATAAATCTAGTGCGAAATGAAACTATGTTTAAATTGGTTATACGTTAGGTCTAGCATTTCAAACGAATCATATACTATTATATACAGTAATTTACAACATTATCGTCAAACGTAGATTAACAATATTCCTGTAACCTTCAATTGTAATCAACACTTGTAAATGGAAATTCAAGCAATATTTGATTTCCATCAACAAGCAGTATTTGTAATTTGAAGTTACTACTGCATAAAACAGTGGGGTTATTCAATAACTCTTGTTTTACGCTATTATGTTGTGGTGGGTTTTGTATATTGTCTAAATCAAAACTACTCTGCAGTAAGGAAAACAAGATTAATCAAGCGTCGTTTCCTTTTCGTAATTATCATTTGTATATGAACGGTTTCTCAGTGATAGTAGCGTATACTGTTGCAAATATGTGCAGACTGTTTATAAGATTTGACAGATTCAAAGAGCTAATTTGAGTGTCCCTACACTCTTAAAAACTAAAAAAATTAAATCCCCATTTAATTGGGCCGAGGAGTGACCACTTTATCAAATTGGCTGATTAAGACTTTGAACAACCTAGATCCAACACTATAACTGCTAAATATATGTATTTACACAATTCGAGAAGGCTTAGTTTAATAAGCTATTTCATAAGAGTTTTTTTTTTTGGTCAGAAGTTGGATTGCTTCTTTAAAAAAATATATTTTGAACAATTATATTCAACTTATACTTAAATAAAGTCATAAATTAACAACAACAAAAAGAAAAACGATATATAAAAATTAGAAATTACCGTGAATAAAGATATTAAAGTTTGTAAGTAGATGCCAAGTAGCTGTTCTTTTTTCTTACCTTTATTTTGATTTTTTTTTGGTTTAAATCACAGGCAACATTGAAACCCTATAGACAGAAAAAAGAAAGTTTTGTGCTTGTAGAAAATAGATATGTATTATATTTTTTCACAATAACCCTCTAAGAATAAAAGAGGACAAAGGAGAACTAAAAATACCTTACCGAAAAAAGGGTAGTTAGAACAAAGATTATTTTCAAAAACAGTATTTTTCAAAGGAACAAAAATGGTGAATTTCTGCTTCAATAAACCATTTAGCAAACATATGCAATGTACCATTGACCCTCAAAATACAAATGTCATCATTTATGTACTTAATTTAATTTTCTGTTATCAAGAAGTTTAAATTCTCAACACTAATAACATGCCATTTTATTAAATTTGAAAAATGAACGTAAATATGTTTTTTTTCAGAATCTTGAATCTTTCATCAATAGACAACAAATTACAATATTATTTCGTCGATATTTATAGGAGCCACCCTGTTTTTCTTGCAAGATAGAATCGAACGAAATTCTTTCAATCTCCACCAATACACCACTGAATTTGTAATCAAATTCAAGATGCTACACTCTATTACTATAAAGTACAGACAATCTAAGATAGAGATGGCATATATGTCATAATATATACCGTTTGTATTCAATGTGATCGATAAAGCTAGAGACAAAGTAGCCGAAATCAAAGTTGTTCCATACACTAAAGCAAATGTCCGAAGAAGCTTTTTGTTTTCTTTATTTCTTTCTATCATCTGGATGTTACCATTGCATGGATCCTTAGCAACAGCGTGATAGATCAGGCAAATACTTGCACCCGTAAAGCAACAAAATACCATTTGCGAAATGGTGGCGATAAGTTCTGCATCTATATTGTAATAGCCATTGTTAACAAATTTCACTCCAGACAAAGCAGTTAACCAAGATGCAATACATGCGACAAAGCATCTTGGAGAGGTGATGATGTTGCGTACACCGAAGGGGTCGATTCGAATGGTGATGAGCTGATAGACAGCAACGAAGAAGATGTTGATGAGGGACACATTTGTTCCGATGACAACCATGAATCGTATTAGAGGCCAAACGAGCTGAGGCTGTTGATAAATTTGTGAGTGAAGGATAAATAACAATAATGAATACTAGTTTATCCTAAAGGGAAGCAAGAACAGTGCCCCGCTAGAGGACCCTGTAATTATTTTAACCCTAGCGACTGACATTTGAGAACCGGGCAGGGATTCGAACCCTCAACTCTTAGACTGAGAGCCAAGTGGCTTACCCACTAAATCACGACAGCTCCACAATACGGTTATAATACAATACAGATACATTTAATTAATCATTTTAATATATTTACATAACATGAATAAAACAATAACGGGTAAACATTATTTTTATTCGAGGAAAAAACCTGCCGACATTTTTGGATATTTTAAAGCGGAATTTGAGTTCGTTATACCAGCACCCCATCCTGCTACCGCCCCACTACACCAGTCTACGGGCTCAAACTATTTTTTGACACTTAATACAATTTCATAAAATCTTGAGCAAAGTATATATCTGACAGTCACTGGTTGCGAACAGTACAAGCATTATTGAATGTGGTCTTTGTATAGTCTCCAAGCTCCATTAGCTCAGACCCTTTTTCATGCATGGTGACTGACAAGGGTTAGTACACACTACCACTTCACAGTCGTATAATTATGGCTCTTGCTCCCGATCCTTTATCAACCCTTTTAAAGCCACACTGAACTACTTGTAGCTATTTGCTCCCTCTATATAGAAAACAATGCCTCATCGGTGACCATTGGTCCCCATGATCCTCTTTTTCTTATGTTAATTGACAGCTGATTTGATGAGATAACCACCTGTCCAGTGACCTTGCAGGGTGGTGTAATCCCTCCTAAAAACTAGTACCGATGAGCTTTAATATAACATCTAAGTAGATACTTGTGATTTAATTGGAGGATTTTTGGTCATATGATATTCAATAAATAATCTATTGAACGACTGCGTCATTGAGCGTGCATTTTTGGTTATATTCGCCGTGCATTTTTGTACTATTCAGTACTATTCAGATTATATGAATCCCGTATTTTTGGTTAGGCTTATATATTTTTTGATATATCTTTTTGGGATATATATTTTATATATTTGACTTAACTTATGCCGTCCACGCAGGCCAGGGGCCTCGTGATGGCTTCTGTATGGTGATGGTATGCCAAGTTTTTCTGTCCGCAGCCAGTCTTGATGCATCTGACAGCCTTGGTATGGATCTTGCTTTGCAGTCAAGCCATCTTTTGGGTGGACGGCCTCTGGGTCGATTTCCTGTGACCTTTCCTTCCACGGCAATTTTGGGGTATCTTGTAGGTTTCATTCTTAGGACGTGGCCAAAATATTTGAGTCTTTTAGTAGGGACTTTGTCCATAACATCTTGATCGAGGTTGAGGGATTCTTTGATGTGTGTGTTACGGATCTTATCTAGTCTTGTCACCCCCATTATGCGACGAAGGCATGCCATTTCAAACACTTGAAGCCTGTTGCTATCTTCTTTTTTAACTGTCCAAGATTTTGCCCCATAAAGTAGTATAGAGAGGATGAGTGATTGGTACAGTTACATCTTCGTGTGGCTACTAATGCTTTTTGATGTCCATTATGTTATTTAGCCTTTGGACAGCTGCCCCTGCTTTCCTGATACGATTCTTAATGTCACTTGTACTTGAGCCGTTTTCTGCTATTTTCCCTCCCAGGTACACAAAATCTTCCACCTGTCGATGTTGAGGTTGCACTTTATTTTGCTAATAGCTTGCACTTCTGTCTTTGCTATGTTCACCTTGAGACCAAGGTCACAGCTTGCCTTGTAGACTTTATCAGCCAGTGTCTGCAGTTCCTTTGGAGTCTCGGCTATCAAGACGAAGTCATCTGCAAAACGTAAGTTGTTTATGCAGGTTTCTTGAATTTTGGCTCCTATTTGGACTTCATCCATTGCCATGGTCATAACTAGCTCGAGGAGTATATTGACAAGTTGTGGGGAGATGGCACACCCTTGCCTGACTCCTACGGTTGTCTTGAACCACTCTGACAGCTCTCCATTTACTCTGGGGTTGTTCATACAGTGCTTGTAACAGTCGTATCAGCTTGCTTGGATATCCAAAACATCCCATCGCCTTCCACAGGTCGTTCTGCCATACCGAATCAAAAGCCTTCTGAAAGTCAATATAGCAGCAGTACAGGATTCTGTTCTTTTTCAGGTATTTGTCAGCTATTTGTCTTAGCGTGAATATTTGGTCTGTCGTAGCCCTGCCTGGTCTGAATCCTGCCTGGGATTCAGAGAGGGTTTCTTCTGTTCTTTTGAGAATTCTTCTTTGTAGGATTGTTGTAAGTACTTTTCCTGCATGGGACAGTAGACTGATACCTCTGTATTTGCCGCAGTCTAGCTTATCTTTCTTCTTATAGATCGGGGTTATTATTGCTCTTCCTCATTCCTCCGGGAATTTCTCAGACTTTCATATTTGGTTGCAGAGATAGTGAAAGGTGTCTGTTCCTGTTTCTCCAGCTGCTTTGATTTCTTCGGAAGTGACTGTATCAAAGCCGGGTGCCTTATCCTCACTAAGTTTTTTTTTATTGCACTTTTAATTTCCTCCTTCAGTATGTTTGGCTCTGGGTCATCTGAAAAGCTGTTGGGTAGACTGTTTGCTACTGTGTCGTTTTTGGGGTTGTGTTCATTGTATAGTTCGTCGTAGTTTTCTTGCCATCACTTTTTTTCTTCTGATTTTTCTGTTAGAGTTCTCCCTGTCTTGCTCTTAACTGATTGCATTCTCTTTGATGCTGATTTGGTGATTTTCTTAATTGCTGCGTAGACCTCCTTTGATTTAGCAGCGTGGTGTGCACTTTCTACTCTACTGCAAAGGTCTTGGAGCCACGCATCTTTACAGCCCCTAGTCTTCCTCTTTATCTCTCTATTCAGAAAGTTGTACCTTGGTTTCAGTGAAGGGTCGTTTTGTTTGGCTTGTTTGATTTTGCTGCGTTCTTCGCTGAGATCTAGTACTTCTTGTGAGATCCATCCTTCTGCGGTCTATTTTTTTTCATTCCCAGAACATCCTTTGCTGTGCTGTTAAATGCTTGCTTGATCTTTTCCCAGATGCTATCTATGTCTAGGTGGGTATCAGAGTGATCAAGCAACGGTCCGAACTTCCCTCCGATTATGGCCTGGTAGTTTTTTGATGTGTTTTCATTTTTCAGTTTCGACACATCGTATCTCTTCATTATGTTTTGTTTGGGTTTAGTTTTGAATCGTAGCTTGAAATTGCAGATAACCAGTTGATGATCTGAAGCCACATCAGCACTTGGAAAACTTCTAGCGCATTGGACGCTTGATTTCCATTTGTTGTTCACCATGACAAAGTCTATCTTGTTTTTGATTCTCCCGTCGTTGTTCATTTCTCCGTATCCATGATGTCCTATGACGTTCTTCCAGGTGTCCCAGTCTCTCCCTACTTTTGCGTTTAAATCACCTTACACTATCAGTATGTCCTTGTTAGCTAGAGTGTCGTCTATTGTTTGTTGAAGCTGGTCTTAAAATGTGTCTATCGTTTCCTCTCTGTCTGCCATGTTCGGTGCATATACCTGGATTATTGTGAAGGCTCCAACCTGTGTTTGGAATCTGGCTGAGATCAGTCTAGGGGATATGGTGTTATATCCCAGGAATGCTTTTTGTGCTTGTTTGTTGAGGATCAGAGCGACGCCTCTCCTGTGTACATCTTCCTCGCTAGCACACAGTACTTTGTATCCTCCCTCGGTGAAATCTCCTGATTCTTTCCAGTGAGTCTCTGAGACTCCAATAAACTTCCCACTTGAATTTTTCCAATTGGTTCAGTAGAATGTCTAGTTTTCCATCTCGATTTAGAGTACGCACATTCCATATGCCAATACCTTTTTTGCTGGTAGTAGAGCCGTTTTTTCTTTTGGGGTATCAACATGATCTCTTCCAACTTGGTTTGGAAATGATGCATCATCATGCACTGCAGTTTGCAGGCACGTCGGTCGATATGGCTGGTTAGTGTTATCAGGGGCTTTAACCCTGGTGCTATTTAGGCTTTCCATCATTCATGCAGTTTCGCTCATATAGTTACACTAGGCGGATGAGACACTTCTCTCCTAGCCACCCTGGTCTGTCCGCCACCAACCGAACAAGTCAGATGGCTCACAACCCCTACCAGCTTGAAGGTAGACCAGGACGTTTACCTTGATCCTCACAAGTTGGTCCTTCCCTCACACTGCACGCGTAGTGCTACCTGGAAGGGTCTCCCCCTTGCGTTCCATAATAAAATGGGAGGGTCAAGATTTATAGGGGTTTCAAGATTTATAGGGGTTGTATATATATATTTTGTTAATACATTTTTAAAATTAATTTGTTCACATAAATTGTGTAAATATATTTGTTTATATATTTTGGGGGGATATTTTTTAGATATAATTTGTGATGTTTTATAAAACAAATAATGAATGATTTTCATTCGTTGAATAGTGTGAATATTTTCATGAGTAGAAATATCTACGTTGTATTCGACGAGGAGCATAATTATATCAGATCATTCATAAACTATAACATCAGAAAAGGATCAACATCATAGATTCATAAAATGTCCTTTAAAGTTAATTTTGATTTTAAAAATCCAGCTGCCAAGCAGGGTAGCCTCATCAGTATTAACATTATAAACACTGTATTCCCTAAGGGCGGTTGCTATTTTAAATACCCCAGCATTCCCAGGTTCCCATGTGATACACCTGGGTCGAAACGAGCTAAATGGATAAAACACTTTAGGAATCAACGAGCGAGAAATTAACCTCTAACCTCTTGTATTAGCGTCAAGAGCCTTCACTAATATAACACTAAAACAAAAAAACAGAAAAACATTTAAAACCAACACCTTACTATGGTCTTTAAAAAAAGATAAGAATATAAAATTGTTACAATTACCTCTGGGTTGCCTAAAGAAGAACCGATGGTTACGATAGCGACTGCAATGGTGGTGCTGAAATCTGCTAAGACAATATTAAACTGAAATATAAATCGACGTTGTCGAAATTGGCGATAGCAGGGAATGAGTAGTAGAGTACTGAATGACAACAGACCAGCGATTCCCAGAGTTAGGATGAAAGTCGTATATATACCTGGATCAGACGAATAACACATGTACTCCGAGTTGGGTAACAAAACAGATGTATAGTTTGGAGTTTGCTCTGGCGATATCTCTTCCATTTTTTTAATGAGTTTATTACATTTCAATTATAACAAAAATGAAGTGATGTCCCTAATTTCTTGAGTGTTGTTTCAGCGTCTGCGATCCCCTACAATATCTCGGATGTCCAGGATCTTGAAAGGGTCCAGCGTCTCTAGGCAAGAGACTACAAGAGAACCAGCAGTGTGCCTGGAATGATCCACAAATGTCAATGGCCTGTTCTATCTACAAGGCTAGTAGACTGGTGCAAAATATAACAACGGTTTTTCGACCAGCTCTATTTTCCAATCACCAATCGCAAACATGGAAGAATCATGACATGATCCTCCACATGTACCAAGCCGGGAGCGACATAGACAAGTTTTCATTTGCCCTACCCTTTATACCTGAATTCAACAGCCTTCCAACAAATTCAGAGTAAGCTGACTGTCTAGAGAACTTTAAAGAACTACTCCTGAGGCACCTAATAGCTTTATCCACTCTCTCACCTGTCACCTCCCCCTCCCCCTTTCTCTCTAACTCTCTCTCTCTCTACCTCTCTAACTATCTATTCCACTCTCTCTCTCTCTCTTTCTATTTAAAAAAGAATAAAGAATCTTTTTCCAGCTATTTCTCGATTTAACTAGACAAAAGAAACTGATCTGAGTGACATCTCGACTATCATTGAACGTGCTCATTACGTACTAGGTAAATTTAAAATGCTTGTAGGAGTATCGTGACGTTTAACCGTAACATCAAATATTCGTTAAAATCAAAATGCTCTCAGCAAGTATGTTTTCCGGTTTGCAAGCGAAAACTAGAACAAACACACCTCAAGGGTATCGAATCAAAAAAAAATTCACGAATAAATCTATTAAAAAACAAAACAAAAGTCACTTCATTTGAAATATTTGGCAGACTCTCTTAATATTTGATTTGTACATACGTGTCAGACGCTATAATGGATCAATTTCTATCTAGTGGGCATATGTCTTATAGACTGTTAATTTAATAGATAAGGTTTCCATTGATTAATTTCCACTCAGCTTCTTCATTCAATACATAAGGGTCAATAGGCTGACATTAAAAAGGTTATTACAATATATTAATTTAAGCGATATCAATCATGTCTTGTAATTTGTCTACTTGCAAGAAAAAAATGTTATTAAAAAACAGATACACACACACCCACCCACACACAAACACTTACGCCGGCGCAAACCCGCACCCCATATTTAAGTTCATAATTTCATTTCCTTTTTCAACAGCCATAAATGTACAAAATTGTACAAATAAATGAGAAAAAAGGAATGATGATGACAGTTTAAAAAAAAAACTATTTGCCTTCATTGACTCAATTCCTTAAAATGACATCTGAACACTGCCTTCTTACTGACATCCATTTTCATGTCTCCTTATTTCCTTCTGTAATGCGATAAGTTCTACTATTCAAAACGCAAACAAAACAATAATCTATTGGGAAATGAAACTATATTTGAATTAGTTATACGTTAGCCCTACCATTTGAAATAAATAGTATAGACAGCGATTTACAAAAATTGTTGTTAAACCTTGATTAACAATATATTAGTAATTTCTAATTACAATTAACACTGATAAATGAAGAAAAAAAATATGCAATACTTGACTTTCCATTAACAAGCAATAATTTTTAACGGAAGTTACTACTACATAAGACGGGAACTTTTTAATAACTCTTGTTTTACGCTAAATACTTTAGGCTCGGCTTTTTAATTTTATAAAAGAGAGACAAGAGTGTATAAGGTTGCAAATAACTTACGTACAGACTGTTCATAAGTTTTGACAGATTCAAAGAACTATTACGAGTGTTCATGTACACAAAGCTCTACAAGGCTCAGTGTAATATTCTATTTGATTTGATTTGATTTATTGTTTTTTGCATCTTTTTTTTTCTTCATCATACATTTTCATGAACATAATATGGTTTCATACAATATTTTAAGTGTATATAATTTTATACAGATAATAAACGAAATTAAACAAATATATTGAATGCATAATTAACATACATTAGATGCAGGAGGTAAGCAAAATAGCTTGACGTGCCCGCCGCCCTCAACTTAGATACAGCAATAAAAAAAAATAAAGAGTGACTTGCAGAGAAGAAAAGGAAAGGGAAGAGAAGGAGCGTTGATAATAATACAATAAATCTAATACATCTGCTGATTGAATGTATGTTCATTCATGGATGGATAAACGACGCTAGGTCATGGACGATTACACATCATTGTTGAATCACTTTACATGCGAACATGAATACAGTAGAATAACACACGACAGGATCAATACTTAGACAATAACATAGTTTTAACCGCCTTCTTAAAAGAATACAATGTCCTAAGGTTTCTTTCTCAAGAAATATTGTTGAACTCTTATTGTCAAGTCCTACACAAGCGAGGCTTAACAAACAGCAACAAACAATACATAAACATTATAGCTGCATGTGGATAAAGTTTAACAATTAGATGCCACATAGCTTTTTTCTTTTTCTTTTTCTTTTTCTTAATTTTTTTTTTAGGGGGAGGGGGTGGGGTATGGGCGAGTGTTTGTTTGTTTTTAAATCATGATGAATCCCCTAGCGTGAAGAAAGAACGAAAATTGTACTCAATATACTTTTACAATAAATTTCTAAGAATAAAATAAAATCCAGTCATGGGTAAGTTTTTTAACAATGGAGAACCTACAAAAATATCCAACCGCAGAAAACCAAGATAATGTCAAAACTAGTATTTTTCAAAGATGCATTTTTCTAGGAGGCAAGGGTATAACCTCTCAGGCCTGATCAATCTATTTCAGCGATTTTAAACCGGGGCGCCCGAGAGAATTTTAGTTATATTAAAATATGTTTTGGAAAATCGTAAACTTCATGAAAACAAAGTATTGGAAACCCCAAGATGTTTAAATGTATATTACTTTAGGTATTTTGATGAGGAAATATACGATTTCAAAGATAGTAAATTGTTAAAGTTTTTCCCTAGCTCGCTTCGCTCGCTCGCAAAAATTTGAAACGGGATAGTTTGTTCAGATAGCGAAGACCATGAATATCCCCAAACGATGATACAACGATATTCGGGCACCATGCTTCCCGAATATCGTCAATGTTCGGGCAGCATGGCGCCCGAATGTACACTTATAAATTGTATTTTTTTAATATCGAAATTAAATTTATATCTCAACAGAGTGTCTAAGTTCCCTCGTTCACTTCTCTTCTCGCAAAGTCGATAACTCAGGATGATTCCTGGCGGCGAGATGACCAATTTTATTTTTGGTTAACATTTTATCTGGTGTAAATTGATTTAAAAGGGTGTCATGACTAAAACACTAAAACTGGTGCCCCCCCCCCCCATGACTAAGCCCACACTATGCCACTATGTTTGCGTGTACACACACACACACACACAAACACACACAAACATATATATATATATATATATACACACATATATATATATATATATATATATATATAATACATTAAGGAATATCATATGTAATTGATGTCACTTCTGTTATCGACAAGTTTGAATTCTTATATCTTATTACACGTTGTATTATTAAATTGTTTTCTAAGACTCTGCAATCTTTCATTAATTCACAAGAAATAACTATAATCTTCCGCCCATAATTATTGGAATCACCCTAAAATGTTCAGATTTGTGGAAGACACTATTAAAAAGAAATACGATGTTCGAAAAGTAAAGTCATTTAACTCAGTGTCATTTATTGAATGAACAATAATTCAAACTGTATCTACCACTGCATGAAGCAGACAACGTCAATATATTTGATTGTAAAGATTGTACAGTAATTTCCGACGCTTATATACATAAGATACTTCAAAAGTAAAGTTTGGTATATACTTGCATAATATACAATGATAAAAAACCTTTAATTTACAAAAGATCGATGCCATAGTGCAGCATCTATTCCAACGGTATATACTGGATACTAAGCATGAGAATGTTATATTAACAGTAAATAATGGATCCTTTAATACTTTGAATAGTTCAGGGTTTGGATTAGGGTTTACTACTTCAATAATTTGTGGATGGTGAAGCTGGTTAGGAATTATTCGGCAAAACTTTCGGCAGATTGATCCGTCTTAATTCATGAGATATTCTAACGAATTAAATGTTCAACAGCTATAAATAATCACATAGAAGAAACAGCACACCTCAATCAATAAAAATAGAGACACAATATTAAAGGGAAAGTCCACCCCCAAAATAAGTTTGTTTCGATAGAGGCAGAATAATAAGAAAATCAGGTGAGTGAAAGTTTGAGCAAATTCTGAATGAAAATAAGAAAGTTATGAATTATTGAAGTTGTGATCAATCAAATACAAATTGGCAACTCTGTGACTTATTATACGAGCTCTCCTTCATTTGCTTTGTGCATAATATTCCATAAAATCATGTTTTCTTCGTTATTGATGACGGAATATATATTTGTTCCTTGCAGGGGGAGTATAGAAACATATTTGCAATTATTATATTTAGGGTGCATGTATGGTTGAAATTTTTCTTGAGGGAAAATGAAAATTTTAGATTTTTTTAGTACTGAGCAAATGGAAGTTGAGCTCTGATTGATACGTTATAGAGTGGCCAATTTGTATTTGATTGATCACAACTTCAAAAATCCTAAATTCCTTATTTTTAATCGGAATTTGCTCAAACTTTCACTGACTTGTTTCTCTCATTTTTCTACTCCTATTAAAACTAACTTAATTTCAGGGTGGACTTCCCCTTTAATAATGAATTTGTAAACAATTAGGCCATGCGACTTTGGCACATATTTCCATCATGATATATACACCTTTGTAATAGTTTCATTACAATAAATATACATATTTATCTCAGGAGAAATGTTCATAAAATATATTCTTATATCTAATTCAATCTGTATAATTATCAATGTAAGAAAATATATTCACACGTTACAAAGCTTTTTTTTTAAATCAACGAACCATAACTGCTATTTGTACATTCTTTGAACATTGTGCTCCCAATAATCAGTGAACAAACACTCCAAGCCCGTTTCAATCATTTTTCAAAATTGTACATGCATCTTAAAATATTCAATTTCAACGTTTGAGTAAAATGTCACTGAAGCCAGGAAATCAAGAGTCGAATAAGCTTTGTTTGAGTGTCTGAATCCCGGCTCATCCTCCCTTTTCACTTTTATATAAAATCGATTTTAAATAGCACAGTTTTCTCACCATCCTCCGTCCTCTTTTTTTGTTACTTTTTTCACCTTGTTTTGTTTTTGTTGTTATTAGATTTTTCTTGATCTTTAACATTAAAGAGTCAAAGTTAAGTTCCGATCGAGGTAACAGAATGTACTCATGGCCCTCCTTTGCTGGACGGAAAGCAGTATAACTTCTCAAGACCTGACACAAAGAACCTAAGTCGTCAAGCAATTTCGGAATCAAATAATGATTCACGTGTTAACGTACGCGGTGATCTCATCCCGATCTGAATCATCTGATGACATCATCAGTGAGAGCATGTCGACGTGCGTTTCCTCATGGAGCCCTTCAACCTCACATTCATCGAGGTCGCTATCATCTAAGATAGAATCACAGTGGCGGCCATTGGTCAGGGGATCTGGTGAAGCACCCGGATGCGGTATGGGAGGCTGAGGTGGCCTGCTTCTCAGGCGAGACGGAGAGGCCGTGTAGCGCTCGGGTCCTAGGAGTGGAGAAAAAAGAGGTTCAGTATCACGCCTTATGTGTTTTAACGCTATGGATAGAGTTCAACAACAAAAATACTGACCCCATCCCAGCCGATCGTTCTGCTTACCGGGAATGGCGCCAGGTTTAAGATCAGGCCTCATGAAAAGCAGAGGGGGTGCTACGGTTGGTTCCATGGGTGGCAGCTTAGGGAGTGCCCCTCTGATGGACCCCTTACTGTGGTGGCGAGACAGGATTCGAAAGATCTCTCCAGCTGTCTTCTTGGATTCCGTCTTCAGCTCGCAGTATCCTATAGGGGAAGGGATGTGGGGATTAAGAAAGAGAAAGACTACTTAGAAACACTGTTTTCGCTACTGGCTCTGATTTTCGTTTCAATTAAGTTTGTGGCAGGCAGTTCGCAAATAAAAATATAATGGTATTTAATTATGTTTCTTCATCACGTCCTATGCATAAAGAGTACCATAAAGGCCACGCGTGACCGATCTCAAATAAGATTACGATTTTTTTTTCTTCTCGAAACCGCAGTTGATTGCAGGACCATGTTTTGGCAAGACGCCTCGTCGACTTTCCTTCAGCATGTTCAATCGTTCAGTATAAATGTATATTTGCATACATAATTATCTTCGGCACTATCTTAAGGATGCTAGGTTTTAAAGCACAACGGGTTCACATGGTACATAATGTACAGTGAACACTCAATCTATTTAATCCGAGTGAATAAAATCCTCCAGTATGTTTATCAAGTGTCCCTGGTATAGTTACAACCCCCGAAGAGTTTCCTGAGAAAAATAATCCACACAGGACGACTACCTATCCCACTCACCTTGAGAACTTATACACTAAATACCAACTATCCCGGAATTATCATTATTCTGAGAGTCCAGTAAAATAGGCGGTATCATTATTGTTTGAGGATATGGTCCGGTGATAAGGCTAGTAGTAACTCCGTGGCCTAAGTGTGCGGGAGACGGTTGTCTAAAGCCATTATGCTTAAGTGGTGTCATTTCGACCATTCTTGATATTGCATTCACCTTACGTACGATTGCGCGTCAAAGAGATCGAGCGCTATGGTCAGAGGTCATTGACGCAGTACTGCGTCAACAATTTTTGTTTAACGACGCATCGTGTGTAAGCTTAAAGTAGATATTCATTGATTTTAAAAACTAACTTTATTTTCATTATTGCAAAGTTGAAACTTTGATTCGACAAGGTTTAATATCAAAATTCAATGCTTGGAAACATTCGAAGTAATGATTATTACAAATTAAAAAACGCTTAAATACACCCCAGCATAGCACCTGAAGAGCTCTCCTTTGCAATTATGTTCATTCTTTATGGGATGTCGTCTGCTTGGGCAGTATTGGTCCATATAGTGACGTCATTAAAACATCGTTATTTTTCCGGCGAATCTCTCGAATATCCCAGCTGCTATGGAGGTGGTTGTATTTGTATTTTTATAAATCGCCCGATATGTAGTTGAATTCAAACTTGTACGATGGCCATCTGTAAAGCTTACCAGTTTCTAGTGATACATTAGTTGACATATTTGTGATTTTCTTTGAATTTCACCTTTAAGGCAAAGTTCTCTTACCCGCGTCGCTTCCCGTGCTGTCAATGTGAAACCCGAGTGTTTCTTCCTGGATGCTGAACTGTGCAATTCTCTTCAGATCCCAGGCGTTGCAGCATTTTGGCGGGCTGAGAGTGGCCAGACACATCGCGTGGTGTGTCACGTGCAGGGCCATTCGAAACTCTGGCGCTACAATGCCCTTCAGCGGAAACACTGTCCAACTTTCTACAATCGGTATGAAAATGATCATTGAATATTGAAAGAACAGGTGATATCAGCCTGAGGAGGACTTGCCAAGAAAATTGATTGGAATACACATCGTGAAAACAGTGTTAAAGTCGGCCTATAATTTGCAGTCCTACCGAGTACGCCATGAAAATCCACAGTTTGGAGTGTCTACTCTGTGATTCAACGTACGTTTCAATAAAATCTGTTAACAATGGAAATCAAAATTGACAATCATTTTCGATTATACCTTTAGTGTAGATTCTATTCAAGATATTTCACAGGCCATTTTAAAAACACTGCATTACTTACTTTCCCAAGTGTATAGAACACATTTCGCGAGGTTTTATCATTTGGTTCAATAATGCTACAAGCCACACTGTGAAAAGGTTGGGCAATACTTGTCCAACACTTTGCCCAACGTTGTGCCAATAGTCAACCCAACCATCTATTGGGCAATATTTTGCCCAATGGTATTGGTAAACGTAAGTACCCTACTTCACAAATGCATAATTGTTTCATATTTTGACCAAAATGTGGGCAAAGATATGACCCTTCAACTGCCCGACTACGGTAGCCAACTTGTTGGGAAAATCTTGACCAGCTGTTGGGCAAAATACGAAACAATTATTATGCAAGTATTGCCCAATAGATGGTTGGGTTGACTATTGGCACAACGGTGGGCAAAGTGTTGGAAAATATTGCCTAACCTTTTCACAGTGCTGAAAGAAGAAAAATCAAATATGGGACATTCTAAATGATTTGGGTGGATATAACCATGTAGAAATCCATTAAATCGCACTTACCGCTGAAAAAGTGTGACTTTATGAATGCGTACCAGGTGGCCAGATCCTCCGACGCCATCTTCTTGACGAACAGATCACGTGACACGGATTTGGACTCCTGGAAGAGGATGGTGTCGGCTGCCAGCATGATGGCCCAGTACTCGATGGGCGACTTGCGCTTCCCAGGTCGCTGCATCATGCCCCGTTCGGTGCCCATGAAGGTGTCCTTGTTGACCGTGTAAGCACTCTTTAAGATCTTCTCGTCCATCTTCTTGAAGATCTTCAGCTGGAACAAGCCTTCAGGATGAGTAAATTTAGAGACACATCAACCACGAGTATTCAAATTACATGCCTTTAATTCTATTTACTTATCGATATAGTAACATAGATAACTCATACGATGGCAAGGTATGGAGGTGTGATGGCCCAGTGGTAGCTCATTTTCCTCGTATAACTGGGGGTTCCAGTCTCGAAACCAAGTCGGTGCACTAGTGCCCTTTAGTTAATCCTCAATACCACGTCCATCGGAGAGGACTGTCTTAAAGCCGTCGCATCGGTCCCCTGCCTACTAACTTTAAGCATAAGCAAACACATGCTTTCGATCTTAAAAGTCAAGTAAAACAAACCATCGTTTAACCAAATTTAAAGTAGATGGTCATCATCTGTCTCCCACGTTACGACGTATAATGATAGTAAAAATAATGATAGTAAAATTAACAATGATAATGATAATAGTAATTATAATAATGATATAAATAAAAAATAACAGTGGGTTCTTGTATAGTGCTTTCACTCAGACTTGACACTCTTGGCGCTTCACAATCATTATTTGTGCTGATTTTTTTTTAAACATTCATTGCTTCTTATGGAGTCGTTTTGTATATGATGTACATGTTCTATTATTGTATTGTATTATGTATTTTCCTATGTTTTGCATTTGTGGAGAAATAAATTGAATTGAATTGAATTGAATTACTCTGGCTTAATTGCATGGCTACCATTTTGCCGCTCTAGCATTTCATTTCCATTAGGTACTTCACCAGGGCCGAGTGTGGAAAATGTAGATTAATGTCTTGCCAAAGGACTCGAACGGCGAACTGTATGACCCACCACAGTCCGATGACGTATCCACAAGAACCCGATACATCCACATAATGAAATAATGAACTTGATTTGCCAATGCAATTATAATTTTCCATGATATTTGGTCTAATTCAAGCTAAATGAGAGGTATATATAAATTGTTCATGTCGTCAGTGTCGTATTGGGAAAATACCTTGGGATTGCCCACGTAACAAGACAGTACAAACTGTGCAATATTAAAGGTACTATGTCCCTTTTGCAGGCCCCCAAAAAGAAAAGGTTAAATTCCAATGGCATTTGAAAGATAATACTAATTTAGAACTTCCCTTCAAAAAATGGGGCTTGAAAATGTCTTTAAGTGGAAAAATAACGACTACTAGTTGTCAAATCGACTTTAGGGCTATAGAGCCCAAAAGTAATAGTCTTGATTTTCAGACAATTGTACCGCATGGTCGTACGTTTTATGCTGCGCGAAGATTCAATCAGTTTAATTTTGGCCATTACAAGAAGTGGGTTATTGATGTAGACAAATCCTTTACAGCTCATTTTATGTATTTTATAACCAAAGAAGAAGAAAAAGCCAGTCAGTCACTCAATACTGACAATAGTGTGTGACAGTGATATGAAGTCTAGCAAGTAAACGGGTTTCCTGGCATAATTTGAATATTAGGACACTGCTGACGTTTAAATTTCACAGATTATGACATACATGACATATTCATAATTCCTGCAAAGTTCTACAGATTTTGAGGTTGGCTGCAAAAGGAACATAGTATCTTTAAAGCAAATCATAACGTTTTTGAACATAATTATGATATGTGTAGTATAAGGCATGACCCGCAATTTCGGGATCATGCAGGACTTTCTTTCTCCTTTCAATGACGTGTATACACTAGAACCCATGCAATCATGGTTTCATGATATAGACAAATTGATTTATCTTTTAGAAAAATTAATCAGGAGAGATAAGATTACTATTGGCCTATTCCCTCGGGGGCGGTGGGAGGTGCGGGGAGGGCTGCGGTTACAGCTGCTTTCTTTTACCATTAAAAAAAGCTATCGTTATTTCTGTAATTCTTATTATGAAGAAATGTTTTTATAAATGCGATAGTTCTCCGTTGATAGAAAATGTGCGATTTTGTTTCATGATTTTCGCTATAATAAGGCCTCTTTCCCACGGCCATGATATTTCATACAATTTATTTCAAGATTTTTCATCAACAATCTTCACAAACATACATGTATAAATCTAAAGTCATTAGTTACAACTTTTTTGTTGTTCACATACCTAAGAACGATACTTCCGTCTGTTTACGCTTTATTCTCTAATCTTTCTTTACTAAGATTTCTGTTTAGCTTCCCTTCTTAGCTAAATAAAACCATCTGAGCTCATGATATTTTAACACCGACGTGTTTATCTTTGAGGGGAAGAAATAGAGGGGCGTGGTCAATATCGAATTCATCTTAAAATCATAGAATACTTACCATTCTGTGTATCACCTTGAAAAACCACCCATCGCTGAAAAGAAAGACGAAAATATAAGAGTAAGATTACAATGTAATGCCTATAACAACCAGATTTCGTGTGGGAAAGTGTTTTTTTTTTTAATAAACCAAAGAGCAACATCGGGATGCTACTCCGAACAAAAACTTTTTTTTAAACCCTTGGGCGAATATGATATTAATACTTATAACTGCATTTTGCAAGAGTTGATTTCAACCAACATTTCCTGTGAGTATAACAGCAAGATAAATCGAGCGCAATCCAAGCTTATATTTAATTCTGAAGCCGTCTCCATTTACAAATCTATACAACGATGTTGTTATGCGAGTATCTTATTTTCGTGTTTTCCTTTGGGTGTGTGTATGCGTATGTGTGTTTGGGAAGGGGAGGGCGAGGACAGGTGGCTTAAAGGCAGACTTTACTACTTCAGCTAGAAGGGATTAGACCACCCAGCGAGCCAGCGAGGTCACTGCGACAGGTGGCTATCTCATTAACTCAGCTCTTATTTAACATAAGAAAAAGAGGATCATGGGGAACAAACAGGCACCGATTGGGGAAGTTTTCTATATAGAGGGAGCAAGTAGCTACAAGTAGGACAGTGTGCCTTTAAGTGCTAAATCCAACGAATCCAATAACAAACTGCAATGTGGGAATAACAAGTTAGGCTAAGGAAATCTATCCAACGATGTCGTTATGCGAACATTTGATTTCCGTTCGCCAGACGGGATAAGCTTTCGTCCTTCCTGTCGATGATGGTTGATGCCATGTTAGCAAGGAGGTCATCCGATCAATCTTCATACGAGCGATCACTGTTTGTACAGCGAACTCTCATATCCGCCGACGTCTTCAACGGCCAATCATGCCCGAGTATTGGCCTACACATAATTATGTTTGCGATATCGATTATATACAAATCACATTATGTCTTCCTTTATTTGAATTAATTCAAGGAGTAAGGGAATGAAAAAGAATCTTTATATATGAGCGAGGAAATGCTTAATTTAATATCTTTTCCAAGTGTAATTTTGTTTCTCCCTCTATTACCCCCATTAACAGTCTAAATATTTTGTATTTTGTAGTGCACATTAAGAAATAAATATGGTGGCCCTGAAGGGACATCGCGAATAGACTAAATCGTGAAAAATATGCGATAAAATTCACGATATCGTCAATTTTATCGCATATTTTTCACGAAGAAATTCACGAAATTGACGATATCGTGAACTTTATCGTGAACTTTTCACGATGAAATTGACGATATCGTGAATTTTATCGTGAAAAGTTCACGATATAAAGTTCACGATATCGTCAATTTTATCGTGTACTCTATCGTGTACTCTATCGTGTACTCTCCTGACGGGCGCTTCGTAAACAAAACCAGCCCTAGCTGGGGGAGACAGAGAGAAGGAAAAAAGGGAAAGGGAAAGAGAAGATAAAAGGAAAGAAAGAATAATAAGAAGAAAAGAGGGAAACGGGGGAAGGGCGAAAGGCTCTTACCTCCCCCCCCCGCCAAAAAAAAAAAAATAAGAGAGAGAGAGAGAGAAGGGAAAGGGAAAGAAAGAAGAGGAATAAGAGGGAAACAGGGGAAGGGCGAAGGGCTCTTGCCTCTCCCCCCCCCCCCCGTCAAAAATAAATAAGAGAGAGAAGGGAAAGGGAAAGAAAATATAAAAGGAAAGAAAGGAGAGGAATAAGAAGGAAAGAGGGAAACGGGGGAAGGGCGAAGGGTTCTTGCCTCCTCCCTCCCCACCCCCCGCCAAAAGATAAATAAGAGATAGAGAGAGAAGGGAAAGGGAAAGGGAAAGAGAAGATAAAAGGAAAGAAAGAAGAGGAAGAAGAAGAAGAAAAGGGGGAAACGGGGGCGAAGGGCTCTTGCATCCCCCCGCCCAAAAAATAAATAAGAGAGAGAGAGAGAAGGGAAAGGGAAAGAGAATAAAAAAGGAAAGGAAGAAGAATAAGAAGAAAAGAGGGGCTCTTGCCCCCTCCCCCCTCCCACGCCAACAAATAATGGGAGAGAGAGAGAGATAGAGAGAAGGGAAAGGGAAAGGGAAAAAAAATATAAAAGGAAAGAAAGAAGAAGAAGACGGAAAGAGGGAAACGGGGGAAGGGCGAAAGGCTCTTATATACCTCCCCCTCCCCCCTCCCGCCATAAAGGGAAAGAGAAGGGAGAGGGAAAGAAAATATAAAAGGAAAGAAAGAAGAGGAAAAAGAATAAGAAAAGAGGGAAACAGGGGCGAAGGGCTCTTGCCTCCTTTCTTTTCTTTCTTTTCCTTTCTTTCCTATTCTCCCTCTTTTTCGTTTTTCTCTTTCTTTCTTCTCTTTCCCTTTCCCTCTCTCTCTCTCTCTTATTTATTTTTTGGCGGGGGGCGGGGGGACGAGGAAAAAGCCCTTTGCCCCCGTTTCCCTCTTTTCTTCTTCTTCCTCTTCTTTCTTTCCTTTTATCTTCTCTTTCCCTTTCCCTTTCCCTTCTCTCTCTCTCTCTGATTTATTTTTTGGCGGGGGGCGGGGGGGACGAGGAAAAAGCCCTTTGCCCCCGTTTCCCTCTTTTCTTCTTCTTCCTCTTCTTTCTTTCCTTTTATCTTCTCTTTCCCTTTCCCTTTCCCTTCTCTCTCTCTCTCTGATTTATTTTTTGGCGGGGAGGGGGGGGGGGAGTGAGGAGGAGGCAAGAGCCCTTCGCCCCCCCCGTTTCCCTCTTTTCTTCTTATTATTCTTTCTTTCCTTTTATCTTCTCTTTCCCTTTCCCTTTTTTCCTTCTCTCTGTCTCCCCCAGCTAGGGCTGGTTTTGTTTACGAAGCGCCCGTCAGGAGAGTACACGATAGAGTACACGATAGAGTACACGATAAAATTGACGATATCGTGAACTTTATATCGTGAACTTTTCACGATAAAATTCACGATATCGTCAATTTCATCGTGAAAAGTTCACGATAAAGTTCACGATATCGTCAATTTCGTGAATTTCTTCGTGAAAAATATGCGATAAAATTGACGATATCGTGAATTTTATCGCATATTTTTCACGATTTAGTCTATTCGCGATGTCCCTTCAGGGCCACCATAAATAAAGGTACAATTCTGCTACAATAGCAGCACCCTCTGTCAAATACGCGTAGGTGGATGCAATTCTGCACCCCAATTGCACCCAATTTCTTAGTGTGTAACAGTAAGAGAAAGAGGATGGAAAGGGAATATGGGGAAAAAATCAAATTCAAATAAATATTTTTGTTTTGTTATAGTATGGCCTACTGGTTTTTTGTCTAAATTAATTTCATTTTATTTTTTAGAAATATTAGGTAAAGTACTGTACAAGTCTGTGTTCTGTTAAACTTGATACTATTATGTATTTAATATCTATGCGTAGTGTATGATATTTTATAACGCTTTGTTCTGTAAAATATTTAATTCTAAAATCTTTCTTAATAATTTGTGTCATTTTATTGAGCAAAAAGTCCTCAAAGTAAAGGCTCATTTGTCAGTTTTTGAAATGTGAAAACCTTCACGTTTAAGCGTAATCATTTTGAAAACATAGGCCTACGCCTTCAATCAGAATACACTAAGCTATTGCTACTCGAGTTAAATTCTCATCACAAATTCAATTTCCAAATCATTGATGCTATTTTTTTCTGTGCTTATGCAATGCATCCACCTGTTCTGGATTTAAATCTTATAAAGGGGCCTACGCCGAGGGATAGAAGAAGCACTGTCTTTTTTGGTCATCCATGTAGACTGACAGCCCAAGGGACCGACAAACAAAGAAAAAGAATTGGAAAATATAGAAAATACTAAATTACTCAAGATCCACTAGACCGCCAGGCAACAAGACCTACAAAAATAAATATATACAGAAATACATAAGGGATGATAGAACATTGTCAGTCTTAAGGGACACTGGCTAAGTGGACAATAATAAAAGTGGTAAGACAGCTTTGGGTCTAGTTGGCTGTCGGTCTCGTTGGCGTTGGCCTCCCGAGACTGACATTGTCAGTCTGGTGGACCGTAGCCGCTCCTTAAGTGCCCCCTTCAACATTAACAATAGTTTTTAAAATTGATTATTATTAAACGTGTAATAAACTTATGTTTTGAATACTTTTGAGCAGGTTTGATATATTGATAAGAAGATGAGTACATTTGGCATTGATTTAGTATTAACATGATGGTTTTCTAAAGATTATCATAATTCGCGGAAAGTGATTAATGAAAATTTATTCACTTTTTTCGGGAAATGTGGTTGGAATTTTCATTTCATTTCATTTTCATACTTTATTTTATCATATCAATGAAATAATTATTGAATAACTACAGAGAATACGGGCACGAATGAACTAGTTATCTTCGAAAGCTACATCAATACTAGGCTGTTCGCCTCAACATGGTACCTCCCAAGATATTGATTGGTAAGCGGAACATGCTCGTTTCAACCAGATGAGACAGGGACGTCTCAACCCGCAAAGGATGCTGCGTTGTCATGGCAAACAACCCGAATCCTTGTCTCTTTCTGACGTCTCCTGACCCACATGGGCATAGTGTGATCCAAGGTATATCTTGTCCCTCGATCATTTTAATGATTCTTTGCATAGGTGTTGATTAACATTTTGACATAGCTGTAGGAATAGTTATATATTTCGCTTTAGATGAAAGACATCACTACGTTCTTTTAATGAGATTGATCAATATTTTTTCCGAATAGGTGATATGTTTTTTTCAATAAGACTTAATTAATATTTAACTCGAACCACCTGATGATACATCCTGTATTGTATATTTCGCCGTAAGGAGAAGGGCAATTTCAAAAAGGATTCCATGAGCATGTCACCATTCCTATCATTACATTGTTTCTCATCGCTTTTGAGTGATTATTTAACATTATTGTAATCTCAAAAGTTGAAATAATTCCTCTCAGAGGGGCGATAATTATGTGCAAAACACTGACAAAAATCGACATAATGATGACAACTGACATGAATTCACCGATTCCACTCCTAATCCCTCTCTTGACATACAGTGATTCTAAGAATCACTGTATGTCAAGAAAGAGAGTCGGAGTGGATGACATAATTAAAGAATGTAATAAACACAGATGGGGAATTCCAGCTGATGACTATGAAGACACCTTTTTTTCGATCTAAATGAGGAAAAAAGGAAAGAGAAGTAGAATTGAAAGGGGTTAATGAGTTTTGGGGCGGTCCGCTAAGCCTACAAGAATTATTTTAATGTAAGCTGAACATTCCCCATACTCTCATCCATTTTAATTACACCAACGTATAATAAGATTGTATCCCCTGGAAATAGCGCTACTTAAACAAAGTTATTAATTTTGATTTTCAAAATCAATATTATTATCATTATTATTACTACTTCAACTTCTAGTACATTACTATCACTATTATTATTATTATTATTATTATTATCATTATCATTATTATTTTTATTACAATCATTCATCAAAATTAAAATTGTAAAAGCGTTTCTAATAACCTACTTCATTTATATCTTTACTACTTCATGGGCCTTATCTAAAATACTCTTAGATTAATGTAACATTGATGCATCGCACAGATACAGTGACCTTATAAAACATGCAGAATAAATCATAATGAAGGAAAGTTTATTTCAAGATTGCTGCCATGGCTTGGCGAGTCCGTATCAACCCCGGCACGTCGAGGGGTTTAAGATTCATACATGTCGTGGACATGCTTCTAAATTCTATTCCTGTCCCTCTCTCTACTTATACTCCAGAGTACCGTCATACCCCGTTAATAATTGATAATAAATGTCTTTTTGATTAAGGAAAAACGTGACAAAAATGTATTGTTTGAAGATCACGTCAAAGTCGCATTGAGGATGAGGAAGAGAAAGAGAAAAAGAGAGAAGGTGAAACAGAGAAAGAGAGAGAGAGAGAGAGAGAGAGAAAGAATGAAAGAGAGGGGTGGAGATTGAGAGGGAGATAGGTTTAAAGGAGGAGACCGGAAACGGAAAGGAAACAATAATTCTAACAATATAATGGACCAGAAAGTGAAGAGTATTTTACTTAATATGTACCTTCATACAATGGTGTACCCTTATTAAACTTATTGTAATGTTGTACGGGCAACTTCAACCAAGATTTTTTTATCTGTAACGCCGGTCCTCACTCGACCTGTTCTCTATCTTGTATTTTTCCCTACTTCTGTATTTATATGATTAATACAGGCAGGCGCGTACGCAGGATTTTTTCAAGGGGGGGGGGGGGGGGGGTTAACATTTATAAATCGGTCCGAAAATTTCGCGCCTGAATACAGAGTAAGTTCTTTTTATTTGTATTTCGTTGTTTTGTTCCTTAGTCTTAACTGTACGCTTCAATGGTGTAGGCCTACATGTTCATTTTTTTTTATCGAGTGAAAAACTTTGAAACTTTAAAACTTTGAAAAATGATTTGCATGGTTGTCATTATTCTTCCTGAGGCGCGTACGCAGGGGGGGGGGGGTTTAACCCTCCCCCTTTGGTATGTTATATGTGTGTATTTTGGAGGAACCCCCCTCCCCCCTCTTTGGTAATTTTTGATTTTTTTATTATTTTTTTAATTAAAAAAAAAAAAGTTGACCTCACCCTTCCCCCAAACGGAGCAAAATGTCAAATTTTCAAATTTTGAGACAAAAGAAAAAGAAAAAAGTGTCCTACTACCCCCCATCTCATATAATTATGTTGAAAATATCATATGTTAGAAAATTCGTATAAAGCTCTTTTTCAAGAATTGTATCTTCGATTCGAAGATTATAGAAACTAGTAAATCAATTAAAATCACTTATTACAGTGTATCTAAGGATATAGTATATAATGAGACATTTCAAGAATAATTTTCTTACCTTCTTTGTTTTTATGGTTTTGAAAAATATACGATCTGATCCAGATCCAGATACGTCTTAGGTATATAATTTCTTATCCTCTTTGTTTTGATGGTTTTCAAAAACAGACGATCTGGTCCACATCCAAATACATTTGAGATATATAATTTTCTTACCCTTTTTGTTTTGATGGTTTTCAGACACACGATCTGATCCAGATAACCTGTTCTGATCCTTCTTTGGTTGACTACGTCTTCATCAGGAATCTTCCTACCGATGAAGCTTCCTCCAGTCATCCCGGCCTGCTTTGGGGTCTTGATGGATGGAGATTGCTGAGACAGGGTGATCTCCACACAGGTAAAGTACGACTGGTTTCAACTTTTACCGAAGTTGATGACTAGGAGATTCTTTTTTAAAATTGCGTATCAGAAAGACGGATCCAAAATGATGTTGATTTGATCGCCTTTTATGAACTGTGGTCGGTTGTTAATGTCCAGAGATAATCACAATGCGATTCCCTAAATATGAGTGGAAAATGAGATGATTTTATTGGATAGAATCGAGAGATGTTGCTTTTCTAGAATAAAAAAAGTATCAATGTGTATAATCACATCAGCAATGTACGCTTGCTCATCTTGTTGTGAAAACTGAAAACGATTGTGACTGCTGCCTCCGACTAGCAAACATTCGCTGTTTTCCTGCAATGTCCGTGACATGAAACAACAAGATCTAACATGTAATCCGCCATGCTCCTGAGACAAAATTTTCCAAGAACTGATAAAGGTGTCCGGAAACCCTGTAGGGAGAATTAATTATATGTACCGATGAAAGAAAGTTAAAGGTCTCACGGAGACGCGTTGTGTAATATTTATGAAGTTCGCGCGCACAGTCACTTCCTTTCCTCTCAGATGCAGTGCAATTCGTCGATCGATCGTCTGCGAGTCTTTACGGCGGCACGCGTGCACAAGTTTGTGTAATATGATGCGTCGATGCCATTTGCGGATTTAGAAGCCCATTAGTTTCCAGAAAGACGTCCGGTGGAATAACGTTAGTGAGTGCTTTCTTTAGAGAGTGTGTGATAACGACTCTTCTATTTCCTGACGAGTTCACCGTCAAATCCCGCGGGCGTGTCCTCGAAATGGAATGCCAATTTGGCATCGAGACTAAGATGAGAGGGTGGTTTCGCGAATATGCAGTCGAGGGAGGAAAAATATAATTATGATAGATAACGGTCGTGTTGCAGATGCAGATCAGAGACAAACGAGACAAATTAGACTTAGATGATGGATGAACCTGAAAAAATTCAGAGTGATAGAGAGAGAGAGAGAGAGAGATGCCTATATATATAAAGTCATATAATATATTTATCCTGAATTGTACATAGAGTGGTGGTGAGAAGAAGAGAGAGAGAGGGAGAGAGAGAAGAGGAGAGAGAAGGGGAAAGAGATTTGTATACAATACATACAGGAAAAGAGAGAATGACGAAAATATGACAGAGAGACCAAAATGTATTCCAATATAAAAACATATTATAACTTTGAATTTTAGTCATAACTAAAGGTGTGGCCAAATTTTCAATATTTTCTTTTGACAACTAACTCTTAATCAATTTTCTATCCAAATGTCGAAAAACCACAAAAATATATCTTTAAACATTTATTTTTAATTTATTATCATTATTCGATCTCTTAGAGATGGTGTATGTGTGTGTGTAAGAAAGAGAAAGCGAGAGAGAAAGAGAGAGAGAGAGAGAAAGGGAGAAGGAGAGAGAGAGTGTGTGCGTGGGTGAGTGAAGATGCGTGCGTATGTGTGGGTGAGTGGTTGAGTGTTTTTAAATGAGTGAAGAGCGCGATTGGGGAAAACCGATAAAACTTAAAGGTATTACAAAGTTTTGGAAAATTTTGAAAATTGGGTGGACAGTGATTCTTTAAAATTTATATATATTCGGATGCCCCTGTGGGTGTATTGTAAGCACTAAAACATTTAGCCCCTAAAACACTTCTGCTTTCGAGAATAATTGAATATAAACATTTGCCGGTGCTCCCGGTAAATTTGGGTGAATTCAAAAAGCGCCTATACGGCCGTACAATCGTAGCTGTGACCATGAAAATCTCAGAATATGTAATTGTGATATATAATTTCCAAACCGGAATAGCTAATCGGTCGATTTTAGTCAAGAAACATTGTTTTATAGCTTATAATTAATATCTTGACCTTGAGAGGGAGCTATGCAGCATAAAGAGTTTATTATTTACATTTTCATAACTTTAGACTCGATTTCAACCGCGGCAATGATCACTAAATATTGTAGGATCACATATGCTTCCAATTTGTTCATTTAAACCAAATTCATGACCCCTTACCAAAACTTTGTATTACCTTTAAAGCAAAAATACAGGCTGGAACATTACTCAAACATCCGTGGTTTACGAATGAAGATGGGAAAAATGACGTTGATCTTATAAATGTTCTATACAAATGAGCAGAGAGAGGTGGGAATGACACTTTAAAGAATGTAAGTCTGTGTCTATGCATAATTACAATGATTATTTATGATTTATTATTAATTTGTTAACTTTAATTTGTTTATTGTCTGTATTTGAAATGTCATTATAGTGAATCTTTTTTGTGCGCCTTGGGTGCCATTATATAGGCAGATATGTGCGCTAAACAAATCTTAAATTATTATTATTATCATTACTCATGCAAATGCTGACGACATTTATATAATTATGTTCATTCGGTTAATAATAATTGAGCCATGAAAGGAATGCATAATTTATTCTTTTTCTTTTGATGCCGACATCCTAGTCAAGCATCGCTTTATATATGATTGCGGTCTCCTGCAATTTGTCCACAGTTTATTCGGATAATATTTTAGATTTATACGAATATGTTATAGAAATATGAGTTCGTTATGAAATGTTTATATAAATATCATTTTGACATAAAGTTAATATTGTTGTTTTTTGTATTATACTTAAAGTTTATATGTTTTTTGTTATTCAGTTATTGCAGGCCTTTTTGGAAAAATGCAGACATAACATTTTAAAACATAAAATAAGACCTTTTCAAAGGAATTTTAAAAACCCATGCAGCTGTTTTATTATGGACTCTTTTCTACGTTGCTCTTTTCAAGGAGTTGATATAAAAATTTGGAAATTCTAATAATATTTTCTAATTTCACACATTGATAATTAATTCAGTGCCTCGATGCACCGGAGTTGTATATCATAATATGATTTGGTAAGGCCTAATATTTTGTTTAACTGACATCAGACTTTAAACTAAGTTTGGTATAAGAGAGAAAAAGATTTTAAAAATGTATTGTGTGGGCGGATGAAAGTAGTATTTTAGAAAGGTGGGCCTACTTTATGTTGGATAGACTTTTAAGTGTGGAATTACCCGATGGACCTTTTTAAGGTCGAAGCGAAAGCATAGCCAAACAGATGAAGAAGAAAAAGAAGAAGAAGAAGGAGAGGAGGAAGAAGAAGAAGAGAAAGAAGAAAACTTAAGAAAAAGAAAAAGAAGAAGAACAACAAGAAGAAGGCGAAAGGATAAGAAGTAGGAAAAAATGTGTATAGGACACTTTAATAACTTTGATAATTATTAATTAACAATTTTTCTTTTAAATAAATCATTCTGTACCTTTCTTTATACTTAGGCCTACCCAATGGACCTCTTTATGGTCGAAGCGGAAGCATAGCCATACAGGAGACGAAGAAGAAGGAAAAGACGAAGAAGAAGAAGAAAAAGAAAACTGAAAAAGAAGATGGAGAAGAAGAAGAAGATGATGAACGGAGAAGAGGAAGAAGAATACTTAAGAAGAAGAAGATGAAGAAGAAGATGAAGAAGAAGAGGAAGAAGAGGAAGAAGAGGAAGAAGAAGGCGAACTTAAGAAGTAGAAAGAAAAATGTATATAGGAAACTTAATTACTTTGCTAATTATAAGTAACAATTCTTTAAAAAAAAAAATTCTGTACCTTTTTTTATACTTTAGAGTCCATCCTCTATAACGCACTGGGTGGCAATATACAATCTTTTATTCTCTCCCTCTTTCTCTTTATCCTTTTCTCTCTCTCTCTCTCTCTCTCTCTCTATCTCTCTCTTTCTCTCTTATTTCCTCTTTCTTCGCCATTCACCCCCTTACTCTCTCTATCATCTATCTCTCTCTCTCCCTCTCTCTCTCTTTCTTTTTCTCTCTTTCTCTCTCTCTCTCTCTCACCCTCTCCTCTATATATCAGTCTCTCCACCTCGCAGATTTGTATCACTCTGTTATAATCCATTCTTCCTCTTCCCTCGCTCACCCTCGCCTCTTTCGTAAATTCGATTAATATACCCCCCCCCCCCCCGGTCATGACAATCCTTGATCTGTCTCGAATAAATTCTGATTATAAATTTCCTATCACTTATGATAACAGCGCCATCCTGATATGAAATCGATCCAATAATATTCTGTTGCCGGTATTATTATGATGCGTATTGGCAGTCGCCACAAATACAAGGGGTTTCATCTGCAGTAGATGTAAACGAATTGCTGTGTATAAAAGACACGATACATGTGCACCTGTTGCATGCATGCTCGTTGTGTAACCTCTTGCCTTTATAACTTATCCGCACACACGCTGTACATTGTACCGGTACGTATACTGTGTACGTATTCTCAGTGCGGAACTCATGATTGGCTCTTTGCAGAAAGTGGATGCGAATAAACGGTGATGTAGCTATAAAGGAAGCAAAATAATATGCGAACTAGGTGAGTCCATTTCTTCATGTTCAATACACAAATAACTATAAATGATACCATACGAATGCAGTTCAAATTTAATTGGACAACGTGAAAGGAGATTATTCAGCGTGGATTCATCAGGCGTGACCAGATGGGTAAATTCTGACATTTCGGTCCCACGCGTATGTTTTCCTGTTATACTTTTTATTGACTTTTATTTTAAAGTCGGAATGAGAGAACAAAGTGTGAGCTGCAGATCACGGGGGGGGGGGGGGGGGGGGGGGTGTTAACCCCTCTCCTCTTGGTTAGTGGATGATGAGGATCATTATGTGATTTTACAGCATGAGAGACTTGATGTTTTCATCATTTTTTACACAAAGCAGAGACAAGACAATGAGAATCGAGAAATCAAACTAAGGCAGTCTGAACTTTAAAAAAGTAATAATCTGATAGACCTAGATAAAATTTATTAAAGGAATAAGCCAAAGCCTGGTAAATACTGGATAAGCTATCGAAAACTTTTTTTGGACAACTGTATGTAAACAAATGAACTTGATTAATGGTCAGCGCGCATTAGTGTTTGCTAAACGGAACTAAGTTCTCGCGCTTCGGTTGTGCATAGGTTGCATGCACATGATCGGATGCTGCTGTCGCATCGTCTATAGTCATATTATACCTGATTGGCCCCGAGTCAAAAGATGATTATTGAGCAATAATATTATTGTACACAAAAAAAACAATACAAAAATAACTTAATGGTAGGTAGGAATCGTACAAATGCTTGAAATGATGAATGGGCATGCTGTGCTTTCAGGCTATGTTGAACCGATACTATTTAGGGATTTTAAATTTAAATTTGAATTTAAAAGGGGGCGAAGCTAGTTTGTAGTTTGTGTACTTTTGTATGTCATTGAGCACTTTTTGGATTTGACAGGGGGAGGGTTATGAACTGTTATGCCTCCCTCACGCCCCTCTAACGAGTCTTTGCTTTAAAGAGGTCCCTCCCTCCCTAATACATGTATAATATTGGATGGCCTTGAGTGTGATACAAGAATATATTGCTCGAGCTACTGGACGAATCAAAGACGAGTCTGTCTTAGCGAGAGCAATATATTCTTGTATCACATGAAAAACAAAGCCATACAATATTAATATTATTATCTATATTAGTCTGACTAGCGAAATAACAAAATTTGACTTACCTCAGTAAAAATGGCCATATTTTCGTGTGATATCATCATGATATCGATATTGATAGTTGAAATTCCCGGATGACTGAGCAATACAAGAACATTATTGGTCAGTCTCCGGGTACTGCGCTAAAGATATTGAATTCACTGATTTATTGTACCACTTGGAATCCTTATATATAATAATAGTGTATATCTTCATTAAAAAATGGGTGTTTAATTATTTAAAAAAAAATCTTCAGCTTGTAGATACATGTATATTTATGAAGCATAATGTAGGATCTTGTTTGGATAGTGCCATTGTAAAAGTACCCTGATAGTTCACATTTTTGTACTTTTCCAGAATTCATATTTGATTGAATGTTGATTTAGAACATTTAAAAAATTAGCAACTATTCTGTATGATATTGCTTTCACTCGTGTATGTAGTGCCAAGGAGAAGGTGGTGCAGAATGTCTTGGATTTGTATCTTTAAAATATGAATTGAATATCCAAACAAACAATACAATTTCTAAAAATACCTATGAAGTTTAATATTGAATATAAACAACTAAGCATGTTTTTGTCTCACTTTGTTACAGTTGGATTGTCCTGAAGTAAAGAAAAAAAATACTGTAAACAAAAGATTTGAAATTAACAAATGCAACCTTTTTAACTTTTGTGTCCAATTGTGGTGAAGCATGAGGTCACTAACCTTCAGTGTATCTCTATCAAGGCAATTCACTATTGAATATAAAGAATCATCTCAATGTTTTTCTAGTAATGCTAATTTCTTGGGTCAAGCATTGAGTGATGAAAATTAAGGTTAGATTGTTTTGATGCCAACAGCCCTTGTCAAGTCTGTCTGATAGAGGGCAGTGTTACAGGAGAAGTCTGCCCCATCACAGAGTTTGTCCTGCAATTTAAGATGATTGGAGTGTGTACTTAGTGGGCTGCTTGTGTTTAATCTTTGGCATGTCTGTTTGCCGGAGCCTACTGTTATTTGTTCATTAAGGGGCTGTAGAAAAGGGTTTAAATATATCACAGCCCATCATCACCGAAGGATCTGCACGAACGATAAATCATTTCCAGAAGAAGAGTGTGGGCAGGAGCTAGAACGAGAAGCGAGAATTTTGCATTTAATAGTACTCAAGAGAGGATCGAGTTGTAAAGTGTGCTTCATTGACTTGATTGGGATATAATTAATCTGGCTAGTTGCTGAATTGATTAAAGTGAGTATGAATTGCACCAATTATCACGTCATTAAGCATACATAAGGTTTATAGCTGGGTAATTACAGTAGATTGTGAACTGTGTGTGCTGCTGCAAGGTCAATTTGATTGTGGTAAAATCTCATTGACCATGCAGTTTTATGAAAACAGCCACTGTGAAAATAATTACTATCAGAACAATTATTTTCAGCTTTTAGATTTGTGGCTGATTTTTTGCAGTAAATCGCCAATGCAGTGACTCTGAATCAAAATGGCCAATCTATAATTATGCCTAGGAATTTTGTTTTTATATCATATGGTTATTGACCAGAGAGAGAAAGAGGGAAAGAGAGAGAGAGAGAGAGGGAGAGGGAGAGGGAGAGGGAGAGGGAGGGAGATAGAGAATCGAGGGGGTGGGGCACATTACTATTTTATTTGAAGACGGGCATACATGTACACAGGAATTAAAATTAGTTTTTCATTATAGTGAAGTACTTTTTGAAAATGTTATTAAGAACTTCATAAGCATTTATTTCATTTTAAAGTTTGTTAAGGTTGTTCTAGCTGCCATGACAATCTTGTGAATAACTCTACATGCACATGCCCATAATTATCTGGGTATTTATGTGAAGCTATCCTTTTTTGTTTCATAAAATGTATTTGTTTACGTTTTAGATTATGATTTTATTTTGTTGAAGGAATGAATAATTTGGTACCATAGAATTTGAATGTACTGTTAAACTTGTTTGAGATAATTGAAATATCCTAAATGTGGATAGCGATGAGACAACAAATGAATTTATCTCCGGGTTAAAGGTACTTGCCACATTCATGAGGTTAAAATGGTTCATAAAGGTGATCTTCATGTGCTTATAAGATTTAAAAACAAAACAAAACTAAAACAAACCAAAAGTGACATCCAACTAAGGTTTATTTGTGTATTAAAAAAATACATTTCTTAAAATGTTTGCTGCTTTAGGGCGTATACCCTTGTACTCTTGTCCACTCCCAAATTCTGCAATATCACACCATATCGCCCTCTGCTCCTAATCAAAAGGGTATCAAAAGTCACCATCCGTTTACAATCACAGCCGTGACTTTTCATGAAAGAAAACATAGTCGTGATGTCACCTCAGAACAATTGTAGGTAGAGAGGGTGTGATCTGTGCCAACATTCTTCACCAATCGACGATCGTCAAGAAAACAATTGCCATCCTCTTCTGGACGTGATGGATTAACGGGTCTGGGTGAGGCTCAAACAAATATGACCAGCACTTCAAGCCCATAACCTGTGGCACCACGACTTGATCGATGGCTATTGTTTGGGGGATGCTCACTTTATTCATGGTTTATTGAAGCAGTCCTCATGCACCTCTTCAAGTGTAGACCACCATAGTTGTATTTTGTATATTTATATGAGTACAGTCAAACTTGCTTAAGTGACAAGCCTTCAGACTCAGAAAGACCACTTGTCTATAAAGACCAATTTTTGTTGTTGTCGTGTAGTGGTGTAAAAGGAAGTTTTCACAAACATGTAATTTCAAAGATCAGATGAAAAATATCTTTTTCTATTACTGCTACATGTACCCCCTAATCCAAGAACTGTATATACATGTATTGAAGAGTTATCAAAGATTAGACAGGGATATAGGAATATTAGCGTACAAACTTTGGTATTTCTAAGCTGTCCAGAACACTGAAGAATTTTTTTCTTCAGTGCATTGCATATTACTATACAAATTATTAACATATATATATGAAATGTATGTACAATGTTTTAGTAATGACCAGCCAAGATTATTTTTTTATTTTATTATTTTTTAAATTTATTGTTATTATTTGAACAAGTCCAAGGGCAAGTCTGACCCATCTGCAAGAATTTGAATTGAATTATACATAAAAAAATGAAACAAACAAAGCATTAAAAGTTTCATCAAAATTGTAAGAAAAAAAAGGGAAGGTTGTGGACCTTTAAAGCTTCTCATAATTTCGTCATCATATAGGCTGTATGCAATTTAGCAAGTTGATAATGTCACCCCCTCAATATTCCCCATATATTTTGTTTATTAAATTTTAAGTTTTCTCTTTTTTGGACACACCTGTATAAAATTGGTCCTTTATAATACAATTGCTTACAGTAATGATGAATTTGCACATGTTCTATGAGTATTCAAGCCATATATTGTACATTTCCAGAGCAGAAACATGATATTTTTGTTAAATTTATGTATAAACAGATACAGAAAAGTGTGGAGATGACATCAACTCGCTATTTGCATACAGACTATGCAATACACAACACTGTTTCATGAAATTATGTGAAACTTTAAATTTCAATAACTGTCCTATTTTTTTGTGGACTTTTATGAAACCTTAACTGTTTTGGTTTTTTAATTTTTCTCTATTGAATTCAACTTGCAAATGACTGGTACTCGTCATTAATATTTCATAAGAGTTTATTGCTTCCATAAACTTTAAAACATTTGTTTTTCATTCAGTACTACTGAGAGTGTTTTTCATGCAGTGCCAACATCTTAAAATGAAAAAAAAGAAAAGAAAATATATATTGACATATTTATTTCTTGATGCTGATGATCTTGCATTTGCCTCTACCTCATTCACAGATTCCAACAGAAAGGAAGGGATTGTTCAACTTGAAGGAAGAAAAAAAGAACAAATGGAGCTTTGAAATAGAAGAAAGTAACTCGAGAGGAGAGCCTCTTCTAATCTCAGCCATCTTTGAGGAGACAAGATGGAGTTGGTAAGTTGATATATCTCAACCATAACAAAGCTTTTTGTCCTATGATTCTCTATATGCAGCGCACAAGTCAAGGGAATACAATTTACATACATTATTTCTTACACAATTAAGGTCTACAGGTAAGCTGATATTGTAGTGCAATGTTCAGGCCAGGCTGCATCATGAGTTTGCATGTTTTTCAAGACCAAAATCTGCTTGTGTCCATTTACAGTGAATATGTAAATGTAGGGCATTAATGCAGTTTCCAAGACAACTTCAAGGATTACAAGTCATTAGCCAACCAAATGGTACTCCAAGGAAAGTGTTAATACAATCAATCTAATACACTGTGTATACACGTTTATTGGTACATTTCACAATGTGTATCAGTACAATTTAGATTTAAAATTCATAAACAAAATTACGTGTTCATTTTGATTGGATATGACATGTACAAACAAACTTGCAGTAAAACCCCCTTTTTTAAGAAACTATAAAATTTAATTTTCGTAACCACATTCTATACGCATTGAACAGAAGAAATTGTTTAAAACAGACTAAACCCCCTTCTGGCCCTGAACAGATATCATATCACTATGCTGCCAGTTTAAGGGGTGCTGAGTAATACCGGTAGTCATTAATTTTTTTTAAAATCAAAGCTTGAATATCAATTCAATAATTCAATTCAAATCACACACGATCTGTTTTTAGAAATTCTCATCCAAACAAACACATTTTGATATAAACTCATGGTTGACTATAAAGAAATGAAATTGAAAGAATTTGTAACTAAAAGTGTTCACTGCTAATCTTGCATCCAGTAGTATACATGAACATGTAAATGCAGGCCTACATGCATCATAATGTACAGATCTCCTTGGAAAGAAATAATAAGGGGCCAATATTTCAGCTGCTTATCATCAAATACCATTTACACTTTGACCAGGACTCACAGCTCCTCCTTTGTTTACATTGCCTTGCACACTAAATTAATCAGATACAATACATTTACAGACTGACTTAATGAATAGATACACTGTACCCCATATTTGCTTCATGTGAGTGATACCTCCACAAGATTCTACAGTTTCAACAACAATAGTATGAATCAGAGTTACATGCACTTTATTATTGAAGGAAGTCTCTTGGGAGGGTAGGAGTAATTGTATGAAGCAAAAAGGATTTAATAGTCTGTTTGTGTAAATAGTTGACTCCTATCTCCAAATTAATCAATTGGATTAAGCCAATATATCTATCTGTCCATCTATCAATTTACCTACTTTGTATATCTTTGTCTGCCTGTCTGTCTAATGACGTTGTAAGGTACATTTCTAACTCTCTCTCTCTCTCTCTCTCTCTGTCTATATCTAACTATCGGTCTGTCTATCCATCTATTCTTATCTACGTGTACATCAATCCTTAACCAGTACTCCTTAATAAAACTAGAACATAGACATGTTTATTTCTGAAATGACTTTAGATGGCAGTACTTCTATGAAAGAATAGATTCATGGAAATTCAGTCAAGTAGGGCTTTTAAAGGTGAAATTCAAAGAAGATCACCAATATGTCAACTAATGTATCACTAGAAACTGGTAAGCTAACAGATGACCATCGGACAAGTTTTAGGTCAACTACATATCGGGTGATTTATAAAAATACAAATACAACCACCTCCATAGCAGCTGGGATATCCGACAGATTCGCCGGAAAAATAAAGATGTTTTGATGATGTCACTACAATGTATATGGACCAACACTGCCCAAGCAGACGACATCCCATAGAGAATGAACGTAATTGCAAAGCTATTATTTCTCAAATTATAATGAGTTTAGTGTATATAAATGTAATGGCATGTGAAACCATTCAAAAGGGGATATGACCCGATTCTGAGAACTAAAATCTTTTGCTTGTAAATACACAGGATAGGGGTTAATTAACAATCAAAGAAACCAGACTTTCAAATTGAAAACCCCCCGGAATAATATTAAGGATGGCATTTGTTCCCTCTTGAAACACCGAACATACCCCGGTGTGTGCAGCTGAACATACAATGGCGTCTTATTTTGTTTACAAGCGACAGATTCATTTATTTTTGTATCACTGCATTTGTCATCAAAATAAAACCATGCGCGGGGTTTTGAGTGAGGCAATAGATTATAAATTTAGCCTGACGTAAGTGAAGTAAGAGAAAGAACTCAAGAGAAGATGAAAACACGGGCACTGAAAATGTGTAAGATGTCATGGGACATCATCTGCTTGTGCAAGTCATGTCCATACTGTGATCTCACACATCTCAGCAGCGTTCGGGGAGCTTTTCAGGTGCTATGCCGGGGCTGTATTTAAGCGTTTTGTAATTTATAATAATCATTACTTCGAATGTTTTCAAGCATTGAATTTTGATAACCTTGTCGAATCAAAGTTTCAACTTTGCGATAATGAAAATAAAGTTAGTTTTTAAAATCAATGAATATCTACTTTAAGGCCAGTGGGGGAATTTTGATCCATACAATTTTTGTCAATGATTAACAGACATAAGAGATACAGTAAACATCATTATGATATCACTTCGTTTTGAAATAGGAGCCAGTGTAAACAATGGTCTCTTAGTACAATGTACATTACTCTGCTCTTTCGGTATTCCATGCCTATGTGTTGGCATGTGGTTTGCGAGTTGATAGCGCATTAAAGTTTTACAGTGTTAAATTTCATTTAATGCATACAAAAACATGTAAGTGCTAATTGTGTAATGATAAAAGTAGTTTTCAGAGAAAACATGGACATTACAATGTATGAGCTATATTTCTTGTAAAATATCCAACAAAAATCAGAGAAATGGAGAAAATACAACTGAATTGGAAGTTCAAAACTAATATTCTCCCCATTCTCATGAAATGAAGTACATCTATTACACCTCACTGGTATACCATAGCTGTCTCTCTCCCTATATATCTAAAGATATATCTATTACTCTTGAAAAAATCACCTAAACCAATTGACTTCAGAAAGAAAGACATTTGCCCCTCAGGCACCAAGAGTAGTAAAATTATGATTCTGTTACATTTTTGAATTCAATCAATGTTATTTTCACATTTGAATAAAAAGAACAATCACAATGACACTAATGTATACAGCAAAAGAGAAAATATAAAGTATAAAAACACATACAAATTCAAATATGGTGGGATTTGCAAAGGCCACAAATGGAAAACCCCATTACAAAAATATGATATTTGTATGAGTACATGAAACAAGAAAAAAAAAGGTGATATGAATAACATATTAAGTCCTTGATTAACAAAGAAATCATACCTGCTCAATATCAAAGTAATGCTCAGTAGCATAGCTGGTCATCTATTCCAAAGAATGTATGTTTCTTGCTTTGTTGAGCAATTTTTAAAAAAAAGATCTTGATGCTTTCATTAATTTGATATTCAATCATTCTAATGTTTTGTGTATTTTAATTCCATTTTTAGCATATACAAATCAATGAGACACCAAATAAATAACCTGTTTGTAAATTTACTAATTTTTGAATATTTTTTAAATTGGATAGGGGTAATTTAAGGCCTACATTATTTTATTTGCTCATCTTGTGAAATGAAATATTAACTATGGGGACTCATTGACCCATAAAACCAATTAATTTCAACCAGTTCATTTTTTTAGTGCAGCTACAATGTATAAACAGTATATGCCTTCATTCTGAATATTATATTTGAAAATTCCTTTGCATTATATATCCTCTGCATTATATATCCTCTGCTAGAAAGAATTGAATATGAAATCAGTTACTCTACTGTAAAACCAGAATGTTTGTGACTGCATGGTAACTTTCACAAATTGTAATTAAACAACAGCCATTTTCACAGCAAGACACTTTTACAAATTGCAAAAATTCAGTCCTGTGTCAGTTATTATTTTGGGCAATTCTGTGCAATGTCTCGATCCTGTGCGGCATCTAACATTTATCCATTTGTTTCATCCAATATATGAAAATCTCTTGACATGGCAATTTGCTATTGGTTCTTTTTGGTACTAACGATATTAAATCGCCATTTCAAGATATATTTCATTTTTAGATGAAATAAATGGAAAAGAGAAATATGTCATTCGAGACACTTTGCATGGTAACGCTCTTTTGAGGCATGAAACTTTTGTGACTCTTATCCATTTGAAAAGGTTTGCCCAGTGGTAATTTTGTTGCCATTTGGGAATAATTGGTATTAAGATTAAAATGTTGTATTGTATTGTTTTGTTATTTATAGGGAACCTTGGTGTGGTTCGACAATGGGCTCGATTACCCTGTTCCTGGGCGTGTCGTCGTCTCAAATAATGCTTCCATGAAGATACTCTGTGCCAGTGATGGAAAGGTAAGATCTATCTAGCTAATCCTAATCCTAAACCAAATCCTAATATAATGTCTACTTGTAATGCTAACCTTAACTCTATAATTTTTAAGATATAAAGTCTTCTGGTCTATCACTGGAGCACATGTATGTCACTATTAAACACTAGTTTGTATGATATACTGTACAGAGACGTTTACATGTAAGTGCAAGAGAGAGAGAGAGAAAGAGGGAGAGAGAGAGAGAGAGAGAGAGAGAGAGACAGACAGAGATAGACAGACAGAGAGGGGGGGGGGGGTGAGATAAGAAGGGAGAGAGATGCATGTAGAAAAGAAGAAGCAAGAGAGAGGATAAGAAGGGGGAGGGAAAGGGAAAGACAGAGACAGACAGAGAGAGAAAGAGCATTTAGTGAAAAAGGAAAAGGATAGCGGGAAAGTGGAAGAGATATCATGAGTGAGAATGGAAGATATTGATTGAGGATCTAGCACAATACAGAAAAGGATGCAGAAAATAATGAGTGCTCCATATAACCAGAAGAATGGCTATTTGTATGGATATCTGCATAAAGACTTATAGCTGAAAAGAAACATTTACCATGGTCATCAGACCACACTTAACATGCACTTGTAAAGCACTTTCACTGGCAATTTAATTACCACTATAGATGACTCATGTATTTACCTTGACTGGCATGATATTGTCATATACTCCCTACATGTACATGTACATGCAATGTACATAGTAAAATGCATGACATTTACAACATACCCTAGATGCTACAGGTGTCAGACTGAGCAAGCAAGCAAAGATTGATTGCAATCCAGCGGTGTTTAAATGGCACCCATGGATATTTTGCTTACCGAAGGGATATGGCTCTTAATTAAAAATGGTCACTTATGGCGATTATGGAGACGAAATGTCTCCCTACTGTATTTTGATTACAATAAGCCTATTGGGAAAGAAAATTTGTAATTTGTCACAATAGCATAGGGATTTCATATATGATATTGCCTTGCATTTATTACTCGGTACTTAATATTGTGGTATGCGTGGCAAATTTTTGATCAAGTGCCTTTAAAATGGTTAGATGGTAATTGTTAGTACTACATGCACCTCACATGGTTGTGGGCTGATTTCAGGATGTTAAAGAGAAAAATGAAGTCTCATCTTTTTGGGGGTACCGGTAGGTCTTATTTGCATTTTTTTTGTTATTGCTCTGATCATAGTTTTTTGAGGTTCTGAGATTTCAATTTTTATAAATCTGATATTGTGAAGAAAAACAAACCCAAATATTACTGAAGCTCTACATTTTTGCTACATACAGTCAGGAATTAACAGACACAATTTGAAAACGACAAACTAAGGAATGCATTCAGTTTTAAATGAGAATAGTGTTCGAGTGGGCTCAGCTCAAATGCAATACAGCTTCATCTATTACAACGTGAAATCCCGAGCCTTGGACATTTGGTTTGATAGTCCGTTCGACATACATAATGTTTACATTAACTTTACAAAGTCTCGCAGTGAAAGAATCAACAGTTTACACTCACTAGTCAACTGGTGAAAATCTACAATGGATTTATCTGTGTTTGGAGTAGCCTTTGGAGAATGTGGACACTTGAGTCTAAAATGCCGAGTATTTAGCCTAGTATTTTATTATATCCCTTTTGCGGCAGAGAGCTAGAGAGAGTCAATATTGAGAGGGTTTGAAAAGGAAAGTAAATTGAGAGGGATGTATTGAGGAGGTCTGTAAACTCTAAGGGAATTCGGTTTTATGCATAAAATACAATGCACAATGTAACTGAGAAGGTATTGTAGTGTGTAAGATAGATGTTTGGTGGGGTACAAAGCTAGTAGCAGAAAGGAAATTGGAATGTAACATGACACTTGTCAAATATGGTCTACTTTTATTTAGTGTGTATCAAGACATACATATTCCAGATATATTGGTCTGCCTATGATTTCCTCTTACTTTTTTAGTGTAATATTTTTTGAGAATCTCCAAATGTAAGGTTCATGCCTAACCCATGTCTAATTATGCTCATGACTCTGTGAGTTATACCGCAGAGATTGGTAAAAGTCTCACAGTAGAGCTACAATATTGCCCCTACATGTAGCTGTTTTCGACAAAATGTTAGAAAATGTTACAGAGCTAAGGAGTAAGAGAATGTGTGTGTGAGAGAGTAAATTTTTATTGATTATAAACTTGGCATTTATTGTAGAGAGAGAGAGAGAGAGAGAGAGAAGGAGAATGTGATCTTCATTTACAAAAATGAAATGTCAATCGATTTTAAAACATCTATGATTTGCTCATTTTTGTCTCGCCTGCGTAGCAAAAAAGCGAGACATATAGGCGCCGCTTTTCCGGTGCCGGCGGCGGTTGACGGCGACGGCGTCAACATCAAAAAGTTAACCTAAGGTTAAGTTTTTGAATTATTGATATAATTTTGAAAGTATAAATTCTTAGTCAATGAAACTTGGACTATAGGGTTATCAATTATCCCCAATCATGTGACTAGAATTTCAGGTCACAAAGCCAAGGTCAAAGGCCATTTCAGGTCAACAGACTTGGACTATGTTGTGGCATCATCATCGAAAACTTAACCTAAGGTTATGTTTTTGAATTTTTGATATAATTTTGAAAGTTTAAGTTCTTAGTCAATGAAACTTGAAATATAGGGTTATTAAGTATCCCCAATTATGTGACTAGAATTTCAGGTCACAAAGTTAAGGTCAAAGGCCATTTTGGGTCAACAGACTTGGACTATATGTTGTGGCATCATCGTCGAAAACTTAACCTAAGGTTAAGTTTTTGAATTTTTGATATAATTTTGAAAGTTAAAGTTCTTAGTCAATGAAACTTGAACTATAGGGTTATCAAGTATCCCCAATCATGTGACTAGAATTTCAGGTCACAAAGTCAAGGTCAAAGGCCATTTTGGGTCAACAGACTTGGACTATGTTGTGGCATCATCATCGAAAACTTAACCTAAGGTTAAGTTTTTGAATTTTTGATATAATTTTGAAATTTTAAGTTCTTAGTCAATGAAACTTGAACTATAGAGTTATCAAGTATCCCCAATCATGTGACTAGAATTTTAGGTCACTAAGTTAAGGTCAAAGGTCATTTTAGGTCAACAAACTTAGACTTTGTTGTGGCATCAACATCAAGATTTTGAATTTTTTAGCAACTTGGACTATAGGGTTATCAAGTATCCCCAATCATGTGAGTAGTATTTCAGGTCACTAAGTTAAGGTCAAAGGTCATATTAGGTCAATAAACTTAGGCTTTGTTGTGGCATCAACATCAAGATTTTGAATTTTTTAGCATATTTTCAAAATTGATCGTTCAAATTCCATGAAACTTGTACCTAAGGGTTATCAAGTATCAAAATTATATGACACCAATTCCAGGTCAAAGGTCAGTAGACTTGGATTATGTTTTCACAACATAATATGAGAATTAATAATTTTTTTAATTAATTTGTTCTTATTTCATTCAAGTTATCGATGATCCTGGTACATTTAATAGTAAATAATTCTTCTGATGATTCTTAGTCAATATTCACTTCAAAATGTGATTATATTTAGAGGATTTCATTTTTTGGGGCCTGCTAATGGGTCACCCTGCCTATGAATAACGGCCGCTCTCTACAAGCTTTGTATTCATTGTGTATAAAAGATATTTTACACAAAAATTGGAGAGCATGCAAGAAGGTGGGTTAAGTTGGAAGGATTAATTACTTAATTTAAAAAAACAAAATTTGGAGGTACAATTCAAATAAAATCACTGCAAACAATTCATTTTTTTAATGGCTTTCAAATTCTTTAATATTTTAGCAAAAAGTTTAATGAAAGTATGTCTTTCTGTTTTGGAAGGTTGCAATCAGCTTTCCAGTATGATAAGAAATTAATCTCATAATTTTTGTTTTATAAGCATTCCGGGTCATGGTCCATACCTGCTGATTAAAAAAAAAAGATATAGAAAAAGGAACTGCGTCATCCTAGCATACATTACATGCTTTTTTTTATAATGTTATCATTATGAATTCATACAGATAATTTACAATCTATATACACAGGTTGCCATGAATCTTGCAAAGATATTTTGACTACTTTTGACCTTTGGATTAATCCGCCTAAAGTGTAAATATTTAAAAGGGCATGGCTCGAGACCAGGTAATTATCTATATGCCTGCTTTTATTCACAAATTAACCCCTACATGTATGACATGTATGAAATGTGAACAAGACCATCATTAAAGCATCACTGATAAATTTGTTTCTTCTATCATGTATTATCCTAGTGTGTTTTAAGGATTTGACGTTGTAGTGTATCAAAAGAAATGCTTGAATATTGCTCTCTCTCTCTCTCTCTCTTTATCTCTCTCTCTCTCTCTCCCTCCCTCCCTCTTTCCCTCCCTCCCTCTCTCTCTCTCCCTCCCTCCCTTCCTCTCTCTCTCCCTCTCTCCCTATCTCTCTCTCTCTCTCCCTCTCACTCTCACACCATTGATAAGAAGGTTCTGGTGAACAGATTATTGTCTTTATCTGGATGTATTTTATTTTCTAAATCTGTAAATGATTTTACTTAAAAATGTCATGTTGTACAGACATGGTGCATAAGAAAACACAAAAACACAAAGGTCGTCATATTTTTCAAATGTCAAAGAGGGGGGGGGGGGGCTCATTTTGTTGATTGTGTACTTAAGGTTTGCCTTCTACGTTTCAAGGGGGTGGGGTATTGGCTGCTGGTTGCTGTTGGCCCCCCGAAATCCTGCAGAGGATCAAAGTTCCATCAAAATGTATGCATACGTGTACGTGTCTATAAACCCCCATGCAGGAGAATATATGTTTCATTGGTATTTATTATGTTTAATCAGCCTTCTGCATTTACATGTATATTTAATATGCTGATAGAATATTTTAAAAAAGGATATTGTACAAGTATGTTGGTATTAAACAAAATATGTTTTACAATTGACATTAAAAAAATTGGACAAACTATCATATCTACCTTGTTATGTCATATATATACTGCTTTATCATTTTTATAGGAAATGAGATTGTGATATTGTCCGAGATCAACTAAGAATATGATTGGGTAATTTCCCTTTTTATCTTTAATGGACTTGAGTTTATTTTCTGTTAAAAAAACACCTGTAAAGTCTATATCAGACACTGTAAAATTGAGATAAGAAATATTTTATTCCTCTCCTTTCCATTCTTTTTCACTCTTTTCACTCAAATAACTTGTTACCATCTAGACTTTTTAGATCTAAATGATGCAAATCATACCACTTGCGTGACGTGACGTTCAGGGGTATGTCGGTAAGCCACACAGAGATGTGCCCGAAAGACAAATGTTTGGTCAATTCTGACAACGCTACCATTTTGAACACCCTACAATATTTGGGCATTAGCACCTTATACACAATGAGAAAGTAAGCGAAGGGCGGATCAAAGTTCGCAGGGTGTGTTTAAGTGGTATATTGAGACGTCTCCTGTGTAAACAGAACAAGAATGCCACTTGATAAATCTTTGCTTTTATGATATGATCTATGAAATCTAGAATGTCATAAATGATGAACTTTAAACAGAAAATGGTGAAACTTTACGGGAAAGGCGGGGTGCCATTTTTAAGGAAAAAAATACATTTGAAGAAGTGGTGGAGGTGCTTGGTAATGAATATATTGTAAAAGAATGTTAAGTGATGACAATTTGCTTTTATGATATTATCTTTGAAATATAGAATGTCATAACTGGTATAAATGTACCAGTTTGAACTAATAAATGGTCTAAGTTAGTGTGCCCTTTTGAAATATGAGAGGGTGTGGTTAAGTTACTGAGTAAATAACTAGAAGATTTTTAAAGGATGTCAAATGATGGCAATATGTCTTTCTTTTGAGCCATAATAATAATGACATTAGTGTAAACTTACATGTATAGAGCGCACACACCATCCAGGGACGCTCATGGTGCTAGCTCAGCAATAGTTCTTTTTAATACGGTAAGTAAATGTCTATTTAATAACAGAGTTACATCATCAGAAACTCAAAAACAATTTTATATGAAGAATAGAATGTCTTAAATGATATACAAGCCTGAACTAGAAAGTGGTGTAACCTTAAGGTGTGTGTGGGAGGAGAGGGGTATGGAACTTCCAGTATTAAAAATAAGGGGGTGTGGTTGAGTTGCTAGGTAACAAATAAGATTTTAAATAATGTCAGGTGATGATAATTTGCTTTGAATGATTTTATCATAGAGATATAATGTAATATCAGGAAAGCAAGCTTCACCTGTAAATAGGTGTAACTTTAGGAGGGAACTTCCAGTTTGAAAATGAGGGAGAGGGTGATCGAGTTGCAAGGAAGATATTTTTGACATTAATGTCATGGGCTCCTTTCCAGCCAAAATACACTTGACTAAATGTGATTTAGTCATTTATCCATTATCACACCAATAGATTTTTTTTTAAAAATCACTCCGGCTCTTGTTCCAGTTTAAGGGAAAATCACCATTTCCCTTTTCTCATTTTGAATTGTAAGCAAGTATTAATACTGCATACATGTATGGGCTACTTTATTATACCATAATTGTTTTATTCTTATACTGACACTAAAAGTAAATACATTTAATCATTTTGATTTGTAAATTATACAAATGCATTTTTTAAGAGAGAAAAAAAGGTACCCTATCAAGTATAGCAAAGTATACAGACAAAAACAATGAAAGGATATGGATGATGGATGTAAGAAAAAGAGAATTGGGAAGAGAAGGTAAAGAATAGGAGTCAGAAGAAGAATGAGAAGATAAAAGATTGCATTCATAGTCACGCTAGGGTAATGTATAGAGTCTTCTATCACATTTGCAAGCTGTGTTTACTCAAACATTTGGACTTCAAACTTTTGAAATTTGCATTCGGATTCCAGCTTTGGATTGAGGGAAACAGGTTATGACTTGACATGATACACTTTTCTTTATAATTATAGATACAGGATAGGTAATTTCTATGACATTCACAAACAAGAGACACTCTATTTCTAAGAAATCAATCATATCTCAAAAGATTGTCCCAATATAAAGTCTTCAACTATCCATGATTCAGGCCATAAAAAAATATATACATGTTTTGCGTCTCTGTCCGCTTCCTTTTCGGGGGCCGCCTCCTATTTTTTTTTTTGGTGAAATTTTGTAATTTTATTTTTAGGTGGTCTGTCAATGACAGATCACCTATTGTTTTCGTCAGAATTTTCTTTCTTTCTTATTATTATTATTATTCTTTATTTTTATTTCTTCTTTTTTTGTTCCTAGGATAACTCAAGATTGGTTGTCTTAATTTCTTTCAATTTTGACACAATCATAGGTCATTGTCATGAAACGTGACAGGAACATTTTCAAGGTCATCAGGTTATCGTGACGTCATCCAGGCGCCATTTTGTGAAATCACATTATCCATCATATCTTCATGATGCATCATCAAAGGTCATTCATATTCATATCAAATATACTTTAGGTCAAGGGTCAACAGGTCATGTCATCAAAGGTCACATAAAGGTCATGACGCGCACGTACGCGCGCGTCAAAATTTAAAAATGCTCAAAATCACCTAACTATTAAAAGAGAGTACAAATCAGGTCATTTTAAGCATTTCAAAATTTTCCGTCCGTACGTGTCCTCGCGCGCGTTGCGCGCGCTCACAACGCGCGGAAAAGGTCAAATTCAAAATGTTTACATGATTTAGATTCCTCTTACCGTAAATAACAATTTACATTAATTTCAGTCACTCTTGACCTTTCATAAGGCCGTGAGCGCGCGTCAAAGTTCAAAATCCGCGCGTGCTGCTATGGGAAATATAATGCAAATTTGATCAAATACATGCCATTTTAAAATAGCTCTTCACATAGTCAATTGACTTCCAATTTTTATATCATGGTTGGAAAAAGCATGAGTTGGAGATATGATTTCATGTCTCATTTGACCCTCAATTGACTCATGACGTCATCATAATGGCCTCCAAACTCAAAATTTCAATTTTCATATTATGACGTCAGCAGATTTTTGGAAAATTGATTGTATCTCTGCAAATATTGAACGATTTACTTCCAAATTTTGATATGTTTTAGCTGAGACAATTCTCTACAAATATAGTCTTCACAAATTTTCATTTTGACAAAAGCATCATGGCGTATTTTTGCGATTAAAGGAGGCATGTCAATTTTTCACATTTTGCGTGCATTCTCTATGGGACATGACTTTTTCTCAAAACTGGATTCTACATTCTCGTTTTTCGCGAGCAATATATCCGTCGTTTTATGTTCGTTTACAATGAGCTTTGAGTATGATGTAGCTGAGAGAATAAGCTATCACAGGTGTGCCCTTTATTTTTCGATCAGATGCCGGGATCATGCTCATATTTCACTTACAAAGTGGGATCTGTGAATTCTATTTTCCGTTTACGTGTAATCTCTATGGGAAATGTTTTGGTATATCGGTAATGCACTTGACTTCCGACCTCGAGGTCCCTGGTTCGAGTCCGGGAGTCTCCAACATTTTTTTTTCTTCACTTTTTTTTCTTTTTTGACTTTTCAATGATCATAAAATTGAAAACAGACCACCTAATTCGTCCCCATGACGAATTAAATTTCTAGTTTTTAATAAAAAAAAATTTAAAGAAAAAAAACATGAAAAACACAGCTAAAATGGATCTATTTCTGATTAAAAACAAAATGTCGGTGGCCATCTTGAAAAATAGCCCGACTGTCGGGGGAAAATGTACCAAGCGGCCATTTTGAAAAGAAAGAAAAAGGGGCCTCCTCCTTCCTATTTTTCAAAAAAACAGGATGCTAAACATGTTTTTTTTTAAATTTGGCTTAAGTTTGATCTTTGTAAAGGAGAGCCCTAGTATATAGCTTTTCACAGATGACAAGGCAAACTGCCTTGGAAGAAAAAAATGAGGCAAAATATTCAATGTAAATGAATTGCAAGAGGAGTTGTATTTATTTATTATTATTATTCATTATTTCGTCTTTATTTTTTATTTTTGTTTTGTTTGGGAGGGGGGGGGGGGAGGGGTTAACAATTTGCTAGGTGCAGCAATGGCCACTTTGCATATAGTTGCACCTACAAATCGGTATGCTAATAGGCTACAGAAATATGATGTTCATTAACTACGCACTACAATTCGTTGACAGTTTTATCCCTAGATATTGAACCTAACCTTGGACACTTTCATGGAAATGCTTGCTACTGTATTTCACTATTAAAACTGATCGTTCCTTTCTGTCAGTATGATATGGGTACCTGTATTTCTTTTATTAATAACATGCGCCCACCCCAAAATTGATATTTTTTTGTTTAGATGTGCATTAAATCAAATCTTTCTTTGAAACTGTACAAAAGAGTCAACATATTTTCACTTTTCTGTGTAATTATTTTATTCATTTGGACGCCTGAATCAACAAGCTAAAACAAGCTTTCTACAGGTGCTCCCTTTTCCTGCTACTCATTTTCACAGATTGTTTAAATAAAACGTAATGCTCATGATTTGTATATTTTGAACTGCCTGAACTATATAACATGTATATATTTGTTTGTTTTTAATGGAAATAAAGTCTTTTGAACTAAATTTTTAATTTTTTTTTTATATATCTATCTCTCTTTTTTAGCTTAATTTCACTCTTTTTAGATAAGAGTATACAATTATGAAAAATCATACTATTTATTTGATTGCTTGTCTCTATTTTACTTTCTTTGGTTATGGAATTATTCAAAAGTAGGACAGCTCACAAGACAAACAGCCTTGTGGGCTGTATATAGCCATTCCAAAGAATATGCAAAGAAACTAATAGGTTTAAAATAGGTCAGTTAACGACTTGTTTCATTATAATCATTTGTTGCTCTTTCTGATAATCTTCTTTGATCTAGGATTATCCGATAGAAGACCCTAGAAAGCTGTTGCGAATCAGACATGATCAGATTGAGCTTGAAAGTATCCAGGATATGGTGGAACTCAGGTAATAATTATTCCGCTACCATGGCAACCACATCCGTCTTCACCGTTGATGTGACACAGAAGTAGAGATCCATTTAAAGTGGAATAATTCTCTGTGAATATGCGAAACGAGGAAATATTCATTGGAATATTAAACACCAAAAATACAATTTTGAAAATTGAAATCACATCACCTAGTAATCCTTCAACCCCCCTCCCCCCTCCCCCCTCCCCCTCCCCCCTCCCCCTCCCCCCCTCCCCCTCCCCTTCCCACAAAAGAGATTGTCTTGGGGTTGGAAATTATTACAAGTACCCCTGAAGTGAAAATTGTGATTTTGTTTTTTTGGTTGAGTGATAAGTGATGAAAGAAGATTAAATGCACAATAGGCCCTTCAAGAGTCATGTTTCAAGTTGCTGCTAACTATTAAAAGCACGCCCCTGTCATGCGTTTTTTGGCATTACATAGTATTTTTGTTCAAAAAGTTATGAATGAAATAAAATCTAAAGATTATATATTTTTAATGCATATAGTGAGCTAATAGCTCCCACAAACCTTTTTAAAGCATTGAGTTTGGATAAATTTTTAATGCATATAGTGAGCTAATAGCTCCCACAAACCTTTTTAAAGCATTTACAGCTTGTGCCATCCTTGTCCTTGTTTGTTAATCTGATTTTCTATGATTTTTTTAATGTAAATCAATACATCCTGAATGTTTTATTAATTGATCTCTCTGAACATGCAGAGATCTCCATGAAGGATCTATACTGTTCAACCTGCACACCAGATATGAGAAGGGTCTCATATATGTAAGTATAAACAGACATAATTAATTTAGCATCAAGACATATTGCACAAATCAGATTAGACTCTGGCTCTATCACAACATTTAATATTTTCATAAACATGCATGGGTTGAAGAAGGTTATCTAATCATTGAGTTTGGATGGTTGCCAAAAGTAAAAAACTTCAAGGAACATGTTTAAGACTATTGATGGATAAATTATCGAGGAACATGTTCAAGACTATTTGCAATGTTTTTTTGAAATGATATATTTGTAAAAATGCAAAAGAAAAAGAAAATAAAATAGAAATAAATAAATCAAATCAAATCAAACTATTGATGGATAAATTATATACATTGTGTAAAATACGTAAAAGTCAAAGCAAATTATGTTTCAATGACTGAAGATTTTAACAATCCAAATTGTTTTTCTATAAATTTGGTGCAAATATTCAAAATTGAATGACAATCCCCATAAAAACTAAAGCAACAACATTAACAAGAAACTTAGTAGAAATTAATGTATAATAGCTGAGAAATAGGCAAAGAAAATAATAAAAATTGGGTTCCCCCTCCTGCAACTTTTTATCATAGCTAACTAATAAAAATGTAACTAATAAAAATAGTTATTGTATATGTATTTCTTGATAGTTTTTCTTAACACATCTTTATTGGTTCAGATATGAGGAAAAGAAAATCACCATTCAAAAAGGCTTATTCAAATGATAATGATAATGGATGATATTCAGAAGGCATGAATGTTGAGGTGAGATCATCAATATCTTGGTGAAATATGATATACAGGATGATTCTTAATGATAACAAATTTTATATCCTGCTTCAAAAATTTGTTGGCTTTTGATTGGTTGAGAGCTCGTCACATGACCAGAAATATTTTTTAGAAAGTACTATATGAGAGTACTATTTTGGTTTACTATTTGGGAGTTGGAAAAAATTTTTTTTTTTTAAATTGAATCAAATCTTAATTCAATGAAAACAAAATATTTTAAATCTTTTTAGATAAAAATTGACATTTTTTTTTGTTCTAAATTTTTTTTTCCCAAAAATGTTTTTTTTAATTTTTTTTTTTTTAAATAAATTTTTGATGCAGGAAAAAAAAACAAATATACCATTCCTTCTATTCGAGGTACTGGTTAAACTATGGGCCTCGGTGACTCCAAAAGTACTATTGGAGTCACCTCTTGCGCATAGTTTTAACCAGAACCTCTCAAGGCAGTGTATATTTGTATACTATACTGCTCCTGTGCTCTTCATATATTCTCATTTTGATACGATTGTACTTGTGTCCTGTCAGACATACACAGGTAGCATTTTGGTGGCCGTTAACCCCTACAAGCTCTTTGATGATATCTATAACATAGAGAACGTCAGGAGATATGAAGGACAGCTGATCGGACATCTTCCACCGTAAGTCATATGTTTACCATGAATTGTTGACTGTAGTGGATACAGAAGAATGATAGAATGAGAAAGATTATTGTAAAAATGAAATAGGTCCATTTATTTAATAGTTGGGTTTATTAGAGATTATGAGGTACATTGTATTTGTTTCATTGGGAATTCATTTATGTCTGTATGATATCCTAAAGAACAAATTTCCTATTTACTTTGTACTTATAAATTTCATTCATTAATCATCAAACCTGAAAATATAAAAAATTCTCAATCCCTGAATATATTCATATCCAAACTTAAAAAAGTACCTACTACATAATCTTTAATACCTCTGTTGATTCATTTACCTCAAATAAATTTTAATTATTAGTTATTAATTGTTTTGTTTTCTCTTCTTTTCCAATATAAATTATACATTTATTAATACAAACACATGGGGTTATCACATTTACATTAATTTGTTTGTACTCTAATGTTATTATGTATTTCTACTTTTGTTCTTGTTGCTTTTATCTTCCAACTTCTATTATGAATAAATATTATGTATATAGTGTATATTGTTTTGTTATTTTTATGGAAATGTGGAAAATAAATCAATTAAGAAATGTATTCATTCTTTGTGGAAAAATTATTTAATGACAAATGAAACACTGTCATTACTCCATCATTCTCAATAATTTGTCAAAAGATTGGAAAAAGTATTTAAATTTACGTTTCAAACTTTCCTACCCAATTTTTCAGACATCTATTTGCGATAGGCAGTGGCGCATACCTTCGCATGACTCAAACCAAACAGAATCAATGTATCGTGATCAGCGGAGAGAGTGGTGCCGGCAAGACGGAGAGTACCAAGCTTATTATGCAATACCTTGCAGCAGTCAACAAAGCTTCCACTAACCTCATCACAGAACAAGTGAGAATCAGAGCAGAGCACGAGAATAATGGAATTTTGATGATAGATTTTGTCGATATTATGATACACAACCCTTTCTTTGTGCCTCTAAGTTTTACAAATGAACACTCAAGGATTAAGATTTGAATTCAAATACAGTTTTAAATAGGTGATAAATGGGTATATATAAAGAAGGAATTCCTTGATTGCTGTGAGCACTTAAATATGTATAGCCTAGCTATAGTATTGGAGTGCTTTGAGCACCTTGCATGATGGATATTTGTGCTATAAATGTATCTAATAATGTTGTTTTTATTATATTCTTGTGATGGCGTTAAAATGGATGTAAATATCATCAATAGGAATGGGATTTTTGTTTCAGGAATAAAAAAATGACTGTTATTTGTAGTCCACACATAGTACACCATGTAATTTTGGGGCTGGTTTTCCATCTGTCCAGAACCTGAGGTTTGGTCTTTTTTTGCACAAAATAAGAATACTTTACATCAAGTGCATGTACTCTCATGCCAAAGTGAATATCTCAGGAGCATTCTTGTACGTCGGATCAGTGCAAAATTATTCCAAAATTTGATGTTTGAATCATGCCATCTTATGTTTTAGCAATTGATTTAAGTATACGTTTCATAATAGTCATCTTTCATCCTCCATCTTAGATCTGATCAGTGCAAAATTATTCTAAAACTATAAAGTGTTGCTGAAAATGACATACACCTCAAAGCAAATATATATATATCGAATTGAGATTAGAAACTCAATATCCATTATAGATATTCCAAGAGAGGGCATTGGCTAAATTTAAACTATAAGAGTTACAGTGATACTCTTATGAATGTGTTTAAATATGATTTTATTTCTTTGTTGATATTGTAGATTCTAGAAGCTAACCCCTTGCTAGAAGCCTTTGGGAATGCCAAGACAACTCGTAATGACAACTCAAGTCGCTTTGGAAAATACATTGAGCTGTTCTTCAACAAGTAAGCATATTTCTTTAATTTCGTTTTATCAAAGTGACTTCTTCCCGGTTAAGAGATATTCTGTGTAATTATAATAAAAATAATAGCTCACAATTTCAAAGCACTTTAAAGAGATATTGTAACTTTATAACTCATATTCTTTGAGTTATTGCTTTCAAGAAAAATGACTGATGAAATTTTAAAAAGTTTATAGATTTTATGATAGTTCTTGAGTTATCACTTTTAAGAAAAATGACTGACGGAAGTTTTAAAAAGTTTATTGACTTCATGATTTTTGTGACTGGCTGGTCTGTACATGTTTACACATGGATTTGGTTGTATCTACACATGTTTTTCAAAGGAAATCAATTGATATTTTATCCCTATTTTTTTTAAGTAGGAGCACATTTGCTTCTCACTCTTGCATTTGATCTCTATTATTAAGATTTCAGCATTTTCCTAAAAAATATGAACTTGTTTTAATTACAAAGTAGGGGTGAATAAAGGATTATGAACACTCTTACCAATAGATTATTATATTTTTTGATGATTTAAGCATTAACATTTGTGTGTAATCCTGTAAGAAAGATGAGATATGACTATGTTCTCATGGTTTTATTGTGCTTTAATAGTGGTCTTATCAGTGGTGCCAGGACAACTGAATATCTGGTGGAGAAATCCCGAGTCGTCAGACAGGTGAGAGGACGACTCAGTCAATCTCTGTGCATGAAAATTATGGGTTGATCATCATATCGACTTTCATAGCAAATGTGATTTGAGTTTATAAATCTATTAGACATGGTTTGCCTTCGGATTATTATTATTTTTGTTCATATCATTTACAACTTTTCAAAAGTTGCCAGATTTGCTAATCCAAGGAAAATATATTGGATGGATTTAACTTTGATCAGTTTTCCCTGTTAGTATCTGTATAACATGAATTTATAACACATATAAGATTTTTCACTCAAATATACATAACAAAATGATAAAGGCTTCGTTTTTTTAAGAAGTTAATCTGGGATTAATCTTATATGTTTTTGTTTAATTGTCCTTATCAGACTTCTGGTGAACGCAACTACCACATCTTCTATCAGATGTTGGCCGGTATGTCCATCGGAGAGAAGGCCAAGTATGGGCTCTCTCAACCAGAACGTTACTTCTACCTCAACCAAGGGGGCAGCAGTCGTCTGGAAACGCGCAACGATGCAGATGACTTCATTCGCACGGTCTCAGCCATGGAGGTGTTGAACTTTGACCCCAATAAGCAAGAGACAGCCTTCAGCATCCTGGCAGCCATTTTGCATATTGGAAATCTGTCTCTCCAGAATTCAAAGGTTAAAGGCAGATTAGCTCTATAGTCTTAACTGCTATTGTGGTATTGCAACATTTTCTACAATGTTTATTACAAATTTGTAGAGGCATTATTGTTTATTTTGCATTATTATTTATAGAAACATCAATTAGTACAATAATTTTTGTTTATCTCTTACAAGTTAATTGTAATATTTCCAACGCAATTAATATATTTTGTTAGGAATATCCAGTTTACAATAGTTAAAAGGGCTTGAGGCTGCGTACACGACAAGTTTGCTATGACTGGAATTTCTGTTGCAAGCTTCAGAGTTTTTATAAGTAACCTACGTTGCATCAAATTGAGTACATTTGTCTTTGTCAACTTGTATATTGATACCTTTATACTATAATTTTGTTTGTTTGTTGGGGGGGGGGGGTGGAAGTTTTCAATCCTGTATGATATCTCCAATGATACCATATGTTTTAGTTTGAAACAAGAGAGGTGTTAATCCAGGTGTTAATCCTATTACAGCTCATGCACAGTAAGACTGAACAGGTTTATATCATTTTATTCTGAAGTTGAGAAAAAAATATCTACTAATTTTAAAACTATCTATTGCTCTCACACAACTGTACTGTCTTGTTTGTTTTTGTTACTTAATACGTATTACTTATTTTTGAAATCATTTCTGTTATGTCCAGACACAAGATCGACCTGATATGCTAGAGGTCACCAATGAGGGAGCCCTTTCTGGAGCAGCCAGGCTTCTACACATCGACCCAAAGCAGCTTGAGGGCGCTATACTCTACAGAGTCACAGTATGTACTTGTATCTTCTCTAATCTGATAGCTATAATACAGTCTAACCTGCTTTAGTGACCACCTGTGTAGAAAGACCACATTTTATTTTCCCTTGAAAATGGTTTCTTATTGAAACATGTACTAAAGGAACCTGTACATAAAGACCACCTGCCTATAAAGACTACTTTTCTTGTCGCCCTTAGGTGGTAGATAGGTTTCACTGTTTCACCGATGACCGGGGTAATAGTAAATATATCTGTAAGGCGCTTTGATAGGGCCCTCCTGAAAAGTGCCATATAAGAAATAGTTATTATTATTATTATTATTCTTTTCTTTGAATTGCCTATATGTACATTTACATACAACGTATGAATTAACAGTAAATAAATTGCTTAGCCTATTGAAAGGCACATGATTATAATAGCCAAACGCAAAAATACATGACTAATCTTGCACTTAGATTCTAAATGTTATATTGCATATGTAATTTTTCAATTTGAATATATTGGTAAAAATGTTGATATTGTACTCTTAAATGAGAAAAAGCCATATCAAAATTGTTGAACACATTCTCAATTCTCTTATTTGAAGAGTGGGAAGGATTGAATTAAAAAACTCTGAATCAAATGTTTTGAGCTGAAAGGATATGATTGTCCCTCCAGATATATTTTCAGTTTGTTTTAAAAGTTTTTTTTTTTTTCATTTACAGGTACAGCATTGTTCTCATAATAGTATGAACGTATTAATGAATTGGATAGATCCGAAATATTAAATGCAATACATATAGCCAAAGTCGTGAAGAAGAACTGGAAAAGAACATGTCAGGAGCAGAAAGGACAGTATTCAAATTGTTTTTATCATTAATATTTTGAGAAGAATATTACGTATGTCATAAACATGTGATGGTAGTTGTGCACGTATTATAGCAGGGGAGGAATTTGGACATTGTACCGATTACATGATATAATGAGAGGTAATGTATCTTGCACTGTTTTTTTTATAAATCTGTTTCAGGAAACAATCGGAGAGAGAATTCTTACTCCTAGGACCCTTGAACAGGCAGAAGATGCCAGGTAAGTCGCCCCCTTCCTCTCCGAAACAGAATGTACTGTGATTGATATCTTTATTGATTCAAACTATATATCATTAACAAGGGTATGCATGCAGTGTAAACATGTACTTTGGCATCAAGGTCGAAGTTCAATGTCTGTATTTCCATAAAGCTCATAAAGCTCATAAATAGATTACCGCTCATTTAATGATAACCAGAGAAACTGAAATATTTTGGGGAAATTCCAGAAAAGACTTTGTGAAGGCCATATAATTTTATCCAGCCTAGTCTAGTTGGGTTATGACAGAAATGTCAAGGACCACTATTTACTTTTCTATGAACCAGTTGTAATAAAATGCAAGCATGGGGTTGTAGTTTGTCTACCATATGACTAACCCAACTACCCACCATATACAAATATAGAAGCCCACCCCCTCCAAAAAAAAAAAAAAAAAGATGAGAGAGAAGTTGGGTTTAATTTTCCAATATGAATACAAACAGATATCAGGGCCATTGGCTGTCTTATAAAAAGATGTGATTGATCCAGAGTGTTCACAATTCCTCAAGTAATTGCAAACCTTTAACTCCTATCTCTTCAGTACTGAATTGCAGATAGTGCAGTTGTGATCAATTTGAATCATTCTCAATTATTTTTAAGCTGGGGATGTGGGTGCCGTTTCTTGAAACTGCCATTAAGTCTAACACTTCTTAAACCTCCCATTGAAACGCGTGTTTCATGGAATTTCCACAAACTTAGACTTATGATGGTTTTGAAAAATTGGCCCCAGAGGTCCCTTAGACTTCGCTGTCAAAGATGCAGGAGGCATTTAATTCAAATTCAAATTCAAAATTTATTCAACACTCTTCATAAAAACATTTAAAACATAAAAATACAGAATGGAATGATAAAAAAACAAGATAGTGATAACAAATAACAATGGCAATTTATGAGAGCATTTGGGATAGGCAGAAAGGAGGGATTCCTTATATGAAAGCCTACCCCTAAAACACAAACATCCAGGAAAGAAAGGAAAAAAATTAAAGACATCAAGAACCAGTTAAGGCATAAATCTGTACAGTGGTGAAAGATAATAAGTGACTGAATATCAGCAAATCCAATCATGCAAGTTCAAAGATCTATGAACTTATCAGTGTTTTAAACTTTGCAATTGTAATAAAGCCTTGAGGTTGTAAAATTTGTCTGTTTCCTTTTGTTTTCTCCCGCAGAGATGGGATAGCGAAGTCTCTGTATACCAGTCTTTTTGCCTGGTTAGTCAGGAGTATCAATGGCATCACAAACCAATCAGCAAAGATGACCTCCATCGCTATCCTCGATATCTTTGGATTTGAGGTGAGAGGGGCAGTAGAAAACTGTTGAGGGCAACGATTGACCTTGTGAATAGTAGGATTGTAATAATAATAATAATAATACATATGATTTATAAAGCGCCAAATCCACTTGACAGTCAAATGCTCAAGGCGCAGCTTGTGCAAAAGATGAAATACATACATGATACATTTATACAAAGTGCGATAGGAAAGGTACAGACATGAAAGGTAATGGTAATCAATTATGGTCAAATGTGGTCAAAATTCAAAGGAAAAAGGATAGGCTCAAATATGATGTGGTGGAATCGGGTGAAATGATAGTTTCTCACTTTGGAATATTTATTCAATAGTAGGAAATGTATAAGATGTTTTTCATCATCATCATCATCATCATTTATTAAAGTCAGTATTTTTCTTCTTAAAAAGGGGTTAATGACGTTCGCGCCATGATGACACTCCCTCCTCCCACTTCTTCTTGTCTGGAGCATCCTCCTCATTTAGATCAACCTTACTGCTTTCTTCCTTTACCATATCTGTTCTTTATATCTGCTGTCTTTCTCTCCCTCTTTTGCCAGGCATCCACTTATAGAGTGGGATTAGAACTAATTATTTAACATCTATTGATTCTGTGCAGTAAGCTAGATATTTGATTACCAATTTACCCTAACGATATGAATTACAATAACAGTCATAATAGGAATAATTTATCAATATCTTCTCCAATATAATTTCTAGAATACATGTGTAATGTTTATGTTATTGGTCTCTATTTTAAAGAACGAATCCTCGGAGCAACTTTAGACAAATTACCAGACGTTCAAAGGTTAACCAACGCTTCACCAATGAAGCTAAATCTAAAGACTTTAATTTCTTAGGTAATAAACACTTACCCTAAATCTAACCCTAAATCTAACCATAATCCCATCCCTATCTCTAACCCTAGGTGTATGGACATTCATGCATGTAAACCGTATTGGTGGGATGTTCTAAAAATAAGGTAAAATCCTCTACTTTGTAATGAAATATGAGAGAAATGTAATTTAACTATCAATATTCTTCCCACAGGTCTTCGGAACAAACGGCTTTGAACAACTCTGCATTAATTATGCAAATGAACATCTGCAATTCTACTTCAACAAACATATCTTCCAACTAGAACAGGTAGGGCACTCCACAAGAATCACATTCTATTCTGTACTTTCTCCTTTGGAAAAAGTGCGACTGCATCTAGAACATTTTTTATTTTCTTACGTAATTTGACTTTTGTGAAAATGTTGATTTTGTATGTTTTTTTCAGTAGTAAATGATCAGAAAAATGGAGGGTAATTAATTTACATCATGAAGTATGTGAAGCTTCAATGCATTAACGGCATGCAGTCACTATAACATAGAAATAAAGGTTCAGTTTTTAATATTCAAGTTTAAAAAGTTAGTTTTATTCAAGTTTAAAAATTATTTCCATTTTAAATCACATGACAAATAAAGTCTTGTACTTTAATTACAAATGTTTTAATGATACATTTGTATATATTCACCTTTATGGAGAGCTTTGACATTGATATACCAAACTTGAAATGGTGTTTTTCTATCGCTTTGCATAGATGTATATTTGTTCTCTTTATTGTTTGATTTCAGCTTGAGTATGCCAAAGAGAAGATAGAATGGCAGACCATCTCGTTTGTAGACAATCAACCTGTCTTGGATCTCCTAGCTAAGAGACCTACCGGTATCCTGCACATCTTAGATGATGAGAGCAACTTTCCCAAGGTATGTGCTTCTTGTGTAAAAGTGTAAATATTTTGTTCTCTTACAGCCCCCATCACCACCACCCGACAATCTGAATATTATGGAAAATTTAAAATAACAAAAGAAATTAATCTAAAAATGGAAAACCATGGGAATTTCATTACTATAGAAACCAATTGAAAGTAATTTTAAAAATATAAAATCAATAAATTAGGAAATTTTCAATATAAAAAATAATTCAATCATGACTTCAAATTATTTTCATCATTGAGTATTTATATATATTGTGAATAAAGAAAATGAATGGTCTTTTTCAATTACATAATATTGCACAGCAGAATTTGAGTAATTAGATGTGACAACAGTGCTTATCTATAGACCTTTCACCCGAACCGTACCTGCTAGTTCATAGTTCATATTAGACAGTTGTAATGTAATCAAAGCTTGTAACTTAAAAGATATTAGCATTGCTCATGAAGATATGCATATCTACATCCTTTTGGAAGGTATAAGGTTTGGACACCTTTTTAGTTTCAAATGTAGCTTTAGATGATCATAAAATAAATGTAAATTTGTAGGTATAGAACCCATACCTGCTTCATATGTTCAGAGTTCATTGTTTTTGGTTGTTCAGTAAAGCACACTTGTGTATCTATTGCTTCAAAATCTATTTACATCTCTACAACATTAATGGCTTTGTATTTTGTTTAATTCATTAGAAAATTTCATTCACATGGTAAATGAATATTCTGTTTTTAGAATACATAGGCATGATAATTCTTACATATACAGAAAAAGTCATTTGAAAGATACATGCCAACAATAAATATATTTGTACAAATATATATTTAGACATTACTTTAAATATGATTAAATGTTTAGAAAATGACAGACAGTGATGCATATAAAATCTTTTATGACAGTGTCCTCATTGTTGGGTCGACTTATTGAAGATGAATACTACAGTTTTTCAAACCCCTTTTTATCCTTAAATTACAAATATTGCATGATTCTTTATCGTTCAATACAGGGCACGGAGAAAGCCTTTGTGGAGAAGTGCCATTACCACCACTCCTCCAACTCCTCGTACGGTCGCCCCAAGCAGCCTCGTCTGGAGTTCTGCATCAAGCATTACGCAGGACGCGTGATCTACCAGCTGGACAACGTCATCGGCAAGAACAGGGATATGCTCAAACCAGAGGTCATGGAGATGTTCAAGAACAGCAGGAATCGGGTTAGAACTCGTTCAAACCAGTTTAGATACATGTATAGGCCAAGGAATAAGTCTGAAGTAAAAATGGTATTGTGATGATTAAGGGGTAGATTGGTGGGTCTTTGAGACAGTGTTATACTCAGCAAGTACAGAGATATGCTGAAACCGGAGGTCATGGAGATGTTCAAGAACAGCAGGAATTGGGTTAGAACTCATTCAAACCAGTTTAGATACATGTATAGGCCAAGGAATAAGTCTGAAGTGAATTGGGTGTTGTGATGAGCAAGGGGTAGATTGGTGGGTCTTTGAGACAGTGTCATATTGAACAAGGACAGAGATATGCTGAAACCAGAGGTCATGGAAATATTCAAGAACAGCACGAATCGGGTTAGAACTTGTTCAAACCAGTTTAGTACACATATAGGCCAAGGAATAAGTCTGAAGCAAAGTGGGTATTGTGATGAGCAAGGGATAGAAGGATGGGTCGACCTTTTGGACAGTGTCATATTGAACAAGGACAGAGATATGCTGAAAACACAGGTCATGGAAATATTCAAGAAAAGCAAGAATCGGGTTAGAACTTGTTCAAACCAGTACATACAGTGTACAAACAAAACTGTAATCATGAAAATGCAGTAAAGGTATATAGAAATGCAACTCCAAAAAAGACTCAGTACTAAATTGCATTAAACAATAATAACAACAAAAAACATATCATAAATGTGGATTGACAAACAATGGCTAAAAGTCTATCGCAGGCTTGTCCCTGAAATGCGTAATACATAATGATATGATTGCTTTATACCACAGGTGCTATCAGACATGTTCAAGCTACTGCAGTCAGTCGAGCAGAGGAGATCTATGATGGGGGCTAGTGGGCCTTCAGGCATGAGGAAGATGAGACCCTCCACGGTGGCTACCAGATTCAACGAGTCCCTCCTGGAGCTGATCAACAATATGAACAAGTGAGAGCTTTTAATTAATCTCAGATTGATCTCGGATCGCAGACTGTATAATTTCCCCCTTTTCTTTGGCAGACCTGCCGCAGACTGTTCCTGCGGCATACTGGTATGCGGCAAGTCTGCAGCAAAGTTTCTTTCTGTTGCATACTTCGGCATACTCTTTGCCGCAGACCTGCAGCAGATCTGCGGCAGGTCTACTTTCTACTCACTATATTAACCCATTGCTTACTGGAAAAGGGTTGCTCCTGTATGGAAGCCTGTGGAATGAGAGAAATGAGTAGTTAATGGTTTAAGTTTCAACGACAAATCCCTACAAATACAAAATCCAATGACTGTATCATCAGTGCAAAATGTAACATGGACTTCCGATTACTGATTTTATTCCAGATGTCATCCGTTCTTTGTGCGTTGCATCAAACCCAACGAGGAGAAGGCCCCCATGTTGTTTGACACCCCGATCGTACTGAGCCAGCTGAGGTATAGTGGTATGCTGGAGACGGTACGCATCAGAAGAAACGGCTTCCCAATCAGGATGACCTTCCTCTCATTCATGAACAGGTCAGTAGGAAATTATTATTATTATTTATATACTGCGCTTTTCCCAGAGCAGCCCTAACAACACGAAGAATCCTACAAAAAATGAAAATGAAAACTTACAGAATCCTAAAAATCTGGATTACAAAGAAAATAACGTTGAATCCCTTTTTTAATGAAGAGACAGATGGTGATTGCCTGAGTATTAAAGATAGCCTATTCCAATATTTAGATGCAGTTATAGTGAATCTCCAGCTAGTTTCGTGTGATGTTGTATGTAAGACGGAGTGGGTCACTGGAGGCTCGTACATTCCTGCGAGAGGTGTATAGGGTCAAACAATCACGTAGGTATTGAGGTGCCTGTTCATTATTATTCAATTCTATTGAATTGAATTAAATTCATTTATTTCCCCAAAACTCATAAAAACAGCGGGTAAAATGTGTACAACAATGCAGAACAAAATTGAAATATTACAATAGTAACAAAAACTTGCAATAAAGAATGATACATACTTAACAATGTAATTGAGTATATGTGGGGGGGGGGGGAACTAGCCAAGGCCCTTTCTCAACTTCTGTACCATTCTTCAATTTAGTACCTCAAAGACTTTGATTGTTATGTAAGAATTCTTCTAATGTCAATGAATGAATGAAAAAAAAAGATTTTCTAATATTGAATCTTATGTGCGTAAATTTAGATATCGGTTCCTGATCAGCGCCCACATCACATTCAGAGCGACGGCCAAGGAGCTCTGTCAGGAGATCTTATTCAGGGCAGGAGACAGGTTCAGAGGAGACTATCAACTGGGAATGTCAAAGGTAAAAGGTCGTAGGTCAAATTTGCTTCTTACCCTCTGTTTAGGTGCTTTAAACTGAAGTTGGATGGAAATGTTCTGTAATTGATTTGGATGGACCTGCGTGGAATAGTTTTTGGGAAAATTAAACGTCCAACTCAACAATAAAATTAAAAAAATCCCAGATGATACCTGGAAATGATGATGAGGATGAATGATGATAGGGATGGCTTGCATGTTTTAAAAGGATCAGACAATTGAGTGATGTCCCCTTTTTTCAATCCCAGCTAAGCTATGTATCTTTGTTCTTTTGCAGGATGAAAGTCTTGTGAAATGAACATTTGTGAAATGAACATTTGTGAATTAGTTCATATGAGAGCTTTAAGAATGACTTTCGACAGGATCTGCAAATGCATGTAATTTGTTAATGTTATGACAGGAAGGCTCCCCAAGGAGTAAATATGATGGAACATTTTCATATACAGGATCATCATAAATCAGATCATCAGGGAAATTAGAGCACTAAGAAATGCATGTTAAAATTCAAAATGTTGAAAGTATCACTCACAAGTAATAAACAATGTCATTGTTGAATTCTTTGATAGGTGTTCATGAAAGAATCCCTGGAGAATCACCTCGAGTATGAGCGCTCCAAGATCATCCAGAAGGCGGTCCTTGTGATTCAGCGCCGCCTCAGAGGGTTCCTGGCCCGGCGCCAGTACCATCTCATCCGCTACACCGTGGTGCAGCTCCAGGCCCACATGAGGGGGTATCTGGTGAGGCGCAGGGTGAGGACCATCCTGAAGGGCGTGGTTCTGTTCCAGGCACTCTACAGGGGCAGGCTGCAGAGGAGGAGATATCTGGTGGTAAGTTGCTGAGTTGGTGGGAAAGAGAGGAGAGAAAATTAGATAGATGAGTGAGAGAGGGAGAGAGAAAAAGATAGAGGGAAAGAGATATATAGATAGATAGATAGATAGAGAAAGATACATACATACATACATAGAGAGAGAGAGAGAGAGAGAGAGAGAGAGAGACAAATAAAAAATATAGAGGGAGAGAGAAAGGGAGAAATATAGATAGATAGAGAAAGAGAGAGAGATAGAGGGGGAGGGAGGGGGGGGGGGGAATGAGGTGAGAGTGTAGGATAATAACCATTATGAAAAATTGGGTCCTGCTGCAGGCTTTCTATTGATTAACCTGTAGAGTAGGAGGTTCATAAGACAAGGCCTATGGTACAACGCTGTTTTCCTTGATACAACGAAGCGGAAGGTGTGGAAGAAGTAATCAAAATCTAATAGAATCCTCTCTAATGTAAATAAAAGAAAATAAACAAGCACTACTAGTATGAAATACTGATGTTGATCGCGTGCCAGAATCATTAAGAATTCACAAATATTGAAGTACAAAATGTAACCGCTTTGTCATATTGAGTATTTAGTGCTGATTCCTTTGTTGTATTACTGATCACAAAAATATGTTACTCTTGATATGTATCTCGATTTATGTTTGTATATTCATTCAACTCTTTGATGTTACATTAACAAGTTTAATGGTGTTTTCTCTAGATGTTGAAGAGGGCAAGAGAGGAGAGAGTCGAGCGGGAGAAGAGAGAGAAGCTCCGCATTCAGCAGGAGAGAGGGAGGATTGAGGAGGAGAGGAGGAAAGAAGCTAGTCGCCTAGCAGCATCCAAGATGGCTGCCAGCAGAGCACGTTCTCCTCCTCCTCCTCCATATCTACCGACCCAGTCAGCAGATGTGTCCAGGGTGGACATTCCCTATGAACTCAGTCTGCTACTACAGAGGGGTAGGATAGGATCTTTCACACTACCATGATTAGGATGAACAGTTAGGCAGCTTAGTGAAATGTAGTGGCTTGAAAAGACGTGTCGGTATTAAAGCCGAGCTGCACTACTTGTAGCTACTTGCGCCCTCTATATAGCAAACCTGCCTAAGCGGTACTCATAGGTCCCCCATGATCCCCTTTTTCTTATGTTAATTGAGAGCTGATTTGATGAGATAACCACCTGTCAGTGACCTTGCAGGGAGGTTTAATCCCTCCCGGCCAAACTAGTGCAGACAGGCTTTAAATGCAAAAAGCATAAGAGTTGGTGTTGTTCGTTCAATAAAATTTCTTTTTTGGCATATCTGAATGAAAGTTTAACTAACGTTTTGCCTCATAGAGATGGTTTATGCATTCACCAGCTCCATAGCCAACGATGTGATTTACATCCATGTGATAAGACTATGATTTTCAAAAATTATGGATTCCAAACGAGTCTTTTTGTGGTCCTAGGTGACTACATATCAAAAACAAAAATGTTTTTTTTCTTTTTCACATTGCTGTTGAGTCTAGTGTCCATAATTGGTGCCAGACATATTAGAATGACCCATCGTATTGATTACCATCAGCATATAAACAGTACAAATGATTTTTTTTTTTCCCCCTACCACATCCTAGATCCATTCATCATTATAAATTTTGCTTTCATGTTTTCCCTTTATTCCTACCTTACAGGTTGGAGTCCACCACACAATGAGAGAAACTTGATCAAGGTCGTAGGTCAAGTGGCCCGTCAGGAGAGACCCATCAGCTTCCCAGCTAACATCAATGACCATCCCTTCTCTAAATATGTCAATATCTACTTCAAGGTGAGTACGTTGTCTTAAAGGGAGTGTAGCATGACGAGACGTGTCTTCCCTTAGCCTGACTCAGGGGCCAAGCGGGTATAATACGACTACAGATGAGGCGCTGATCATGTAGAGATTAAGTCGCTGATTACTGTTAACCACCAGTATTTGCCAAGCTACACTCCCTTTAATCCTTACTCTGATAATAAAAGAAGACCCCAATGAATTTAGAGAAGGCAAAAAAGAATAAAATCATGAGCAGCAGTAATTCCACATCTTCATTAGATAATCACATTGGTACTGTAGATAACATGTTTATTTGCATGTCTTCTTTCTGTTCATCAAGATCAATGTCATCAGCCCTGCTCTCATCATCATCATCAAAATCATTGTCACAATCAACACCGTCATTTCCATTATCAACATTGTCATCGTCTTTATCATCAACATCTTCGTCCTCATCATTATCATCACCATCTTAGTCATCATTATCATCAACTTTATCGTCATCAACGTCATCATCATCAACATCATTGTCGTCACCATCATCATTATCATCATCTGCTTCATCATTGTCATCGTCATCAACATTATCAACATAATCAACGTTATCATCATTATCACCAACAACATCATCATCATCATCATGGTCATCTTTAAAAGCTCCATTTTCATCTTCATTTTTGTCATAGACTCTACCACTCAGTACTCTATTGAGATACATATCTTTCCAGACATTGGAAAAGGTGTAATAAAAAATAACATTAAATAATGACGAGTGCATATGAATAAGAGTTTATTGCCATTAAAACAGCTCTCATTGACAATTTACAAAAATGTTATGTTATGTCATGAAAGTTTTCAAATTTGTCAGTAATCCTTAAACTACATAAATATTCAAAAGTTGATTGCACATTCACTCACCAAGGTTAAACTCAAAGAAGCAATTAATAATAATAATACTTTGTTCTTTTATAGTGCATTTCATGTCTGTTGACACTTCAATGTGCTTTACAATACACATATATATAAAGTACAACACGATCATAAAATGAAGATGAAACAGAAACATATATAGAAAACAATCAAGTTCTTTTAAAGAGAAAAATTACAACATCAATATCCTTTAGTACTATTGATATGCTTATTTGGAAAGATGAGATTTTAGTTTAGATATGAATGTTCAGTACTGGATATATAACGTAATGAGTTTGGGAGAATATTCCATAAATATGATGCTATATGAGTGAAAGCCGTATCACCATAGGGCCAGTACAATTAACCAATACAATTTTTAAAAAAAACCATCAAAATTATTTCAACATTATTCCCATTTTTTGTTCTCATCAGAGTGATGGCTTTGGCTATCAAGACCAGCCCATCGCTACAGGTCTCCATACCCTCAATGAGGCGGATGACGATGAAGCAGTAGCCGTATTCAAGCTCATCCTCAGGTTTCTCATGACCGCTGACCCCGGCAATGACCCTGCCAGGAAAACTCGGGACTTTATCACTGGCAACTACATTGTACAGAAAGTAGGAATGAATTGATTTGTTTTTCTTTCATTTGATTAATTTGATTGATTATTGATTGAGGACTGGAAGACTTGAAAGCCAAGATGGAAGAAACATCCATCCATGTGGGAGACCCTGTGGGAAAAATTACATGTTAAACGATTATACATGTAGTAATGATAGTGATGATGATTGATTATATAAATGTAGTTATTTCCCCTTTCAAAGTGACTATGCAAATCTGAAATTTATTGTAATTAGGATGAATTAAAGAATGAAGGAAAATAGAGAATGATTATATTATGATGACCCAGAATTAAACCTGCAAATAATAGGAAATGCTTAGAAACATACTGTTGAATGAAAATAAGTAAAGATGTTATAATTTATGAGTAGGATGAATATGGAAATATTATATCCACATTTTGTTCAATGAAAACAAGCTCTCTTGATAGGGTTGGTTTAAACAAAATGGTAGGTGTATCACAAAGAAATATGAGACAGTTTCACATTCTGTCACTATCAGGTGTTCCCTTGAATTCTCGCTACCCCAAATAGCGATTCTGCCGAGATCCGGGGAAAATCCTGAAAACGCGCATTGCATTATGGGATAGCTTTTCGACATTACAGCTTCCTGTGCCGTCCTCCACAACAACACAGCGTCGCTTTCGCTCGGAAAGTTCGTGATCACAACCCTCTCTTTCACGGTAGAGTTTAACGGCCTTTTGTGCTAAAGTCACTAATTCTGCCCGAAGCTTTCCATTGCATGGTATTCCTCTGTCCGTTAACATTTTTTTAAGTTCCGAAACTGTTTTTTTATCCATTTTGTGGTCGACGAGAAATACATGAACTGAGTGTTGTCTCTACACTGTTTACTGTATCGTCTGCTCGTGATTGTGACGCTGGTCGCTACATGCACAATTTTAAGACAATTATTTTTTTTTTACTTTTAGATTAACAGAAAAAAAACATGAATAAAAATAAAATCTTTCCTGTAAACTATTTTTTGCTTTTTATTGTATATTTAAATTGAATAAAAACAAACTAAATTTAATGCATATATTATAATCTGTACAAATTACACTGATTGGCATCGATTTTAGCGTGCGTGAAAACTCTGCACAGCGAACACAGGCGCTAGCGCCAGCGGGATGGGACTCTATACCGGAAGTTGTAGTGACGACCCGAGAGAGTGAAAATTACCTCGTCTCGCGAATTTCGAGATTTTCGTACCTATTTAGGGTAGCGAGAATTATCAAGGGTGATTTACGATCAGAATGAGTGAATCAATTGATAGATTGCAAAATACATTAATATCATCAGCTCAAACTTCGTCTTTTCTTTGGGAGGAGCATAGGCATCTTTATACTGGTGTTGGGATCTGCAGATCACAAGGTATGGGTTTTGAGTCCCACCGCAGCACTAATGTCCTTTGGCAAGACGTAAATCTACATTTGCCACTCTCCTCCATGTTGTAAAATAGCTACCCGGTAGGATGTGAAAGTTAATGTGGTTGGATGAGCAAGTGTGCGCTTGTAAAATGGCATCTGGCTGGAATGCTCCCCAGGGAGTGGAGAATGTGCATACATTGTGTCCGATGACTGGGGTACTAATATATCTGTATAGCGCAAAGGCAAATCGTTATATCGATGTATTGGGTACTATATAAAAGTGGAATATTATAAGTTTTTGGTTTTTCTCCAATTCCCCTCAGGGTTTGAACAACAGGAACATTCGTGATGAGATCTACTGTCAGGTCTGCAGCCAGACATGGAACAACACCAACAACAACATCCAGGAGAGGGCGTGGCTGTTGCTTAGCAACATCATGGCCGCTTTCCCTCCATCCCCCAAGCTTTACAACTTCCTCCTCAAGTAAGTGGAGATGGTGCACATAACCGCTCAAGGTCAAGACGTTTGGGTGAAATGTACTTTTCATCTGATCCAGGTCATTCAGTGTGCTTTAAAGGTTTGCTGCAAAGTTAGAAGTTTACATATAGTACACATTTAAATTCATAAGATTACAAATTGCGACTAGTTTTTATGTCTGCGCAACAAAGTAGACGAAGTATGCCCTGTCCTCATGATCGCGTTATCTCAAGATGATATTTTATCTGTCATTTCTTGTAAAAGGTACATGATGCTGTTTGTCTAAATGTAATTTTCTTTGTATTTATATTGAATTTATTGATAATAGGGAAAAGGTCTCCAGACCTGTAGAGCATACTTTGATTTTCAAAATGATCTTTATACCTTCAGGTTTGTGTCGGACCATGCGTACGACGGTTACAAGGCCTACTGTCAGCACAAGCTACTCTCCTGTGACCCTCATGCCATCGAGTCTCAGGGTAGCCGGACGTATCCCCCTAGTCTCCTGGAGTGGAAGGCACACCAACTGCAGGCCAATATGTCCCTGGTCACCAGACTCCCTGGAGAACCTGATCCTATCAATGTCCAGGTCGACTCGTGGACCACTGGCGAAGATTTCGCCGCTGCTGCTCTGAAACAGAAGTAAGATTACTTTTAAAGAGTATATTGTTCTATAAGTCATAGCAATCACTTGGTCAATTATATAAAACTGTATGAATGAACGTTTCCCAGAAAAGTAGTATTAAAACCCAGGGGCGAATTCAGTCTTTGTTAAAAGAGGGAGGACAAGATTCCCAAAATTGGGTTAAAATTTGAGGGGGGGGGGGCGCTTAAGAGGACAGTACACAGGGCATAATGTACTGTTATAATTTATGTCACATTGGTTGTAAAGACAAAAGAATGTGTGGGGGGGGGGTTGGTGTGTTTTCTCCCTATATTCCACCTCTGTTCAAACCAGTTTCAAGACTTCCCAATTGTTGGCTACCTCCCTAAAAAAATATTTAAAAAACGAAGAAAATAATATTGTATTGTACATTTTCCTCATTTCTGTAAACTGTTCCCACTGTAAATACCACCGGCCAAGTTTTCCAGAAGTGTTCCTATTTCAAAGACCATTTGTACCTCTCTATCTCATCAGGGGACTCCAGAAGGGTTACCGGGGCTGGTCCGTTGAGCTGATGGATGAAAACGTCCGCTACGATCTCTCTGGTCCTGACTCCGTCATGGACCTCATTGCCGAGATGGAGGTGCATCCCGAGATGCCGGTAGGAGAGTCGCATTTCCTCATCGCATCCGAGATGATCAAAAGTGGGCAGACTCAACACAGAAGGACTATCAAAAGAAGGTAATGATTGATAATGATGGTGATGATGGTAATAATGATGGTGATGATGATGATGATGATGGTTATGTTGATTATGATGATGATGGTGATGATGATGATGATGATGATATTGGTGGTTTAATGAAGATGGCGATGATGATTGGGACAAAAGTAATGGCAACGATGATGACGGGGGTGGTGATGATGATAATAGCGATAATGATGAGGATAGTTATGATGATAGTGGTCATGATGCAGGATATGATGGTGGTGATGACAAAATTGTTGATGATGAGGATGATGAGGTTATTAATGATAATGATGATGATGATATGATGATTAGGGTTATAGTGATGATGATGAGGATAGTGATGATGATGATGATGTTAAGGATGATGATGATGTCGGTGGTGATGATGATGTATATTATGATGATGGTTGTTATGGTGATGGTCTTCATGACAACAAAAGATTGAACACGATGCAATCATGGCATTAGCGATCACAATGCAGTTATCTAATGAAGATGTTGATATACTGCTGTTTAGCTACTGCATGATGATGATGGTTATGATGATATTTATTATTATGGTGATGGTTGTTATGGTGATGGTGAAGGTCGTAATGACAACAAAAGATTGAACACGATGCAATCATGGCCTTAATAGCGATCACAATGCAGTTATCTAATGAAGATGTTGATATACTGCTCTTTTGCAAATGCAACACACTAATTTCCTTATCTGGACTATACAGATATGCAACCCTTCTTTCTACCCATGTTCTTGTGAAACAAACATCTCTCTGTCTACCTTCCAGGCACCAGTCTGAGATAGATAGCATCATATCAACACCTACCTCAGCTCGTCCGTCAGTCCCACGCCGGTCTCCACATGATCAGCTTCAGTCCCAGTACCCAACCAACCTCAGCATTCCTGAACCAGACTATGTCAGCAATGCCGAGCCAGGTAGGGCAAGACAAATGTTTTTAAGAAGTTAAAAAAGTTCTGAAGAAAAAATATAATTTAAGGTTTGATTTTTTTTTGGTATGACAGGCAAATAGGAGAGATTTCATTCCATATAATGTGTAAAGATTATCATCGGGTGAATTTTCATTTACTCAGTTTTATACCTTGATCATGAGGTAAAGTTAATTCACCATTACGTTAGCTTTATCATTAGATGAAAATTAGTGGATAAGTGATGATTTGAAAATAGTGATAAGTGTAATTTGTTAGCTTTTAGCAGGATTTCGACCCTTGACTTATGTTTGTTATTGATCCAGTCAATCACAATCTACGATCTCTATAATAAAGAGTTGTGATTGGTATTAAATAATTATTTATTTGAATCAATCGCAACCATTTCTGAGATGAGGCCCAACTAGTTTATACACATTATTATTATCCATTGCAACCTGTGAACCTTGAAACCTGCAGCTGGAGCTCTCTCACTCTTCTATCTTATCTTTCCAGGGAGAACGATGGCTCAACGTAGTCGGAGCATCGTCACCATCTCAGGAATGTCTGACTCCGGCATGGAGGACTATGTCAAAGAACTCTTTGATCCTGCAACCCTAGGCATCAACGGGAGCAGCGAGCCTCCCTCTCCTTCACCCTCTACAGACCTCTCAAGCCCTACACATCTTAATTATGTCATCAGGGGCGGGGGCAGGGGCCCCATGATGCCGTTCCCACCCCCTATGCCCCCCACATCGCAGCCCCCAGCAGGCCGTAAGTCACTTTTTGATAAACCTGTTGATTAACAAGCCCTTACCCTAAAATGGAAAATAAATGAATGATCTCGATTGAATGAGCTATTAATCTTGTGTGTCATGGATTCATGTTCTATTAAAATCAAATTGTATGTGACAGGTTAGTGTCAATATACTTTGTGCAAATTGCCATTAGATACAATCTGTAAAAATAATGTGTTTAGTTTTGGCAGGACTTGAGTAAGTTCCATCCAAGAGTATATTTCAAAATAATTCAGGAAAACAAAATTAATCAAGCAACTGATTAATACACATTTTTTAATGTTTCTGACATTATGAGAATACCGTAAATAAATTGTTATTGGCACGTCATGACAACACAAATAGGTGTCTTTAATGTACACTCTCATAGTCTGACAATTGTAGTCACTTCACAATATCACCACATTTTTAACAACTTTTCTATGTCAAACTTGCAAATTAAAGGAGCTGAAAAGTGTAATGTATCTGGCACCGCTAGATTATTTGTCTTTTTTTCAACAAAAATATGTTTGTTTTATTTTTAGTAGACTCACTGTTTTAATATTAATATTTATGTTCACTGATCAAATGTTTGTGTAACTAACTTTGTTTCTTCATGTGTTTTTGTAACCTTTTTTTTTTTTCAGTATCATTACTATTTTCTAATATTGTCCTTTTGCCGTCAATTTGAATTTACATTATTCTATTTCTTGCTTATTTTTCTCCATTCTTTCTTTATTTGGCATAGCTTTTTTTAAATATTAATGATATCTCTTTGTTTCTCCAAAATTTACCTCAATTTTATACGTGACTTCTTTTCTATTTTTTGTGTTAAAAAAAATCACATGTTGTTTGTAATTTAAGTTTCTGTAATATGTCAATTTATGTTTTGTAAACTAACATGACTTTTGATTTTCTTATTCTTATTTTGAACCAATTCTTCACAATTTTGTGGAATAGTTATCGGTGTTCCAGCTTTCACACCGCCCTCTGTTGCTACCTATCCCACTTACACAGGTACTAACACTCGGTTGCCATTCAGTAATATTGTACTTGTTACTAAAAGCCCAATATTTTTAGAATTAAAACCCCTACTTGTAGCTACTTGCTCCCTCTATTTAGAAAACAATGCCTAATCGGTGACCATTGGTCCCCCATGATCCTCTTTTCTTGAGTTAATTGAGAGCTGAGTTGATGAGATAGCCACCTGTCAGTGACCTTCCTGGGTGATCTAATCCCTCCTAGCCAAACTAGAACAGACCGCCTTTAATAGGTGTTGTCATTGATTCAAAACAAATGTATAAAATATTTGTTTATGGTAATAACTTTTTCTTATTCACTCAGGGTGATCATAATCTTTCACATGAATTGTGGATTAAAAAGTAGCCCTTTTAGAGGTAATTACTGAATAGAAGTTGTGTAATTTGAGAAATTGGGAAATGATGTTCCTTTAGAACTGAAAAGGGTTTACTTTATTTTGCCAAATTATATCCATTCTTAGTCAATTAATGTATTTATTAATATGGGTTGAACTCCTGTATGAGAAGAAAAAATAAGCATTGTCTTCCCGAAGGGTGGAGGAAGATAGAAATATATTAATGTCCCCCCCCCCCCGATCGAAGTTAAACATGCACTTCCTGTATGTGTATAATACACAAGTTGTACTCTTTAATCTTGTTATAGAATTTCTGAATTTCTGAATTGTTGTACATGTATTTTATCCATAATTTTATTGATATCTAGTACATGCAGCCATTGATATTTATGTACAACCATTAATCCAAATATGTGTCTCTGTGTGTGTCTGCAACGCTTTCATGCTACGGAACTTATATTGTACGTTCAGTTTCCCTATGCAATCATGCCATACTTCAAATTGTTGTGTGTGTATGTTTTTGCCTGTACTACATGTGGCTTCATTTACTATCTTCATTTTTTACATCAATCATATTTTATGTTCCAAATAAATTAATCTACTTTTATAAATGTCCTTCATGGTGCATTCACATTTCCCAATGCCTTTTGTTTAGGTTTCCATTTCCAAAATAATATGCAAACTGTTTGTAGTTATGACTGTATGGATAACACTGAGTGGCAAACTACATTTGAAAATCAAGCAGAATAACTTAGTGATAATTATTTGCTTTCTATGCTTGCTTTATTTATGTTATTATCTGATCACTGTACTTTCATGTATATGTGTTATTTCACTTGGGTTTTTAAATGTCGCTAAACCCATCGAAACAGGGTTTTTTTTTAGCAGATGTTTCTGTATTCATTGAACAATCAAATACAACATATTCAATTAACAATAATGATAGATAATATAATTGATTTACATAAAATGTGACAATTGAAATACAAACAAAATACAAAAAATACATATATTTGACAACTTGAAAGTATGCAGGTAACTCAAAGAATGCAGATAAATGGAGAGGCCAACTATCATAAGCATTTATGCTCAAGTCGATAGCAGCCAGTAAAAGGGTGAATATTGTTAAGAAGCTTTTTATATTAAACAATTATTGCATCTTTCTTGCTACTCTGAAACAGGAGAGTATGTGACATTAGTAAGTGTTAGCAAATTGTCCTTGAGTTTTTAAACCTGCTCTACTTCATATGGGCTGCATGGCAAATCACACTATAATGTCATTGAAATGTGTATTGTAAAAAGTGAAATAATTTTTGATGCAGGAAAGATATATTTAAGTTGAAGTCTGTTTTGACAAAAATATGATTAGACGCCATGAAGAAAAACAATGGGTTATTCATAAGGTAGCCCAAATATCAAATAAAAGACAAAAATCATTTTTTAATAGATCCTATGCTTTTTTTAAAATACCTTTTTTACCCTTGCTGCCTAGGTACTCATGTTGCATGGTGTTTTTTAAAGTTTTTGAGTAATTTGTTTTTCTTTGCTTTGATTGACAGAGAGTAAAAATTAAAGTGCTTGCTTGCCTCATACTAATTCTAATCTTCTAGTAACCTTTAGTTGGCAATTCCCCCAGTAATTCTTCAGCTTGCTTTTCCAAAAAAAAATCTTGTTTTAATTACTGTAAAATGATCTTTGGCAGGACATATACATTTAAAAATGGCTTGCATGTTTTACTTTAAACGTTGATCTAACCTTAGAGAAAATTAAAACTGCAAGAAACCATTTACTTTGATCATGCATAGCGCTTATAAATGATAAAGAAGCATTGCATGCTGGTTTGAATCCCCCAAAATGCATGAGCCCTGCTTCAATTAAAGCTCAGTATCCTAGAACGCATCATGACTGATGGTCTCATTGATTGCTCTCCCTATCTGCTGTATGGATTATAGGAGCCGCGGCTGCAGGGATGACCCCTTACATGGCACCACAGGCCATGGGCGCCCAGATGGTCCAGCCTATGCCTACTAATATGACAGGTATACATCTGATCAATTCACAAAGATTAAGTCTAAAACCCTTAAAGAGGAATCCCATACTTATTTATCATGTCCAGTCATCTTGTTAACTTGTATAATTGTAAATAATTTTTGTATTAAAGCGATACCTAAGAATTTTCTTCCAGGACTTTTCTTGTTCTCCCATATACGTCTCAATTTCTAACTACATGTCTTTCTTGTGGTATGTGATTCTTCTATGTGTTTTTTCTAACCCTGTATTATCAGTAATACACATATTTCACTATGTATGCACCTACATGTATCTTCACATATTTGTAGGAATGTATTTGAAATGTATTCATTAGAATGTATATGGAACATATTTGTTGGAATGTATTTTGAACATATTTATTAGAATGTATTTGGAATGTATTTGTTAGAATGTATTTTTATTTGATGAAAAATCCATTTAAGTATCCTGAAGCATGCTTTTTATGGCCTACATGCAGACTGAACATGTACTATGCATGTATCTGGTTATTACATGTTATTCCTGCTCATTTTTTTACATGTGCAGAAAATAGATTTGTATGGCTCTTGTCTTCATATCTTTATGGTATTTCCTAGAAAATTAGACTATTTTTCTTCTTTTTTCTAATGGAAAAAGGTAAATAGACGCAGAGGATATATTTTTTAGATTAAGGATTTATAATTGGTACAAAAGATAGATGAAAAATATATTCAGGGTTGAAAATATTTCAACAAAACAGATATTTTGATCTGTTTTTCACAAATTTTCAACTAAATTTTGACTTTTTATTTTGACTGGGGATAACGTTGATAAAACTGTAAACTTCTAGTTATTATATGTACATAATTCCACATTGTTTGATATTTGTACTTTGAAGGCATGGTACCCATGATGCAGGCGCCAATGATGGCAACCGTGCAACCACAGATGGCTGCCATGCAACCACAGATGGCAACCATACAACCACAGATGGTCCAAGCGACACCGGTCATGGTACCCCAAGCCCAGCTGACTAACCCATCCCTAACAAACACCGCCCTCTCTCAGCAAGCCTATATCAACCAGCAAACCCTTATGGTATGTAGGAAATGAAAGAGAAATGATGTTGCAGTACAGGGGTTTGTCTTATAAAGATATTGTGATTAATTTGATTTGATTGTAAGTCTTCCCATCAAATTGCAAGTCTTCCCATCAAATTGCAAATGTACAATCAAATAATTCTTTGTACATCGATCATTGAGGATTTCCAGTGTTGTTGTATATGTTTGTATTTTAAGTTGGAGGGATTCGTTGTTTGATAGATAGGAATCTTAGAATATTCATTTGTTTGTTTTGCAGGACATAATAGGCTTCGCTAGTTTTACTTCAGCTGTCGAAAGATAAGAGAAATTTGTTACTTTACATAGGAAATTAACTTCTATAATTAAGAATCTAAATATAGTGTAAAATGCCTTTTCAGAATTTTATGCCAGAGTGGGAATATTTCAATCCATAGATCCGTAGCTGTAACTTTTCTAAAGATCACCACCTAAGTGGTGGATTTTTGTATAAAATACAGGTACTCTATTTTCCTCTCTTTTTTATTACTCTGTTAAGGCACAGCAAGCTCAGATGCAACAGCAGCTGCAACAACAGCAACAACAGTTGATGCAGAATATTCAGCAGTTGAACCAGCAAGCTCAACAGACACAGCAGTCTCAGGTCGTCAGCGCTGCCCCAACGGTTCCAGCACCGAAGACACATCGGCAGAATGCTACCAGTAAATTCCGAGCACCCCAGGCCCCTGTCTCACCTGTATCTTCCACATCCTCTTCCTCCATATCCCCACCTCCTCCACCACCTCCAGCTGTGCCTCCCGTAAACGCTGCACCGCTGAAGAGCGCCATCAAGCAGACAGCCATCAAGAAGACAGCCGTCACAAAGAGCGTCCAGGAGAAGAAGAGCATCCAGTTCAACCAGGAGGTTGTGAACATCAGTAACGGAGCCAGCGATGAGATGGTGTCTCCTCCAACCTCTCCAGTCTCTCCCATCTTCAGAGAGGGCTTCATTCCACCTCCTCCACCACCGCCTCAGTTTGTCTCCAAAGCTGGCCGCACGATCCAGCTGGACGACGTCAAGGACAGGGCTAGGACCATCAGAGTGGGTAGGATCGTCTGGCCTCCACGTAAAGCAGCGGGGGAGAAAGAAGAGGTTGTTGTCGGACGCCTGGAGGTAGAACAGCAAGAGGAGACCTCTCCATCGCGTCCTCTCAATCGCCCAACAGCGATTACCTCTGAAATGCTTCAGGATCGTGCCGGCACCCTACGTAAGGCGAAAACAAAGAACTTCAGACCAAGGGCCGTTGGCCATGTGGTAGCCACCACAGAATCAGCACCAGCTCCGGTACCAGCAAAGGCCCAACCTCCTCCAGTAGCCAAAAAAGCCTTTGGACAGAAGAAGGATCATCACTCAGAGGCACTTCTGATGCTGAAACAGCAGATGAAGACTGCTCCTCCACCATCACCAAAGAAGGTGACACCACCCCCTCCTGCACCTATCATTAAGAAAGCACCATCACCACCATCGCCACCCCCACCACCTCCACCACAAGAGCCACCTACTCCTCCACCAGTTGCTCCAGTGGTACATGTAGTTTCTGCGGTTCCTACTCCACCTCCACCTCCACCTCCTCCACCCCCTCTACCTGTTATGACAGAGCACAAGGAGATGTTAGTCCAGACCATTCAGACCAAGATGGAATCTGTTGATATCCTCAAGGCTCAAGGCATCATTCAGGAGATTGAAGACACACCATCTGTTGTAAGTACATTAGTCTACCTATCAACAGTACTAACGTTACTAAAAGATACTAATTAATGTTTAAACAAGAAGAAATAAATACAGATGCATATAAATGTCTTATCCTTTCTGCATGTTCCAAGGGTAAATCCTATCTGCATTAGTTTGGCCCGGAAGGATCAGACCTCCCTGCGTGATCACTGACAGATGGTTATGTCATCAAATCACCTCATGTCATCAAATCACCTCTCAATTAACATAAGAAAAAGGGGACCATGGGGGACCAATGGTCACCGCTTAGGCATTGTTTGCTATATAGAGGGCGCAAGTAGATTTAAGTAGTGCAGTGGGGCTTTAAATCTTGTTATGCTTACCCATTAGGTAGGCTCCTTGCAATTTAAACCAAACCCACTTCTTAAACAAATATACCAAAACATGTAATGCATGATGATATGCTTTCATATCCCTCGGAGAGGACCTAAAGCCGTCGGTCCTCTGGTTGCTTACTAACAAGCATTAATGCTTTCTTAGCAGTCAGGTAAAATAACCACCCCTACCAATATCCTTGTAACTCATTTTTATTCATTGAGATATCCAGAATTTTTCTGGTTTGCTAAGAAATCCTTTGATGCTAATGATCGTAGATGATCATGATGTCTTTGATTACCCTTTGATCCCTCAGACATCGTCTACCATCCCTGATGCTCTATCGGATGCAGACGTTACGGAGATGGAGAAGGTGCAGACCTTGGTCTATCCCATGGGACAGTCTTCCTTCTACATGTACACCAGGGTGAGATGGAACCTCACCATCAGGAAAGAGGTGAGTGTGTGTGTGTGTGTGTGTGTGTGTATGATTATTTACGTCTGGGGACCGACCTTTAAACGTCACCATCCAAAGACGTGACTCAGTTTCGAACCTGCGTCCTCGGCTGAATCAGTTTGAAACTTCCACTTTTTAGCTGGATTACAGGCGCACGCCACAACGCCTAGATGAGATGTAGATGCTGTTCTTTAACCCTTTGGTTGCTTTGTTCGCCTCACTGCACAGCCGCTCATTTACCATGTGTGGAATTTCTCGCAAGTCAATATGGACCAATTCATGGCTATGTGCAACACGAGGCTTTGCAAAGTTACCCATTTTCAGTCTTGTTTAGTTGACACCATGACAACCCTTTTAACAGATTAATCTTGCACTGGAAACGGTTTCATCTTGAAGCCTTTGGTACATCTATCCCATAGCAATTACAATGTGGCCCAGGGAGGCCATTTGTGTGGCATATAACAAGATAATAGTGAATTGACTGTTGGAAGTGCCAAAATAAATGGGGGAAATTTGAAGAGAGGTTCAATGAATTATGCTGTTCCTTCCATGTTAGTTGACTCAAAATAGACACCATAACTTGCTCTGTACTGAAAATTTCATAAATTTTCATTTTCTTAGTTATAGATGATGGAATAGATTTGTTTCATACAGGGGGGGGGGGGGGTATAAAAAACATATATGCAACAATTTTATTTAGGGTGAATGTATGATTGCAAATTTTCTTAAGAGAAACTATACATTTTAAAGTTTTTGTAATACAGGGCAAATGGGAGGAGGGCTCGCAAGATACGTCACAGGGTTATCGATTTGTGTGCTGATTAATTGCACCTTCAAAAAGTCATAACTTTCTTATTTTAAATTTATTTGTGCTCAAACTTTCACAGACCTGTTTCTACTATTTTTTCTGCTTTTTTTAAAATCAACTTAACATCAGGGTGGACTTCCCCTTTAAGATAATATATGCTAGCTATTACCCATTGACTGTATCTTCTGTGCTAAACAGGTGTTTACTCCAGGAGAACGTCTAGGCAACCCAACCGCCCAACAACTCATCTTCTCACAGATCGTCCTAGACGTCTTCAGTAATAGCTGCATCCGTATGCGCAAGGGAGAGAAGCGTCTGATGACTAGTCTGTTAGGTAAGGGTATAGTTCTCTACCACACAATTACCTATTAATCATAACGGTAATAATAACTGTCCCTAATACAGCACCTTTGTAATTAGGTTAATGATTAAAGCACTTTACAGTGTAATCATATTCTGGTTACCCTGGTGATTCTGCATTTGTAGTACATATTCTTCTCTCCACTCTTTACTTGGGAGTATTCCAAGCTTTCGGCTACTTTGCATCGAGCCCCAATGACATTCGCCTCCTACCAGGCATCAAGGGTTGAGAGAAGCAGTTTAGATAAAGTGCCTTGCTTTATTCAAAAAATTGCTGTGACTTCCACTAGTCATGCCACCAATATCAATACTGTGAATTACACCAAAATTCATTCTTATAAAAGCTTCTCCTATGAAGCTTCAATTCATAACTTTTTTAGTTTAAAAATATTGTTGGGATGAAAGGTTTATCTAATTTTTTAGACTTTCTCTTTCTAATATCATGTCAGGCTGTTTGATGGTCCTTCTTGCAATTGTTTTAAAAGTTGTCAGCACAATTATGTATGCATTCAATATATCATGATGGATAATCTTACTGTCTGTGAGACACAATATATATTTTAACTACCATCACTTGAAGAGGTTCATTGAAGTGAATTGGTTTTATACTGGAACTAATTTTCTTCTGCTTACACAATCAATTATATTTACTTTGTGTTGCAAACATATGACATCAGCTGGCTATTTCAGTCAAATGGCTATAGTCTCTGTTGCCAGTGGTTTGGTAAAGCCTGCCAATGGTGCATAGGCACAACTCTGTCAAAGTGAAATAAAGATTGTATAAACAGAAGAATAGTCCCTGATGTCCCTCTTTGAAGGTAGCATGATATGATTTGATTCAAATTGATAATTTTTTTTATTGACATTTATCTGTCCATCATGAACATCGTGCTTGCATTTTGAGTTAGCTTTTGATGGTGTTGGAATGCTTTTATTTACTTTTATTTGGGGGCTACTAATACTAACAATATATGCATTTTTTTCCTTTTTCTTCAATGGCCATGGATGCAGGGAAGCATGTAATTAACTTTGCATTATTTTAATAACATGAAAACAATATTTTTTTTAAATGAAAGTGAAACATATGATATATATATATATATATATATATTTTTTTTTTTTTTGGGGGGGGGGGGGCAGAGGGTAATCTTCATCTTCAAAAGGAAACAGCTACATGTATTTATTGAAAAGCAAAGAAATTATTACTTTAAATGAAAAAAATACTTAAAACTATATGTATTTAAATGTTGGAAAATCATACAATTGGAGCCATGCCTGTTGGTATGATCAAAAAAATAATAAAACACTGATAGTTAAAATGAATATGAATGTACAGAGACATACACGCAGTCAGAATGTACATGTACACTAACTGTTTCATACGACTGTGCACACTGTTTTGGGTTGTTTGGTTGCTTATTACTAACTCCCCAATTTGGTCACACTAATTTGCTTTTGGGCTACTAACAGACAAATATGGCATCACTCCTAAAAACCTACCCCAGAAGAGCGCTCATCGCAAGGAGGTTATAGAGGCCGCAAGACAATTGCCTCTCTATTTTAGCAGGTTTTTCTCAATTCATGTGAGTATGTTAACCTTTTGCTTATTAACACACACACAAAAGTTTGACAATATGATTTTTACATTAATTTATTAGTTTTTCATAACTTTTATTTCTATTTATCTATTCATTATATTCATTTTATTAAAAATTTGTTTCATTTTTTATTTTGTTTGCTTGCTTGCTTGCTTGCTATGTCATTGTATTATATCTGATTCAACAAAAACAACCAGTTGGCTTAATTTTACTTTCAGTATAAATTTTGTTCTGTAATTAAATTTTTGTTTATGTCTGTAACTTTTGATAACTCAATCTTGATGTTACTTTTGTATTATTACTTAAGCATTGTAAAATTTCATGCTCTGTTTGCAGGGCTTTTTAAAAGCAGGCAATTGACTTTGAAAAGTTGCTACCCTGATTTAAAATATAACTGAATACATAGATACACGGACAAAACTTAACATTCGAGTTTGTATTTGTAGGGTGGGCGTCGACACCCCGACCTGCAGTGGCTGTGTGTAAGTGATACTGGTGTCTACCTAGTGAAACATGAGCTGGATCCGATGAAAGATCAACTGGTCGTCACAGAATCATTCCAGTAAGTAAAAACAGTTAGACATTCCTCAATCCAAACCCCTCCAATGAAATAAGAATCATGACTACTAGTGTTACAGTAATTAAATTGAATTGAATTGAAACAGCCCTGGTTCTTGCTGAGATTTAGTAGAATTTTACAGTAAGTGCTTCTTTTAACATGTGATTTAGCCACAATTATGTGCAGTGAAACATTAATCTTGACTAAATACAAAATTCATTCATCTCTCTGATAAACTACATGTATTTAAGAATGGAATTGAAATTGTTGAAGATTCTTTAATTTGCTATGATAATCGACCAAACTTTTCTTGTAACTTTTAGTTTTTCAGATTTCAACCAGATCGTAGCCACACCCAACCACACCCTTAAGCTTGCTCTAGCTGATGGCACCAACATACCACTCTATACACACAGGGTTAGTGAATTATCTTATTCTATACCCTAATCCCAGTTGCAACCCTTACCCTAACCCTATCCCAAGTTGCAACACATGCACGCTTATGTCCAGACATAACAAATAGCTAACTTGATTTTGACAGACAAATTAATGTCATTATTACAATTAGTATTATCAGTATTATTATCTTTATCATTGTTATTATAATCATTCTTCTTCTTCTTCTTCTTTTTCTTAGTAATTATTATTATTACTGTCACATTTTAGGGAGGCAAATATGGCCTTTATATGAAAATGTAATAATCACACATTCTAATCTATTTTAGATGCTGTGGTAATTCATGACAATCGCAGTTAAAAGTTAATACCCTTGGCCTTGCTCAATGAATATGTCCTAAGGGCATTTTATAAACAGTTGTTTCTCTTCACCCAGGTGTAGAAAATGAACATCTGATATGAAAGAAATAGGCTTGCCTCAAGAACGGCTGCATTTCTTGATGTAACATATTACTAATATCAGTTATATTATTTTTAAATCATCATGCCATAGGCTGCCCAAATCAAGAGTATGATTGATGCGTATGTGGTAGACTTGGAGAAGGACTCTCATCATATGAGGGCTGTCCAGGATTACATCACCAGGGAAACAACTCTTCTAAGCTTCCACAAGGGAGACATCATCAAGGTCACTGGCAAACATCACGTCACAGATTCAGGTACATTGGAATTCTCAAGTGATTTACTCTACCTTGATTATATTTTGCTGCTACTCCCATATGATAAATAATTCAATATCCATTATAAGTTACTTGTGTATAATTCCCTAGTTTTGTATGTACAATGTGTTTTTTTTGTAGTTTACATATTATGTAATTCCTGCTCAATGTCCATTTATCTGTAGGTTTTCCCAGCTGTTAGTTAATATACATGTAGTTGTATTTATGTAATTCTCAATGCATTCACTATTAACAGCTAAGTATGTATAATTCCCTGGCTAAAATGTATGTAGTTGCAATTATTTCATTGTCTACTCTCTACTAATGCATGTATATATTAATTTTGTTTGTAAAGCGCTTTGAGAACCCACTCTGAGTTGAATTGCACTATACAAAATCATTATATCATTATTATTATTATTATAAGAATGACTGCATTAAGGTTTCCAGTGTTATATCGGGCCTTTAATTACATCAAATATGAATGAACCCTTTAAAGAGAACAATGTTATTAATTAAACTTTCTGAATATTTTTTTGCTACTCTCACTCTCTCTCTCTCTCCCTCCCTCTCTCTCTTTCTCTCTCACACACTCTCTGTATTTCCCTCTACTTTTGTCTGCCTTCTTTCTCCCCCTTTCTTTTCCATATGTACATTTCTCATTTCCATTTTCTCTACCTTTTATCTCTCTTTCATGCTCCATGCTATCTCTTTCTCTTCCGGTTTCATATCTCTGTCTTTCTCTCTCTCTCTCTCTCCCCCCTTCTCTCTCTCTCTCTCTTTCCCCTCTCCTCTCCCTCTTCCCCTCTCCCTCTTCTCCCTCTCTCTCCCTCTCTTTCTGTCTATTTTGTTCTCTTCCTTTCTCTCTGTATCACTTGTTGAACCAGGCTGGCTGTTTGGAATGTTAGATGGGCGATCAGGTCTCTTCCCCAAGGAGTTTGTCATCCCAGCTCCGGGTCCCCAGACATTGAGACAGATAAAGGTGGGTTTCTTTATTTTGTCACGTTTGTTTGATGAAGCGAGTGTGCATCATTGTCTTCAATACATTTGGAATGATATTTAACCACTTCTGACACTGATTAAAGAGAAGGTTGAGTTCTGGGAAGCAGTGGAAAATAATATGTGAGCGTTATCATTGTTATTACGCAGGAGTGGAAGAACATCAGATAAAAAATGTTCCCTGAAAAGCATGGCTATATAAATGCTTTCATATTCTAAATATGGCATGAAACAACGTACAATCGGGACAGATTTTTATGCCACATGTTCGTGTAGCCCCATATACATCTCTCTGTGTACAGTGCTTGTAACTTTACCAAGACTGGTCCAAATTTCATATCATTTTGATGATTCCAGAACCTTGCAAAACACACCAATACTTGAATGCTAGATGATCAACCTTTTCTGACCAATTCCACACCGTTTCTTTCACATTGTAATTGCATGACCAGAACTATCTTTAACCGCTTCTGACATTAAAGAGGATAAATTTTCTTGATTTAATGATGTTATGTTACAAATTCACTTATCGTTAAACAGACATCTGTTGTTTACTTGTAAAAAAAGTTCTTTGAATATGGAAAATCTAGATTTAGAGCATGAAACAGAAATATTTATTTCATTTTGCCATGTTAATATTCATTTTGTAGGAAAAAAGATTACTGGTAAGGAAAAAATCTCTTTTGTGTGAGCATTATACATATTATGCAATTAATCATTAAATATTGTCTTAATCTCCAACATAAGGTTTAAATCATCAACTCTTAATATCTTGCAGTGAGAAATGGATGTACCCTCCAGTCATATACAGCCTAAACAATTAAGGATCCATTTCGTCAAAATTCATGTCATATTAACTCTCTTAATTTCACAATCAACATTCTATAATGAACCTTACCCATTGACATTATATATTGAAGAATAAATTTGCACTTTATCTCATTTACATGTCTTGTACATCCTTCAAATGTCAGGACATATACATCTACTTTTTCAATGAATTATCTTTTCATTTGATGTATATCCTTTCTTCCTAAAACAGTCCAGAAACACCACAGAAATCATTAACCCATGCATGACCTTTGATCTCATTTTCTTCATTGACAATGGCAATATCAGGATTAATAATGATATTTTTCTTTAATCCATGGACTCGATTTCTCTTCAATTCATTATCTTATTGTGAACACCACTGTGCGACTCATATTCATACTTTGGAACTCAAGTGGTGTGTCTTACATGACATCTTCATCTCTATAGGCCATTGCCAATTTGACGATTAGTCAGTGGAACACTGATGTACTGGTAAACAAAAAATGTATTTGCCTACAGCTTCTCTCTGTAAAAGTCACTTTGAATGACAAAAAAAGAGCATATATAAACAAGATATAAATCAAGCTTACCTGTGGAACTTGTGAAATAAGCTGGAATGATGCCATTTTTCTTCTCTCTAGGCACAGAATCGTGTCAACATTGAGACAAGAATGCTGGAAGAGGTAACAGAAAACTTCTTTCTAAAATGATAGGAATTACTCCCTTATTTTCCTTGATATGAGCCCAAAAAGGGGAACATTTAAGCCCAACTTCCTATTTTAGTCGAACTGTGACAGGATGATAGGTACATTCATATCAGAAAGGATGAAATAATATGTATACATGTAGTTGAAAATTAAGGGGAAAAAATAAAGATAAGAAATCTCTGAATCAAATGAAAGTGAGCTATTTGGGGCATTCCAGTTCTTCAACATTCATTTTCATTTTCTGGAGTGATTTCCTTTTAATACCACATTCTAACCCCTTTTCCTCATAATTTCTCATCAATTCTAGTTCATAATTCTCCAGTCCTTTGGGTCCCCCATTGCACTTCCATACTGCAAACATCTGCATATTATTTGGGTGGAATTGGCCATTTCTTTCATGAATTTTTGATTATCCTAATCATTTGTAGCACAACCTGTTTTTATTCTTTCTTTTAATACATTAAAAAATATTAATATATCTTTTCTGATTTTGTTTTTGGTACAACTATTCACATCTTAAAATCTTTAATGTGTTAGTTATTCAATAATTTCATTTAAATGATATCTCTAAGAAGTACATATCCATGTGAATGCATTAATAATTTTGACTACAGTTGGATCCAATGATATAGGTCACTGTTCTTACAAGTTCTCATAATTAACTATGAAAGGCCCGCTTCTATTTACTTTTTGATGTAAAAATCTTAAAAATTAAGGCAATTTGTTGTTGTCTTAATGAGTTTGTTTATATGAGGTTCCACTATATTTTGATTGTGAATGTAACCCATGTTATTACAGGCATGCATGAATAAGTTGATTTATGAATATTGGGTAGTTGTTATTATCCCATAGAAGTTCAGAGTTTTATTATTTTCTAATTTAATCACATTTCCCTCCTTAAATTGGTAGCAATTTAATTTTAATTTCCACTCCCTCTTTGAAATAAATAAAAACAATTATCAAGTACCAATGTAAAAGACACATGCAAAATTTTACCCAAAAGTTATTTACATGTTGTCAATTTAGAGACTTTAACAATTAGTTGCAATTCAATTGCACTACTCAAGATTGACACAATGTACTACATTGGAAATAGACTTAAAATAGTCTGTGATTTTTGCTCTTTTGCTCATTTTGCTCCAATTGGAGGGAAAAAAATGCCTTATTTACCGCAAATCACAGTGATATCATACTAATTGCAAAATTAATTTGGTTTTTTCACCAGCTGCAAGGCTTAAAATACTGTGCAGTTTTGTTGATATGACTATTCAGGACCTTAGATGACTAATACAATTTTCCATAATCTAATTGTATTGTTATTGATATCAAATCCAGTTGCAGTTGAAACGTAAGGTGAGGATTGGTCAGAAAATGACAAATGTAACCTTTTGCACCCTGCCCCGTCGTCGTAAATTCCTTTCATTTATGATTAATATTCATCTATTTCATGTTCATTCCACAGCAAGGGCATCAACCCCGTATGGAGCCAGTGGACCCAGTGGTTGCCCCTAGCGACGATCACAAGCGCTTCTCCATGCCAGAGTTTGCTAAGAAATACTTCAGGGATAGCTCAGACAAGTAAGCACCCACATCCAATTTGTATGATGGATATGTATACTGGTATATGTGTACGTTGTAAATGTTAATTTAGGTAGTATTCTCCTCAGAATGATGACTTTGGGGATATTAAAGGCCGGCTGTAATAGTCCAGCCAGAAGGGATTAGACTACTTAGCTCTCAATTAACATAAGAAAAAGAGGATCGTGGGGGATCAATAGGCACCGATTGGGGAAGTTTTCTATATAGAGAATATGAGTCAAGAAGTAGTAGAAGAAGGAGAACACTTTGGTCTTTTAATGATATGCACAATAATTCTCTATTTCTTCAGATTCATCATGCAGCGTAAGAGCGATGGATCTATCCGAGGGTCCCTCAAGTTCATGGGTTCACTCAAGAGATCTATACTCAAGAAAGGTAAGAATCATATGTCATACACCAGTCAAACTAACACCATGCAGACTAGCCCTTACAATGGACCAAGTGTAAAGTAACATTGTTTCTTAATCCTATTGTCCTGATTGAAAATGATCATTATCTGTTCTCTTT